TTATTTAATAAAATATTTAAAAAGACAAATTTTATTGCTTCCAAGAAAATCCCAATTTTGTATTGCATTCTCAGTTATTTCTATATCTTAAATAGAGGTACTCTTACTAACTCTATAATGTTATAGTTAATAGACCTGTCTGGTTAGCCCTGATAAATTCTATGCTTTAAGACGCTATAGTGGTAAATAGGGGGACCAGTTGCGGTTACAATAGACATTTAATAAAGTAAATGGGGAAACATTTCTAATAAAAAGATAAATGCTACGAGCAGATGGCTGGATGTTACGATATAAAATCTTCTCAAATAAAGATTGTCAAAAAAAAGAAGGTGATGGCTTCATTTGACATTAAATGATGTAAATGGAAAGGTCACTTTCAAAAGTAACTTTTATAAAAACAGGGGTAAGGAAAATCATTTTATACTTTGGCATGCTTTGCTTGTCTCTGGTCATTAGACGGTTAAAGCTTGAGGAGTGCCTACGATTGTCCCAAAGAACACAAAAGCTTTTCATTAAGTAGGAGCATATAAAGGTGAGATTCCCTTTATAATGTGGATTCCCTACAGTTGGAGCTCTATTTTATAGGCACTGGAATTTTAACAATCAAAAAAAAAATGTACTTGGATTTTTATTATTTAACCCTTTACTTAACACTTTTATCTGGTTAAGGATTTTAAAAAAAAAAACATATTATTTTGTTATGCAATAATTTATCTGCTTAATACTTTGCTTTTTCCTCTCAAATCAAAGCATTAAAGCGTGCATTCAGTAATGATTATTAAAATGATGTTACCTTTGCAGGTTTCCCAGTGAATTCCCAATATTGCCCTTCACTTCTTCTTTTCCGGGATTGAAAAGTTTTTCTTTGAACGAGCTGAGTGCTTGGAAAGGCATTGTCAAGCTTTTTTTTTTTTTAATTCTTGATCCTCTTTACATATCGTCCACCTTCTATCTCATGTTTGATAGGACAGGAACTCTAAATCCACCATCACCGAAGCAATGGAACCATTGCCAAAAAAATAAAAAGTAAATAAATAGATAAATAAAAACAGGAGGTTTTTGTTTCTTCCTTATGGATTTTTTGCTACTTTGTTATAAGGTTTGTCATTTGGAATTTTGACCAGATTGATGTAGGTGAGGAACGGTCTCCTTGAGAAACGAACATAGAGTGTTGATTCCAGCGGAAGCTAATCTTCACTGGTGCTTCTGTTTCTGGAGGGTTGGCTGACAGATGTACAAATCCCAAGGGATTCAAGTCACTAGTCCACCTTACGCGTACACTTGTGGGGATTCAAGATAATGATGTCTGTGAACATTATTTCAGAAATTGTCTGCAGGTTAATCTACTGGAAATGAGCGAGCAACAACAAAACACAAAAACATTTTGAAAGAAAACTCAGAAAAAACCCAGATAGTGTCAAGATAACCGCACTAATCCAAGAAGCTGGAAGCAATGTACATATTTAATGGAACAAGGGAACATTATAATACTGAGGGTCTAGCCAGTGCCACCGTATCCTGAAACCCGATAATCAACCTCACAAGTTGTCAAGTGTGTCTGATCCAAGGAATGATGCTCTGCAAGTCGATGCTATAGTAACAGAGACGACATGGTCCTAGCCCTTTTAGTTATTAATAGCATCCCATACAAAGAAAGAAGTTTATTAAACATTTAAGGGATTCTTCCCGTCTCCATGACGCAGGCAGGTGGCCACGGATTGAAATTCGCATGTATTATTACTAAGCCTTTTTTTTTTTTTTTTCCGGGAGACACATCTCACACTGAAGCAGCTGCTCACAGAAATATGTCGAAATAAAGAAAGACAATTAATGCAGTAGGTGTAAAATAAATACAATTGTAGGTTTTAGGGTTAGTGGTTAGATGTCACTAGGTATGCTGTCATCATCAGTTATATAACGATGACACAAAAGTACAGTATTTGAATTCACTTATTATATTCATTGTATATCATGCATTCATTTTATATTTTATTAGTTTTTTTTAAAAACTCTTATTACATCTTAGTATTGTAACATAACATAAAGTGTAAAGTTTTACAGGTTAGTAAACAATTTCACACTAGCAGGGTTTTTCAGTAATATGCAAATTGTCTTGAATTCAAAGTGACATTTTTTTTTTTAATTCTTTATTTTTGAATAGTGCTTGTTTTTAAACCATACAGTAAGCGTCAGTATTGCAGTTCAAGCGTGCAAAACAACAAGTTTGGCATTTCATGACATCGAAAACGCACCATTTTTTTATCCCCTTAACAATTCTATGCCCTTAGCTACTTTGTGGAGCTTCATATGAATGTGGTATACAGTATGATAGTTCAGGTAGTTTCGGGGGGTATATAAGCTATGCGAAGTGTATCGCTTAAGGGTGGAGATTCTGGTATGTATCAGATAGATGTGGTGGTGAGCGTGAAAGTTTGTGAGAAGAAGTAGCACCTGTCACTGCCTGTAGTGTGGCGGTGCGGTTCTTCATGCAGGTGAGATACGTGATGTGTTTAGTGCCTGCAGGTGAGGTTTGTATGTGGCAGGTCTGCTTTGGGAAGTGTTACCCCTTCCCAAGGCAGATCTGCATTGGGACACACTCTAAGTAGTATAGAGTGTGGCCAAAAAAGTATCTCTGATAAGGAATGGTAACCAATCCAGTAAGGACCGGTATAACCCCCACTGGTCCAAAGGGGGGGCAGGCACAGACAGAGTGCAGGCAATTGATATTAGCACTTCGAGCAGGCTAACAGGCCTCAGCAGGAAAAAGTCGAGAAAAAAGCACCCAGAAAGTCCAGGATACCTGGCCAGAGGATTTTACAGTCAATAAGGTTCGGTATGGGAGTCATTTAGAACATTAAATCTTGCTTTATAATCGTAATTATAGCTTTTTTTCTGAGGAGCCCATTTAACATATGACTTACTCTCATGGTGGCCAAACCCTGTCTCTTTTTTAGGTATATTTATGTTTTGTAATTGAAAAAGTACATAAAATACATGTACTAATAAAAACAAATTTATTTAGCTTTTTAGACAAATAAATATTTATTAAGGTACATACGGTGCATATGGCTAAAAAAACAGCGTTAACAGAATACAAATTCTTAGCATGGCATTTATATGATCATAAAAAGGAAACCAAGAAATAAGAAAGAGAATTACAGAATGATTAGAAACAAATTAGGGAATGGACAATTTTGGTAACATGATGTCATGATAGCTCTCCTACAACCTCAATATTCGTCTGTCTACTATTGATATGGATGTTCAGATTGTGAACCATTTAAAGGACACTCTCATGTCCTGTTCTTTCTTGTAGTCTTTTTTTATTATCATTAGAATAAGACATTGCTTTTCTGTGCCATGTCATCCATTCTTGGGCAAATGTTTGAGACCTATTAATCTGATATTTCTTTATCAATGTATATGGATTATTGTCTTCCACCAAACAAGTAATTCCTGGCATAGTGGTGGTTTTGGAAGACTTCCAATGTGGTATTAAAGTACACTATAATCACTGTATGAGTGTCATAAAACCACTAGACCCAACACGCAGAACTAGAAGCACACCTAAGTAAGGTACGAAATAGAACTGAACAGAGGCTTATTACTGGTTCTTATACTCTGTTGGGTTTAATGCTGGGAAAGACAAACATTTGCCTGAGGGACAGGCAAAAGAGGAGTCTGAAAACTAGTCAAGAGCTAGGACATCAGAACATGGTCAAAATGGTGCGATTATTATTATTATGTTATTTATATAGCGCCAACAAATTCTGCAGCGCTTTACAATGGGTGGACTAACAAACATGTAGTTGTAACCAGACAAGTTTGACATACAGAAACAGAGGGGTTGAGGGCCCTGCTCAATGAGCTTACATGCTAGAGGGAGTGGGGTAAAGTGACACAAAAGGTAAGGGAAGTATTAGGGAAGTAGATTGGTAGAATAGTATTCAATGAAGACTTAGTGTGGGGTTTTTAGGAGCCATTAACAATTTAATAGATATGCTTTTGTTAAAAAGTGAGTTTTTAATTATTTTTTTGAAGGAGTGGAGACTGGGTGAGCATGGAGCAGCACCTTAGCTGCATCAGAGAAAGGAAAGTGGCATGGACCAGCACCTTAGCCGCATCTGGCGTTAAGTAGGGGCAGATGCGCACAATGTTTTTGATATGGAAGCAGCAGGATTTGGCGATTGACTGGCCATGAGGGGTGAAGGAGAGGTGGAAGTCAAAGAGAACACCTAGGCAACGAGCCTGCGTGGTGGAGCTGATGGTAGCACCATTAACATGGAGTGAGACAGTAACGGGAGTAGCAACACTTGAGGGAGGAAAGACCAGAATTTCAGTTTTGGACAAGTTGAGCTTAAAGGACCACTATAGTGCCAGGAAAACATACTCGTTTTCCTGGCACTATAGTGCCCTGAGGGTGCCCCCACCCTCACAGTCCCCGTCCCGCCGGGCTCTAGTGTGAGGAAGGGGTTAAACTTACCTCTTTCTCCAGCGCCGGGCAGGAAGCTCTCCTCCTCCTCTCCGCCTCCTCTCCTCCTCTTGACTGAATGCATGCACGGCAGGAGCCACGCGCGCATTCAGCCAGTCCATAGGAAAGCATTCTGAATGCTTTCCTATGGACGCTGGCATCTTCTCACTGTGAAAATCACAGTGAGAAGCACGGAAGCCCTCTAGCGGCTGTCAATGAGACAGCCACTAGAGGCTGGATTAACCATTTATAAACATAGCAGTTTCTCTGAAACTGCTATGTTTATAGAAAAAAGGGTTAAACCTAGCTGGACCTGGCACCCAGACCACTTCATTAAGCTGAAGTGGTCTGGGTGCCTATAGTGGTCCTTTAACCCCTTAAGGACCAAACTTCTGGAATAAAAGGGAATCATACCATGTCACACGTTATGTGTCCTTAAGGGGTTAAGGAAGTGGGCAGCCATCCAGTTAGAAAGAGTAGAGAGGCAGTCAGAGACACTAGTCAAGAGAGGTGGGGAGAGATCAGGGGAGGACAGATAAATTTGTGTGGCAGTATAGATCGAGCACAGTTGGGAACCAAGGACTGAACCTTGGGGGAGACCAACAGAGAGAGGTTGGGAGGGAGAGGCAGAGACAGAGAACGAAATACTAAAAGAGTGCGGGGTGAGGTAGGAGCACCAGGAGAGAGCAATATCTCATAGATTGAGATTAAGGAGGATGAGAAGAAGCTGTTGATGATCAACAGTATCAAAAGCAGTGACAAGGTCAAGGAGAATTAGGATAGAGTAGTGACCATGAGATTTTGCAGCGAGTGGATCATTTGATACTTTGGTCAGAGCCGTTTCCACAGAGTGCTGAGCGCGGACACCAGACTGAAGTGGGTCGAGCAGAGAACTGGACTTGAGGAAGTTTGTCAATCTCGCATACACTATTTTTTTTCAAGGATCTTGGATGCAAAAGGAAGTAGCGAGATAGCACAATAGTTGGATGGGGAGTTAGGGTCAAGGTTGGGCTATTTAGAATCAGGGTTACAGTTGCAAGTTTGAAGGGTAATGGGAATATGCCATAGGAGAGGGAGAGATTGAGAATTTTAGTGAGAGGCAAAGCAAGAGAAGGAGACAGGGTATGGATGAGATGCAAGGGAATAGAATCAAGGGAGCAGGTGGTGGGGCGGGAGGACCAGAGCAGATCAGAAACTTCTTCCGCTGTAGCGGGTGCGAATGAGCATTGAACAGCAGAGGGAGTGTGGTTGGGGGAAGTATTGTAAGTGGCAGAATTACATACCAGCAGGTGGATCCTAACACGTACCATGACAATGAGATGACATTAACCATTGTGATATTTCTAATTTAATGTTAAATAACAATTGAGTGGTTCGATGCCAATTTACCTTTTTCCCTTTAATGTTTCAAGCTTGCCATGTACTTTACAAGATGTATCACAGTTACTACTTGAATTTGTAATACTGACACTAAATGTTTACTTCTATTACACCATTTTGAACTAGTTAATTGCACTGATCTTTTTTTCTGAGATCTAATCGTAAATTATTTTCCCAGCTTCACCTTTACTAAACAAACAAAATAGAGCCCATGGTCATTGAAGTAGCTAGCATCTAGAATGCAGCATCGGCTTCTGTAGCAAAATGAGATGCTAAGGTGCTAAGGTGACATTGGCTGGAGGAGTAGGTGTATTAAGCATCCAGGATAACCCTCAATGGTCCATGGGGAGGGAGAGCAAGCCATGCCATTGGTCACTTAATTCCTGATTGAACCTCCAATAATCAGTTATGGCAGCCTCCCAAATCCAGTGACAAAGGTATGTTGCCATTACTACATGTGTAGGCAGAATAGGAATACTCAAGGCTTTTTTCACGTATACAAAAGAGGACCTTCAGGGTGTAGGCCTTCAGAGCAATAAGAAGAGTGCTCAAATCCACAGATGGGAAAGGTGGGTGTTTTCCTGTGTAAAAGTGTATACACACCTCTTTACAATACTGTTGGTAAGTTTCCCTCAGCTTCTGTTAGAAGGATTAATTCATGTTTCACCCCGGCCAAACTCCAATCAATACGGTCTAAATAAACTGGACAAACCTTTCTTGGGTAATAGCAAAGTGCAGTCAGAGAGCACTATTGAATGCTTTCGATGCAACCAAAGAAAGGAACAGAATAGACCACACTATGTCACCGTATGGCTCCTCAACTTCCATTTTGGTTATAGGCACTAGGAGTTTCCATAGGGCTTCCGCAGACAGTGAAAGGAAGGAAGAGATACATTAACATTCTCGAATACAGGAAGCAGACACTGGACTGGCATCCTTGAGGTTACATAATGTGTCTTAATAGGCAGTTAAAACATATGTCTTCATGGTTCATGAGTTTCGGAGCTTTAGCGTGTAACAAGCTCCTCTCGTGTTTGCAGTTCTCTCCTAAAGGCAAGCAGCTAGGAAACAAGTTTTTGTTTTTTTTGCTTTGTTTTGTGTCCCTTGGTGTTTCATGTTTGCTTTGGTTTTAAATGTTTAATTAAGATGAAAGTCTGTCATGTCCAAATCCATACAATTTACTTGTTTTGTAACATTCCCAAATGCCCATAACACTCACTAAGGTGTGCAAGTTGCTCGTGATGTGAGCTGTTAGATCCTGTAATTTGCTTTTGAGGGTTTATTTTTTTTCAACCTTACTAACCAAGGTCTCCTTTACCTTAATGCCGCTGTATAAAATGCTTCCTTATAAGCTACTAATGTGCAAACTATATTATTTCCACTGACACATCCAGAAGTGATGATTTTGTAAAGCCTACTGCACCTCTTATTTAGTGATAATATGTATTAGCTCATCCATTAATCTCCACTGTTTGGAACTAGTGATGTCCCGAACTGTTCGCCGAACGGTTCGCCATGAACGGTTCGACGCGGACTCATTATTGAGTAAACTTTGACCCTGTACCTCACAGTCCACAGACACATTCCAGCCAATCAGCAGCAGACCCTCCCTCCCAGACCCTACCACCTCCTGGACAGCATGTATTGTGAAGCTGCATTCTTAGTGAGCTGTCCCGGAGGAGGGAGGGTCTGCTGCTGATTGGCTGGAATGTGTCTGCTGACTGTGAGGTACAGGGTCAAAGTTTACTCAATGATGAGTCCGTGGCGAACCGTTCGGCGAACAGTTCGGGACATCACTATTTGGAACCAAAGAACTAAAATTTTCCACCCGCTGTTCAGTTTCGTTATCCTGTGTCTGGTGAGAACACTTTCTCCCAGTATACCTTAACGCCTTCTGGACAACAAAGCAGAAGTGCTTATGGTACTTAGAGTAAACCTTTAAAGAAATGTTGTTTTTTCTTCTCAGATGATACCTGAGGTTAAAGGTGTATGTCCTACAGATGATGTCCTATAGTGATAAAGATATTGTCCGCTAAATACCATAACATGCTATGAAACATTTGATGGTGAAATCCCATCTATATGATATGTTGAATATTGCTGGTGGACATTGCAACGCCCACCTTTGTGCTATAGTGTTTGATCACAGAACTGTAAAAAATATTATTCTCTGGGAGAATATATTCATCCTTTTTATATTTCATAGCCATCTCTAAGTGACATCACAAGATGACATCACAAAGTTGATATTTAGTCATAAAATGCATCTTTTTAGAGAAACACTGCACATTGCATACCCTCCTCCTTTATACCAGAGCAGACTTTCTGTGGCTGTCCAATCACAGACTTCTCTAATTTCTTGAGTGTAGCTTCACTGAGCTAAACAAACCAGGAACTAAACGGAGACACTGGACACACTCTTCCACAAACGGATGTGCATTATATGTTTGGAGTGTGTGCTTGTTCAGAAGATTCTGTGGGGTCGTTTCAGAAAGCAAATTCCTTTTAGAAGGATCCTTACTGTGAAATAAACTGATTGGTTGAATCTGCAAGTCAATAATAAGTGTATTGAAGTCATGCATGTAAAGGCATATAATAGTCTTTGTCTTATTTTGGCGCCAGTTTTATTTATTTACTTATTTTTTCTTTTCACTTTGACTCCAGCATTTAGCAATCTGTATTTATTTATTTATATTTCTATCTAAAGGGGAAATGCCACTTTCCAGGATCTGTTAAAGGGATTCTATAGTGCCAGGAAAACAAAGTTGTTTACCTGGCACTATAAGGTTCCTACAGTGCCACCCTCCCTGGTGCCGCCCTTCAGTCATTTACCTGAATCCAGCGCCAATGTCCCTTGGCGCTGGGTCAGGCTCCACCCACGCTCCTCCCCTGCCGATGTCAGCCGGCAGGGGAGACCTAATGTGCATGAGCGGCAATGGCCGTGCTCGCATTAGGAACTCCCCATAGGAAAGCATTAATCCTATGAGCCTATGAAGATTCCGGTGACACTGGAAGTCCTCATGCACAGCATGAGGACGTCCAGCATCATTTAGGCGACCAAAAGTCGTCTAAGCACCCGGAAGTCCCTCTAATGACCTTCTGGCAGACAGCTACTAGAGGAGGAGTTAAGGGAAGGTTAAGGGACATGGGGTTAAGGGACATGGGGCATTGCTGCCAGACCACTTCAATAAGCTGAAGAGGTCTGGGTGCCTACAGTGTCTTTTTAAGGAACACTATAGAGTTAAGAACACTAAATTGTAGTCCCATCACTAGAGTGTCACTCTCAAAACTGTATTCCTAACGCTATAGTGTCACTATGCCCTAAAGTTATTGTCCAGCCCCCCAACCAGGCAAAGGGTAGATAACACTTTAAACACTTTCCTGATGTACGGTACTGGCTCCATGTCTGCCTCCTCTGATGTCAGCAGAAGGGTGGTCCTAATGTGCATGCGCTGCTAGTGCCGCACAGCGCAATAGGTCTTTCTCATAGGAAAGCATTGTATCAATGCTTTTCAAACGGGGGATTTGAAGATGTTGGACATCCTCATGCAAAGTGTGAGGATGTCCTGCATCGTTTCACGGAATTAAACCCCATGACAGAGCAGGAAGCGCCTCTAGTGGCTGTCTGGTAGAAATCCACTAGAAGCAGTCTTAATTCTGCAATGTAAACTTTGCATCTTCTCTAAACCGGCAATGTTTTACTTAGCAGGAGTAAGGGGACAGAGACACTGCACCCAGACTACTTCAATGAGATGAAGTGCCTCAGTGCTTATAGTGTCCCTTTAATTCTATGTTTACTTATCCCTATATTTAACAAATATCTATTTGTGATGTGTGAAAAATAAATGTAATGTAAAAAATCCACACAAGCACCTCTACCTTGGCTCCATGCCAACCATTGTTATAAGCTCTGTCCATTGTACCTGTACGTCAGCATAGAAAAACGCAAACAGAAAAGAAAGGAAATTCAACAATGTTTCTATATCTCCTCTTCTTTTGCAATGTTTGCCCTGGATTTTCTTTATCTGAATTGAATTATTTTTCATATAAAATTAAATGAAAACAGAGGATCTCACAAAAAAGATTAAGAAAATGTATAGGTGATTTTCAATGTTTTATTTAATAGGGTGAATCCCAGAGAAATTAAAGATCCCCTATAAAACAGTGTCTTGAGGGTCATATTTATACTGGTTTATTTTTATTAGGATATAATGCCCTCCAAAACTTTACAGTGGGTATTTGTGGTGGGAAATATGAGATGTCTAAAACCCGGAATTGTGCGAACTCTCCCTCACTTGATTTACATAAACTGACTCAAACAAAATAATAATTGCAGTCATATAGATGGGCAATTTGCCATTTACCTACATAGCTGGTTACTTTTCTTGTCGTCACAGCTTCATGCTGTCTCCACTAATTACCAGGTGATAGTTGAGAGGTTTTTGACCAGGGGGTAAATAATCTTCCTGACCCAGATCCCAGGCTTCTGGGGAACATACAGATGCACAAAGAAGTGGAAAAAGCTGTCAGATTGGCTGCTGTTTGATGATTTAAATAAAAATAACTTAATTATATTAAAAAAAATAATGTTTAATTGTTTTATTCCCTTATAGGAGGAAATTTTAAATAACACTAGACCAAATAACAAGAAAATATCCCAAATAATCTAATCGAATCCATGGACCTGAATAATTCTAAATTCTGTGTATGTGATAGATTTTGATTGCTCCAACCTATGGGACTTTATATAAACTAATCCCTATTCCTCCCAGGCACTTAAAGCAGCTGTCACTTTTCGGCCTTTCTGAGGTCTTTGACTATCTTGCGAAGACTCCCAATGGTGACATCACAGCTTGGTGTGTGGTAATCCAGGGGTGCAGTGAAAGGTCGGTTTTACTCACCGAAAGCATGCTCAATAGTTGCTTTGCTATGGGGGAAGTCTTAATGCCAGCATGGAGTTCACCATGTATGAGCATGGTCCCCCCTGCCAGCAGATGTCGGCAGGGGAGAAGGGCTGGTGGAGCCTGAATCAGCAGCGAGGGTCATCGGCACTGAAATCAGGTAAGTGGCAGAAGGGGTTAAAATGGATGCAAGCTGCTTACCTCACAGACAGTCATTTTGAAACATCACCAGCTTGTTGGAAATTAATTGCTAAGAGCATAGAGACAAGCACTTTATGTACAAGTTCTGCCCAAATATCTGTTAAAATTCATCATTTGCACTCACTCATACCTCGTTTATATACCAAGGGCATTTTTGTTTCGATTCGTCTTTCTTTCCCAAGACAAGGTAAAATCTCTCAAATATTAACTCCACCGTTTCAACAACACTGTCCTGCAACCCGTGAGCTTACTCATACATGTTAAAAAGCTGTAAATGTTACATTTGTTACAATGTTACATGAGATACCTGGATCTATATGCTGTATATATGAATGAGTTCTCGCTCATCCGCATGATGCTGAGCGGGTCCCCAATATTCACAATATTGCCTCCTGTCTTAGCTGTCTTAGTTGCACACCACTGAGCAAAATTTATTGTGTTTGCAACTGTAGACCACAGCAATCAATTAAGACACGGGATTTGAGATACCTGGATCTAAATGATGTATATATGAATGAGTACTTGTTCATCCGTATGATATTGAGCGGGTCCCCACTAACATTCTATAGTTGACTCATAACAACTTCTAGCAGCATTATTTAGTAAAGGATACAGCAATAGGGGATTTATTTCATACATCTGCCTCACCACTATTAGCTTCCCGATAGCAAGTGTTTGACACCTGGGCCTCGCTATTTTTGTTCTCCCCATGTATCCCCTCACTTCCACTTTTCTCTCAACACCCAAGCGATTTATATATACATCGGACGCTTTTGGGTCACTCCTATTACTTGGTTACCCATACATCAGGGTGCTTATTTGTAACTGTATGCATAGGATACCATTACCTTCAGTTACATTTTTACCACATCTCCCTAACAAAACATCCGATCCAACTAGCGGTTAGATCGGCTATTTTTTTTTTTTAACAACATTGTATCAGGTACAATCAAACCTGTTACAATAGGCTACAGTGTATGGTCCTATTTTAACTTAGTCACGTTTGTACTTTATTCTTTTTTTGCACTTTGCAAATCACACACCTTTTTTCTTTATTTTTACCTTATATATGTATACCCAATTAGGGACTCCATAAAGTTGTAACATAAAATTTATTTTCAATGGGTTTTACAATTTTAGGCAATTCTTTGCTTTATATTAAAACCTCTATCAGGGTATTAAAACTGTTTTCGGGCTTGCCTCTTTTGTGTAAGTCCTCCTCAGCCCTTCTAATTATCCTTTACATTTAGTTATGCCCACAATACCCTACAACCCAATACAACTTCGGTGAGGAGTACGTTCCTCCTCTACTGACGCTGTATATTCCATACATTTGATTTTACTTGCTTGTTGTAAATGAGTATCAATATGCAAATTTTCTCTTCTTTAGCAAGTCTTATTTTATTAAGTTATACTGATACCATGACATTTTTGTAGACATTTTTAACAATTTCCTCTGAAATATACCATTTCGCCATCTAGTGGTACATTATGGTAATTAAGATATCAAATGATATTTTTGCATAGCATATTTTTTACTAATCTGTGTTTCTCAAGTAACAAAACCAAAAATATACAAAAGTGTAAAGGTTAATTCAAATGAAGATGCCTTTCTTACTATACCTAGAGGCATCTCAGCCACACCTCACTGATAAGGCCCAAGACGGTTGAAACGGTCATATGGGGTGTCTGTATCTCGTGTGTAGAATGCATTTGCCTGACCGTTCTGTTCAGTATTTCCCTAAGTCCCTTGTAGGTGGGATCAGTTTCATATGCTAAGTTTTCTGGAATAGGTAATGGCACAAGGAAGGTAGACGTTTGAGATTTGAGTGGGGAACTAGCCAATGGGCAAAGCAATATGGTTTTGTTCATTATCACATTTTATGGCTTTTTAAAACCTCATTTCCAAAAAGTTCATAGCATAACTGCATACAAGAAGGCACAATTATAACCCTTTACCTGTTTAGGTTTATTTACCATTTCTAAGAAAGTAGCTATATGATGTAAATGGAATGTTTTAAACACCCACTTTTAATAATAGGAAAGTGAATGTCTTTCTTATATATATTATATAAAGTACTAAGTCACAATCGTATCTAATGGCCAGTTTTATATGCTGCAACACAAAAAGGTTTAGTGGCCCAATCAGACTTGATAATTTAACTAAGTTCCCAAGTTAGAGTTCCTAATAATCTAAAAGCGGCCTACTGGCTGATCAATGGAAATGTTGCAAATGAGCAGTCTAGAACTACACTTTTATTGTGGCATGCTTTGTTAACATGGTGACTTTCAGAATTTTAAAATCTATTATACATTTAATTAAACTGTTTCTACATTTAACCTATTAGGTCTATTTTAGCCTATCACTTGTTTCTCTTTTAATATAAGAAGCTCTATGTTGCTCAGCAGTTTATATTGTGCATTTGTATTGACAAATCCTTTATGACATTTAAAGGTAGACTGTTTCAAAAAAATATATAGCATGAAAGCGGTCACGATATGGCATTGAGTTCTATAAAATTATGTGAATCTACTACTGGCTATACATGAGCGTTTCAGATTTAGCTATCTTGACCCACCAGGATGCCCTGGTTGTGTGGGCACAAATGGCAGATTGCGTGGTATCTGACCTTTCCTAGTTAAATAATGCTGTCTACAATGCACAACAAAAGCACTGAGTAAGAACTGAGCAGCTGAAGCATTGCAGAGTACAGCAAGAATATGGGGGGTGACAGGGTGATTTGGCTGAACAATGTATACAGCTTTATATGACCAACCAATAAATTGTCATCTATTTTAGCCTGGTTGCAATTTTCAATTCCTATCTGCTGTAAAAAAAAAATTAGCCATAGCGAAGCCATACCCATTTCTATATTAAGTTAAAAGTTTTGTCAGATATTTACCCAGTCCCCTAAGCATTTTCCTTATGCAATCCCCCCACACCCTGTGAAATGTCACCCCAGAGAAAGTGTTGTATTTTAAAAAAAAACATTTTTTTTTAACAGAATGAAGTTTGAGGGGACTCTAGTTATTACTGCTTCCCCCCTCCCCCCCCTCTGAATAATAGACCGTTTATGAGTCTACCATACAGAGATGAATTATTGAATAACTCTGTATGTAACTTTATTGGCTTATTTGGTTATTCTGGATTCCCGACCTCAGCTTGTCCTGATTTGTCTTTGTTAGCCGCTTGTACCAAATTATTGACTTGATATACCCACTTCTGGATCTACCGACCTTGGCAAATCCCTTAGTTTATGTTAAGCCCAGCCATAATGAAGTGCCTACACAAAACAAAGCAAAATTCTACATTTAGAATGACATGCCGTATTTTTTTTAACCGCTTAGTGTCCAGACCATTTTTCAATTTTCTTACCGTTAAGGACCAGGTCTGTTTTTACATTTCTGCGGTGTTTGTGTTTAGCTGTAATTTTCCTCTTACTCATTTACTGTACTCACACACATTATATACCGTTTTTCTTGCCATTAAATGGTCTTTCTAAAGGTACCATTGTTTTCATCATATCAGATAATTAACTATAAAAAAAAAAAAAAAAATATGATGAAATTGTTTTTTAAAAACACACTTTTTCTAACTTTGACCCACAAAATATGTTACGCATGTTACGCATCTACAGCCGCTAAAAAACACCCATGCTAAATAGTTTCTAAAATTTGTCCTGAGTTTTGCAAATGCCCAATGTTAATATGTTCTTAGCTTTTTTTGAAAAGTTATAGGGCTATAAGTACAAGTATCACTTTGCTATTTCCAAACCATTATTTTTTTTTTTTAAATTAACGAAAATTGCAACACTGATATCTGTCAGGAATCCCTGAATAATCCTTCACATGTATATGTTTTTTAAAAGAAGACAACCTAAGGTATTGAACTTTTTCACTATTTTCATACATCCATTTTACCACCAATCCATGCCAAATGTAAAAAAATTAAATAAAAAAAAGTTGGTGATGTTTTTTTGACACATAGCAATTTAAGAATACATGTACGGAGAACTTTAAGGGTTACTGCCAAAGAACACCCCAATATGTGTTCAGCAACATCTCCTAAATACAGTGATACCACCCATGTACAGGGCCAGATTAACATAGGGGCTGATGGAGCTGCAGCTCCAGGCATGCCCATGAAATAGCCACACTGCTAAAATCTCTTTACATGTGGATGAAGGGAAACAAAACTGGTGTTGATTGGCTGACAATGAAATTAGTTAAGGTAAAGCTGACTTTGTACACTATGCAAAGCTGCTTTGGTAAGTGGCATGTTCCCTTTCTTGTACACTCACTTCATACACCTTTTCTCTGTCCCAGACTGTGTAACAGGAGCTTCTGCCTGCTAGTAAGAAGGTAAGGAGAGGAGTGGACAAGTGAGTGCTAGTGGACAGTCCTTAGAAAGCATGGAGCCAGCGCATCATTAGATGCATTTATGCCAAACTTAGGGTGCTGTCTGCATGGTATGCCTTTTGCAGGCCAGTGTGCATTATTGAAATACATTCACGCTGGCTGACCTTCCAATTCCTTTGATTTTTTGGGCATGTTTGCCCCTTTGTGCGCTTTTGGTTACTTAATTTGCATCAGTGGCCCACTATTTTACCCTGTCCACAGAAATCCTGCTTAACCAGACACTGCTGTTAGGGGGTATGGACAGGGCCGGTGTAAGGATTTCTGCCGCCCTAGGCAAAGATCCATTATGCCGCCACCCTCATGTCACTAACTTCCTGACAGACACACACACACAGACACTTACTGATAAGACCTACACTCACTGACAGACACACACACAGGCAGACACTCACTGACACACTCAAACACTCACCTCCCTGGGGTCCAGTGTGGGGTAGCTCCTCACTCCACCAGCGCACCGTTTAGTATGCCGGGGCCGGAATGATGTCATATTCCGGCTCCCGGCATTACAGAGGGCACGCAAGGGAGGAGTGAGAGGCTGCAAGAAAAGCCTCCCTCGCCACCTTCCTGTTCTGTCCCCTCTCCTACGGTTACCGGCGTTTTTTGGCAGAACAGGCACCTGCCATCAAGGTAAGCAGGTGTCTACTCTGCCTTACCTAATACAGGTTCGGGGGCGCCCTGAGGTGGCCAGATGGCCACCTCCTGGCACCCGTGACAGGCCTCCTCTCGGCGCCCCCACCTTCGGGTGCCTTGTGTAGAGTAATGTCTAATGAGTAAAGGTTTTATGGTGATTTGGAAAGTTACAGGGTCAAACATAAGATTTGCCAATTTCTGTTTTTGTAAATTGCTATTTGCTAGATTGGCTATGTTGCCTTTGAGACGGTATGGCAGCCCAGAATTGAAAATTAATCCCACCATGACATACCATTTGAAAAAGTAGACAACCCAGGGTATTCAAAATGGAGTATGTCCAGTCTGTTGTAGTAGCCACTTATCCACAAACGCTTGCCAAAGTTAGCATTCATATTGTTTTCTGCATTTTATTTTACACAAAAACTGCAATTTTAATGGTGATTTCATCGTCGTGATATGTTTTACTGTTTTATTTTTTTATTCTTTATTCCAAGGCAAGACACCACATGAAATCATACATTACAACAGGGTTATAAATATTATTCCAAAGACATATCCATATTCGCATGAGGTGGACAAGCGTATGTTTTTATAGAAACAAACTTCAACGTAGTGCAGCAGACTGTTGTGTGTCAACTGCTGTAGTCCGTATATCAGTGGTGTCCCACCAGGTTCTTTTGATAAAGGGTAAAACAGTGAGAATGTGACCAACCATTGTGAGCAGGACCCTGACATCCAGTGCCTAGGTTTGTCGACCTATATAGTGCTCTGGTGGGATCGTAGCAATCGAGGTATCGAACTCAGCTTTTAGTGTTACCAGTGTTGCATTACCAGGTTAGTGTTATTGCCTCCTGTGTCTCATCATATGAAAGGTAATGCCCTCGCAATTGTTATGGTCGAAATGTGTCAGTCAGAATAAAGAGGAATGTAGTGATAAGAGTGATAGAAGTAGAGAAAACCTTAAAGAGGTAAAGAGGAGAGAAGGGAAGGAGGGGGGAGAAGGGTTAAGAGGGAGGGAGAGGAGGAAGTACAGGAGGGAGTGGAACAGGAAGTTACCGGCCATGGCGATCGCAGATCTATGCGACCTTATTACAAAGTGACTTCAAAATGTTTAGCAATATCACAACGTTTGTGGATTAGGCCAGATCGTGTGGGACTGCCTGTGGGATCCCATTCAAACCCCTGCGGGAGAGCAGGCTGGGTGAGTCAAAAGTTAAGATAGGTGGCTACAGAAACAGGGGTGAGAGTGATGTTCAGACGGTGGTGTCAATTTGGTCTTACGTATGCCAATGTCAAAAGTCAGCAGATGGTGGTCAGATATAGGAAAGGGAATATTGGAGAGATTAGAGGCAGTACAGAGGTTGGTGAAGGCAAGATCAAGAGAGTTTCCTGCTGTATGGGTTGCTAGATTGGACCATTGCGTAAGGCCAAAGGAGGAGGTTACAGAGAGCAGAACCGTCTCAACCACGGCCGGATCCTGAAGTAAGGAAGCATTCAACTTCCACGACCACGGGGATGCCGTGCACAATTTATCCAAGATCAGTGTGAGCTCTGCCTGGTCCGACCACGTGATAGATCCCACCGCAGAACCTGACACTTTGGGCACTACATGGGGTTCACCAAAAATAGGTCAACCCTTGAGTAGGTATCGTGGGGTGCCGAATAAAAAGTGTAATCCCTGTCAGGATGATGCGCTCTCCAGATATCTAGGAGGCCCGTATGCCGTATAAAGTTTTGTAACAATTTATCCTGTCACCCTCTCCTATGGGACCGTGGGAGACCACCACTTGGGCCCCTATCTACCGCGGGACATGCTACAGCATTGAAATCACCTCCCGCTATTACCATGCCGTGCGGCAGAGTGTTCACTAATTGGGCCATATCATCAAAAAAAAAAAATCAGTGGAGGGGAATGGTGAATAAGCACTGCAACTCCGTTCCTCTTATTTAAGGCCCTAGATTCATGAACAGTCCTGAAGGTGTGGTCCTTCAGAGCAAATGTTGCCACCGCCGGTATATGTGTCTCCTGCAGGAAAGCTATGTCAGGATCGAGATGTTTAAGTTCCCTAAACATAAGACGACATTTATTAGGAGCATTGAGGCCCATAACGTTCAGGGAGAGTAATTTCAGAGGCATTGGATCCTATAGAATACAGAGCATGTCTCATGAACCATCTCACCCTAGGGCTGGGTTGCACGGTCCATTATAAACCATATCATGAAAAATGGATGGCCTGGTCTCAACTGGCCATGACCATGTTGCACAGCGCGTCCAATCTCACCTGTTCCACCTCCCGAAGGACATTGTGCAAGGGAAGGAATAAGAGAGAAGAACAGAAAACGAGAGATAAAACAAAAAGAACAATGTTTGCCTGGTCTTGCCTATAGCCAGGCGTGTCTGGGGTGTAAGCTCCGTCCTCCTCAGAACCTCAAAGAAGCTCTCCAGGAGTAGGAACATAGACCAACTAGGTAACGCACCACCAGGGTGCCAATTTGAACTAAGTGTGAGATACGATATGCCCAACCGTTTGGCGGGCCTCTTTGCAGCGTATAAACCACAACCTCGGAGGGTCACCCCCCCCCTTTCCGCCAAGCCCCCCCAGACTACTGCCTGAGGCGGCATAGCCAAATATCCGCCCCCTGCCCCACAACCACAGGCCCAGGGACTGTAATGCCTCTCAACCCCCAGAGGGTTATATATCTGATTCCATAGCAGATCCAGGGCAGACCAGCAATGTAGAGCTGACTCACAGAGGGGCGGGGGGGATCATTAACAGCTCCAGGGGGAAGAGCTCCCAGGCCGCCCAAATACCCCCCACCTCCCCGGAACAGTACCCCACTCGGTGTAAAATCCTTAAGAATTATCTAGTGAATCAGACCATGAACAGTAACCGAACATTATAAACATGTCCCCAACAAATCGCCAACCCACCTCGGTAACTGCCGCCCGCCTCCCGGTACCGCCCGACCGTGAACAGCCCCAGAGGGTAAAAAAACTCTTAAACAACCTAGATGCCCCCCACCTCCCCGGAATGATACCCCGCCTCGAACAGTACACAATATCCATAGCCAATATACACTTCCCGGACCCGCCATATTAGTTGTCTCCCTCTGCCTGCCGCCCAGGACAACCCGACATACTCAACGTAAGCGTAAGTAAAGTTAGAGGGTAATACCGTAAACAAAATCTGCAGCCAATATACATTACACCAACTGCCATAACATTCGACTAACTCAGCATGATGCGTAAAAAAACACATTCCCACCATAATCAGCTACTGTCCCGTAGTGTTAATGAGTTTGCCGGTGAAAGGATCGGAATAGTATAAAATTGACCCCCCTGAGCATCACGGCCTCCTCCCGCCCCCAACCAGCAGATACTCAGAAATTAGCTTGGTGGGCTGAAATTGACAAACAGTAGCATAAGAAAACCCTAACCCACCACCCCAAACTCGAGTCATCCCCACTCGAAAACCAGCCCACTGTGTAGGGACAGCCCAACAAAGGCCCCCAGGCAACAGGGCCAGGAGAGACAGGAGGGGCATGAACCCCCCAAAACGGGAGATAAAGAAACCCCCAGGTCCACCCTCCCAAACATCAAGAGCCCCCTCTGAGAACCTGACCGCCCAGGGCCACGGACATCCGACGTCGTCACTCACCCACCATTAACCAGTCGCGAGGTAGAGGACTCAGGACTCTCACCGGTGCAGCCTGAACTGCCAAATCCTCCAGAACCTGTATGTCCAGCTCCTTCGGAAACGGCACTGGATCACCGTCCGCATTTAAGATCTTGGTGCGCCCATCCTTACATGCCATTAGTCGGAAAGGGTGGCCCCAAGCATATATAATGGCATGTTGCTGAAGCAGTTTGGTGACAGGGCGCCACTCGCGCCGCCTCTGAAGCGTCGCTGGTGTTAGGTCCTGGTACAGGGCAAGTTCTGCCCCTTTATATACAATTGTGTCATTCCTACCACGTTTCATTATGGCCTCCTTCGTCTGGAAGTATAAGAACCGGATAATCACGTCTCTCGGCGGGCTATCATCCATTGTAAGTACAACCTTTGTCCTTGTTAAGATATCAGAACTCCTGAAATACTACACTATATTACTTTATCTGTGCTTACTTCACATATTACCTTGGATTTGATAACAACACCACAGGCGCTGCCTACCTGCACCTTTTTCTACACATCAACCATATCACCAGAAAGAAGAGACTCTGGTTAGGGCAGTCAAAGCTGCCCCACATCCAGAATACAAGCGCCAAAAACTCTGCCTCCTCATACACTAACTGAACTCTGGTTGTGTCCTACCACGGGTAAGATAAGGCTACAGAAGAAGACATTGAGGCCTACTCAGACTGGGAGTGCTGTTGACGGCCTCAGCTTTGCTCCTGTGCCTGACCACTGCACAATGGATCCTGCTGTACCATCTCTCTGGTCTCGTTCCACACCCTTTGGACGGGTGGGGTTAACCCAGCCCCCACTGGACGGCACTGCAGCAGCTATCTGCAAAGTTTGCAGTGAAAGTAACAGAGCTTGGAATCTAAGATGGCCCATTATAAGATTTTCCACTCAACCCACTTCTTAGAGCAGGTTTGTGGCAACTCTTTAACTCTGGCCCAGGCAGACCCAACTTTGTGTCGTCGCCTCTCCAAGAAAGGAAATCACTGTCCTCATCTTACTGTGTACCCAGCATCTGTGTTTGGCTCCCGCACTTGCTTTCCCGAGCCTCTGCCTTCTGGAGAGGATCTCCCTATCTCAGCCCTGCACCTAGAAGAGTGTTTCACTGGTGAAATGCTGTAGAGGCATCTCCTGGGACCTGATCATGGTTCATTGGAGGACCGCATCTGAGGGCGTCAGATGACTGTTCATTTTGAGCTCTGGAGCATTTAGAGTGGGCTATGCTGGAACTTTCCTACCAACTTTACATTCGCCATGCTGGAGGTCGGAGTGAGTTGGAGGACTACTGGGTTCCTGAAATAGTATTAAGCCTAGGAATCTCATAGTCTATAGTAGCGGAACCGACCACTCTAATGAAATTGGGCTACGATTATTACCAGATAGTGATGCATCCTTGCCTTTTTCTTCTTAGCCTCTACATCTTTATTGGGCAGCCATTAATTTTGATATGCATGGCATAGTTCTCTCTCTGAGTTAGTCTTCAGTGGCACCTTTATTTTCCTAAGCATGTTTTAGGTGTAGGCAGTTAGCCTTATCTACCTTTACTCAATACCAGATTGTTTCTCCTGATATGTGTTACTTTGACCATATTGGTTATAACCTCACTGCACTTTGTAATTTATTGCTTTCCAATCTTCCCTTACTATAAAACGAGGCTCACGTTAATGGTGTGTACTATATACTCCATTGTGCGACCCTTGTTGACCTTCAGTATTATCATGCGTTTACTGCACAATTATAAAGTCCCTGTTTTAAAGCCACCACTATTTGTTTTTGTACCTCTGCTTTGTGCCTCAATAAAAACTTTGACAAAACCTGTACATGGTGGGGAATTCGTGTACGTGCGGGACAGCACAGCATACAGATGTGTATTTTATTACAATAAATATTAACTATGATGACATTCACAGTTAAAATGCCATGCAGAAAATAACATTTCTTAATTTCTCCCCCCTTTTCAGATTTTATTCATAATAAATGTTTCATATATAAATATTTGATGGGAATTAAAAGCTTTGTTTCTCCTGAACAAAATGATATAAAATAAGTGCGAGTGCACTTAATATGGAAGAGGTAAATTATAGTTGAACATATATATAGTGCAAATTCTAGTTATCCAGCCACTAGAGGCACTTCCGCGATTCTCACTGTGAAAATCACAGTGAGAAGACGCTGGACGTCCATAGGAAAGCACTGACCTAATGCTTTCCTATGGGCGGTTTGAATGCGCGCGTGCGGCTCTTGCCGTGCATGCGCATTCGGATCTGATGTCAGCAGGGGGTGGAGAGTTCCCCAGCACAGAGGGAGCCCGGCACTGGAGAAAGGTAAGTAGCTGAAGAGGTTTTAACCCCTTCAGCCCAGCGGGAGGGGGGGAACCTAATGACCCTATAGTGCCAGGAAAACAAGTTTGTTTTCCTGGCACTATAGTGGTCCTTTAACCCCTTAAGGACACATGACATGTGTGACATGTCATGATTCCCTTTTATTCCAGAAGTTTGGTCCTTAAGGGGTTATAGAGAAAATGTCCCCAGATATATTACTCATGCACAACCACATTTCCCCCCATCCCCCTCTCACTCAGACCCTAAACACCACAGCCACTATCTATCTATCATAGTCACTCTCTCCCTTGACCTCATGGGCATGAAAACTTCCAGAAGCATTTTGGTAGTGCATGGAAGATGACACACTCCTCAGTCTACCTGGCCAATCTGCAATGGGTGATAGAAACCAGTTAGAGAGCATTCCCTGGAGTCGTACGGCTGTGTGTTGGGATGCATCGGTCAGAGCTGCCTGACACTTCAGAGACTTTATAGCACTTAATACAAGGCAGACCCCTCCTGCTTTTTGTGATTGGCCAATCAGCAGCAAGTGGGAAGATCTTTGTACTTCTAACTTTTTATTTACTCTATACAAGAATTTGCAATAATGTATTTCTTTAAAGAAAGCTATAATAATAAATAAAAAAATGTTTAAAGTGCCACAATATACTATAATGTAAAGAGTCACTCAGAGCATTCTGTAAATCACCCTCCGGAAAGAAAGCCCATTAGTTGTATAAAATGGAAAATACGTAAATTATCTTCGGGCTGATCCTTTTTTCTTTTTTTTTTTCCAGTGTTCATTTATTAACATTTTTCCTTATAAACAGTTTGTTCAAAATGCAATTACCAACAACAAAATGTTTAACAATAATTAGATTGCGCACACACAAACCTTCAAGATATGTTAAACAATATTTATGATTCACAGTTATATAGAAATCAAGGAATATTTATCAAGTTTTTAAACAGTTATGTAACAAATCCATTTACACCGTAAGGCCCCGTGGTCTAAAACATCAAATGGAATAACAGAGTGGAACAGACAGACAATACAGGTGATTTAATCTCAAGCAGACTACTTGATCGGTATATACAAAGAATCTAGAAATCCCCTGGGATAAACAGAATGTAGAGGCTGAAGATTTCAGGTGACCATATTGCTAATTTGGCCCTTCTGTGATAGTCTTGTAGTGTGCCATGAAAGGGGCACTGCGTGTCTTGCTTTTATGATAAGAAGCCAAAAAATACTCTGAAGAAAACTAACAGTCCCTTTAAGTAGTGAGAGGGCCGGTATTCCAAGTCAGATAATTAACAGTCCTTGACAACATTGTTACTGAATTCGCAAAATTATAGGAAAGGCCCTCTGGAACACAATGGGTTAACAGCAATGCATTTTCCAAGAGGACAAAACCAGAACATAGAAGGATGCGAGAGACAATAGATCATGCGATATAATGGTACTGTAATCTCTTTGGGACAAAGAAACAAAAAAAAGTTTCAAACAAAAACCTAGTCTCATGCTGGCCAGGCCAGTAACATGTTTAAATATCACAGATATGAATGGAGAGAGAATAATGTATGTAGCAACGTAGTAATAATCAGATACTGTATGCAGAATCATTTATAGCAAGAGACAACCAATGGGTAGTTTAACAAGTGTTGCTAATATGTAGCTCCAATAATCCTCAGTGAGCATTTGGTTAGAGATGGGTTGACTAAGGATTAGAGGAATGGTCATTTTGCAAAAGCAGGAGAGATACCTGCTGGCCTATGCTACAGAGATATTTAAAATAATTAATAAAATGCTCAAAATAAAAAGAAAAAAAAGAAAAAGACACTGATCATATTAATTCGTATCCAATTATTCATTTAATTGATCGTATGTTGAGATTTTGTGTAATCTCCTAGATTACACATAAAAATGGAACACTGCATGGTGAATGTAAATCATTACATAATCTATATTTACTAAGAATAATCAAAATGGTGTGTTAAACTGTAAACTATGTACTACTCCTCGTAACAACGTGCTTTTACTATTTCGGTGGCAAAGGGCAAAGGTGAAAGGAATAAAAAATGGGCTCATCTCAGGGCAGGCAAAGTAGATTAATATCTAAAAGGTGCACTGCAGCAATCTCTGGGGTCTACGTTGGCCACTGCCCCTTTTTGCAAATGTTTCCAGTGAATATCGTAACCATTCTAACACCAAGCTGGTTAATTGAGAGGAATGTGAGCAGTAGCAAAATGTGCAAATAAAACGTGCTTAAGAACACAAGCAGCTTTAAGAACACAAGCATGTTCCTACAAATTACGTTATTTAAAAAAATAAAATAAAATTAAGTCTGTTTAAAACCAAAATTCCTAATTTACCTTATTTAATATAGGTATTGGCTCATTCAATATTTTCAGAGACTTCAGAAAGACATAGGGAATGTAATTCTTAAAGTGATCGAACTGTTGTAAAAGTAAACTCTGTGTTTTAGAGCAACGATAAATGTTTGCTTAGGAAAGCATGGTAGCAAATGAATGGGTTCTAACTGGAGAAACGGATGTTTGTGACGGAACTAAAAAGTAAAGTCTATTCTTGTATGCGCTCCAATGCTGTTAAAATTGTAAAATGGGATGCACCGATCTTGAATTACACGTTGCCTTTATTCTCTGCAACGAGATTTGTTTCTGACGTCTTTCAATAAACATCAACTACAAAAATTGTAAAACCGGAAAGTAATAAAATTAATAATAATTTTTTTTGCCCTGAGTATACAGTCACAAAATGTTAGTAAAATGTACTAACCATGTGATTACCAATAACCGAGAAATTTTCACCCATAGCATGTTTTAAAACGGTCATACATGACTAAGGCCTCTAGGCCGAAACGTTGAGTCTTTGTCCTTTTTGATCTCCAATAATTTTTTGCCTTCACCCAACACTTTGACGCCTGTGGAACTCTACTTCAAGCTTTAAAACTGGATGTCTTGAAAAAAAAGAAAGTAGAAAATGATCCAGGTACTCAAGGATAACCAAATATGCAGATTTATTGGAGGAAAAAAAAAACAAGCTTTGTTTTTTTGCTCCAATACATCTGCATATTTGGTTATCATTGAGTGCCTGGATCATTTTCTACTTCATAAATTGCAAAGTGAGGTTTGCCCTACCTCGGGTCCGGTTGCACTGTGTCCCTTGCACAACTGAACATTGACGAAAAACAAAGTCTCTAAGCTTGCCAGATAATTATTCAGTGCTTACCAAAACAGTTTTTAATTTTTAAAATCACTATATGGGCCTCAGTCCCTGATTAGTAAACAATGGACATTTAACCACGCACATTTTAACTAGAACCTTGTTAAATGCAATACTGATAGTACCCCATTCCACTTAGCTGTAATTTAGTTAAAGAGCTGCAAGGGATATTACATTCTTGTTTTGCTAAAATGTAACACAGCAAGGACGCAAATATTGCCATTTGTTGATTGTTGCCAGTAACTTACATACAGAGAAAAATTCAATCAAAAAAATAAAAAATTAAATGAGAGAGGAGAACTGCAATTAAATAAACATTGTCACATCAACATTGGATGGTATCACTGTAAGACACAGATTGCAAGCTATTTCACCATTATTATAAAACAAGCTCAGGAAGAGTTTAGCCAAAAAGGTCTTTTAAGTCGTTGCTAGCAGAGGTGCTGCTTTTCATAGTGTTTGCAGGCTGAGCAAAGCTCTGTGAGTTGAAAAATGGGTTGGACTGGGTCCCAAAACCCGTTTGTCCCATCATTCCAGTTTGTGTTACTGGGCTGCTCACGGTTTGAGATCCTTGTGGTGATGTGAACTGGTTAATCCATGGACTTTGCATTTGTTGAGACATTTGGTTCATACTCACTTTGGGTTTCTGAGGGCCAAAGAGCTGGTCCAGAGGGGACAAGTCGGCAGTGGGTTTGTTCTGTTGACTCTGGGGCAACATCCCGGGAGGACTACTTAATGCATTAAAGTTTGGCACGTTGGCAGGGGTAGCCATTGGAGTCATTTTGTTAATTCCGACAGAACCAGTGCCACTGAAGAAATTTTGGTTTTGATTACCAAGCCCCATGTTGAATCCAGCTGAGTGAAAGCCAGAGTTAGAGTTTAGCCCATTTTGTACATTTCGGTTTGCACTCATGTTATCAATAGGTGCCTGAAATCCAATATTACTAGGCATGTTCGTAGCGGGAGGAAACCTGGATTTACTGCTACCACCTGAAAGACTGTTCAACGAGGACATATTTTCCATCAAGGTTTTTGTGAGATCCTTCGTCTGTAAAAATAATGCCGTAAAAGATTAGCAAAGTTTGTTCTTGCTATAAATGCAGCTATTTCCAAAACACTTCTACATAGATCCATGGTTTGAGAATATTAATTAATATCCCCTTTTTCAACACCCCAATGTATTAGTTCCTAATTGTTAGCATAATATCATCATCATCATTTTTATAGCTCCAATAATTTCTGAAATACTTTACAATTATACAGTGGAATATCCAACAATATCTAACAGACATACAATAATAAATAAAACTAGCATATAGTAACAGTACCCGTTAAAGGGATGGTCCAAGCACCAGAACCTCTGCAGATTACTGTAGAGATTACCGTGCTAGGCATCTTTGGCATCTTTTTGTCAAACCATTTTCAAGTGGTTTAACCCCAAGGGATTCCCCTGGCACACAGAGCCTACATCTTCTACAGGAGTTGTTATAATGAGCTAATACACATTCTCATTACATTGGTCCAAAATTGGTATGAGTGGATGTGGGCACTGTTCATCAGGTATTTAAATAATTTAAAAAAAAAAACAACAAAAAAACACTGTTTTTACTTTCATGCAGAGATTGATGAACGCATGATATAAAATGCCAAACAAATAAAAAGAACCCAAAAAGCCAACTAATATTTTTGTGGATTAGTCAGATAGTTCAGATTAATGTTGCGGATCAGGAACACGGCCACACTAAAAAAACTATTCTTAGCCAAGACAGTATTTCTGTTGGCCATGTTTTTGGTTTGTTGGCTAATGCTGCGCATGTCTCCATCATTACCTGTTTGACAGCAGGGGCTGGTGTTACAGGATTAGGATTGAGTGGTGGTTGACTCTTCATTTTTTGCACTTGCTCCTGTTCTCTTGCTAGCTTTTGCTTTTCTTCAAGTGTCAGTGAAACCTTTTGAGAGAACAAAAAAAAAAAAAACAAGCAAACAAATCCCCCAAATTAATATGTATTGTAGTGTAATATCACCCATGCTTTGAGAATTATAGAACATTCGTGACAGTAAAATATGTTTTACAAAATAAATTTGGTCACCATGTTGGTGTTGAAGAAAATGGTTCGATACCCCAATCTCAAGGTAAGCGCTTTTTGGTCTTGGATATCAGTTTAACAGGCACAGGTGGCTCCTCAATAGACTCCAATATTAAAATAGGAATCCTTTATTTACAAAATATATTTAAAATGATCCTATAGTGCCAGGAAATCAAAGCGGTTTTCCTGGCACTATAGATTTCTAAGGTGCCCCCCTCCCTCGCGCGGTGCTGGGTCAGACTGCACCCACACTTGCATTAGGATTTCCCAATAGTAAAGCATTCATCAAAGCTTTTCTATGGGGAAACAAATCGGATACTGGAGGTCCTCATGCAGAACGTGAGGACGTCCAGCATCAGATAACTGACCAAAGGTCCGTTTCAATTCCAGAAGCCCTTTCTATGGAACTGAAATGTTTAAAGGGACACTATAGTCACCTGAACAACTTTAGCTTAATGAAGCAGTTTTGGTGTATAGAACATGCCCCTGAAGCCTCACTGCTCAATCCTCTGACATTTAGGAGTCAAATCCCTTTGTTTATGAACCCTAGTCACACCTCCCTGCATGTGACTTGCACAGCCTTCCATAAACACTTCCTGTAAAGAGAGCCCTATTTAGGCTTTCTTTATTGCAAATTCTGTTTAATTAAGATTTCCTTATCCCCTGCTATGTTAATAGCTTGCTAGACCCTGCAAGAGCCTCCTGTATGTGATTAAAGTTAAATTTAGAGATTGAGATACAATTATTTAAGGTAAATTACATCTGTTTGAAAGTGAAACCAGTTTTTTTTTTCATGCAGGCTCTGTCAATCATAGCCAGGGGAGGTGTGGCTAGGGCTGCATAAACAGAAACAAAGTGATTTAACTCCTAAATGACAGTGAATGGAGCAGTGAAATTGCAGGGGAATGATCTATACACTAAAACTACTTTATTTAGCTAAAGTAATTTAGGTGACTATGGTGTTCCTTTAACATTGAGTGCTAAAGGGACACGGCATGCAGACCACTTCAATGAGCTCAAGTAGTCTGGGTGCCTACTGTCTTCCTTTAATACTTTTATTATATCAAATATTTGTAATATTTTTTCTAAAATAGAGAATTTTGTAAACTTGCAAGCTTAGCACTTTTTAATAATCTAAACATACAGGGAGTGCAGAATTATTAGGCAAGTTGTATTTTTGAGGATTAATTTTATTATTGAACAACAACCATGTTCTCAATGAACCCAAAAAACTCATTAATATCAAAGCTGAATATTTTTGGAAGTAGTTTTTAGTTTGTTTTTAGTTATAGCTATGTTAGGGGGATATCTGTGTGTGCAGGTGACTATTACTGTGCATAATTATTAGGCAACTTAACAAAAAACAAATATATACCCATTTCAATTATTTATTATTACCAGTGAAACCAATATAACATCTCAACATTCACAAATATACATTTCTGACATTCAAAAACAAAACAAAAACAAATCAGTGACCAATATAGCCACCTTTCTTTGCAAGGACACTCAAAAGCCTGCCATCCATGGATTCTGTCAGTGTTTTGATCTGTTCACCATCAACATTGCGTGCAGCAGCAACCACAGCCTCCCAGACACTGTTCAGAGAGGTGTACTGTTTTCCCTCCTTGTAAATCTCACATTTGATGATGGACCACAGGTTCTCAATGGGGTTCAGATCAGGTGAACAAGGAGGCCATGTCATTAGATTTTCTTCTTTTATACCCTTTCTTGCCAGCCACGCTGTGGAGTACTTGGACGCGTGTGATGGAGCATTGTCCTGCATGAAAATCATGTTTTTCTTGAAGGATGCAGACTTCTTCCTGTACCACTGCTTGAAGAAGGTGTCTTCCAGGAACTGGCAGTAGGACTGGGAGTTGAGCTTGACTCCATCCTCAACCCGAAAAGGCCCCACAAGCTCATCTTTGATGATACCAGCCCAAACCAGTACTCCACCTCCACCTTGCTGGCGTCTGAGTCGGACTGGAGCTCTCTGCCCTTTACCAATCCAGCCACGGGCCCATCCATCTGGCCCATCAAGACTCACTCTCATTTCATCAGTCCATAAAACCTTAGAAAAATCAGTCTTGAGATATTTCTTGGCCCAGTCTTGACGTTTCAGCTTGTGTGTCTTGTTCAGTGGTGGTCGTCTTTCAGCCTTTCTTACCTTGGCCATGTCTCTGAGTATTGCACACCTTGTGCTTTTGGGCACTCCAGTGATGTTGCAGCTCTGAAATATGGCCAAACTGGTGGCAAGTGGCATCGTGGCAGCTGCACGCTTGACTTTTCTCAGTTCATGGGCAGTTATTTTGCGCCTTGGTTTTTCCACACGCTTCTTGCGACCCTGTTGACTATTTTGAATGAAACGCTTGATTGTTCGATGATCACGCTTCAGAAGCTTTGCAATTTTAAGAGTGCTGCATCCCTCTGCAAGATATCTCACTATTTTTGACTTTTCTGAGCCTGTCAAGTCCTTCTTTTGACCCATTTTGCCAAAGGAAAGGAAGTTGCCTAATAATTATGCACACCTGATATAGGGTGTTGATGTCATTAGACCACACCCTTCTCATTACAGAGATGCACATCACCTAATATGCTTAATTGGTAGTAGGCTTTCGAGCCTATACAGCTTGGAGTAAGACAACATGCATAAAGAGGATGATGTGGTCAAAATACTCATTTGCCTAATAATTCTGCACTCCCTGTAGATTACACTGGATAGTATTTACTGCAGAGCTAGTAACACTTAAACATGATAATATCAATAACATAAATATGTTTAAAAAGACAACAACAAAAAAGCACCATCATATGCATTTTATCTGTAATGTTTTATGTGTAATTATTGCACACAGGAAAAATGAAAATTCCATGTGTACGGAGAATGAATAGTTACAAAACCAAAAAAAAGGCGTAGTTACTACCAATACAGTCTTAAGAAACCAAAATATCCATGAGAACAACCTAAGAAACTTTTACAGGGGTAGTTAAAGTTGTAAATGGATACATTTAAATTACATTACTTGGTATCAATAGGTGCTTGGTGTGCAAATAACACCTGCAAATGTGGATTACGGATTCATTTTAAAATCTAGTGTCTAACAATTATAAGAAAATAAAAACGGAAACAATAGCTATATTAAACATTAAACATATTAGACTCCGTATAAACCATTAGGCTATGGGTACTTACCTTTGCTTGAGGTTTGGGAACTCGTCCATTTTCTTGTTTATCAGGTAACCCCGTCAGAAAATCTTGTCCCATGTCACTAAACACTTTGTCTGGCTGTTAAAGAAAATATAATAATCAAATAACTGCTCAGAGTACATTGTACATTCAGTTATTAGAGGGTTACGTGTAATATAGTGATATATATTTTTTAATCTATTACACATCTATTGGTCCTGGAAACAGGAGTTTAGAAAAATAAAACTATAAAACAAAAAGCAGATTTTCTCACTCTTTGCCCACTGCCCATATACCAAGCTTCAGCTCCTGGAGGTTAGCACCAGGTGATAAACGAATGCCCCTTCAAAGTGCAGTTATATTGTCTTAAAGAATGCCTTAATGTGAGGATATTATGAGATAAATGGCAAGAAGGCTCCTGTTCTCTCAATCCTGGACAGAGGGTAAGTTTTTGTTTGTTTTATAATCACTGGTTTTTTTTTGGTCTTATTCCATCTTGTATTCATTTTATTGTTGTTGGGTATGCAGTCTTTTTATTTTATTTAAGCTAATCTTTTAGTATCAAGTTTTTGCTGATACTTTTTGGAATCAGAACGGTTTTTGGTATATGTTTTTTTATCTTACAATTCTTTAAATGAGAAAGAGGGTTTATGACTCACCATTGTTTCTTTAGTTACTGGTAATCGAAAGAAAAAAAAACTAATGTTGTTACCAGTGCTTTTTGATTGATACATTAACTTTGCTGATATACATAGATTGTTTATGTTGGATTTGTATATATTCATTTCTCTTTCTCACGCACAAAACCAAAAAAAAAAAAAAAAAAAAATATGACGTGGTCCGCATTACCCCTGAAGTAGTGTATCTACAGAAGTGCAGGTGCAGCTTAGTGAGTGAAGATCTGTGCACCAATTTACAGTTTTAAGGTTACTGGTTTAGGAAGTCATCCCTTAAAACCTTTAGTCACTCAATGATTGGGGACACATGTGGGATCAGGAAAGTGAACTTTGGGTAACTATATAGGTTTTAAAAAAAAGGTAGTCCACCACAGTTGGCCTCTTTATGTTCCAAGACAAGCAAATCTGTATTCCCCATGTTCTTGGAATCCGCCTCAGAAGTAGGGTAAAAAGTCTACGCAATTAACAACTAGCTGGTTTAGGGTTATCCTAGTCTAATGGCCATGACCCGCTAAACAGGGATAGTGTGTCTCACTCCTTCTCTCTTCTTCTTTTTCCCACTTGTCTATCTCCCTCCTATCTTCTCTTAATCTCTTCAGCTTCTCAAGCTATATTACAATACTGGATGAAAATTCATAAAGCACTTGGGTCTGTCAGCCCACACACAAGTAGTAGCCACAACGCCACCACGAGACACTGGTGGGCAAGGAGACAACAAACAAAGGCCCCACAAGACTTGAGGGAACGCTGCCAAGGGGCAACAACCCGTACCCAGGTCATAGACCTCAGTCAATATAATTCCCCAATTACCCTGCTGTCTATTTAGCAATATCATCAGGAGCAATTTGACAGGCACTATTTGGCCGTCGAGCCATTAGTCACCCAGATGACATAACACCTATAAAGCTTCACATGTGTATTCGTAGGATTAACACAGTTACTGCACTCTGTATGTTTTTACTCTTTGTGTCCCAGATTACTGTTATTAATGAGAGCCCTATATACACTCTCTTTTCTCCATACATTGAAAACTATGTATATTGCACATACAAACATAATAAAATACTAATTTAATATACTGGATGATTTGGTACTACTGTGAGCGAACGTTTGATGAACTTGTTTTTGTGATAATGGCTTTCCACATAAATGAGTGAGGAGGGGAGGAGGGAATCGAGAAAATGGCTCTTCCTCTGGCATGTATATATAAAGAGATTGGTTCAGAATGCTGCTTTTGTATTTGTATCAAATATGCAGATTTCAGCGGCAGTACATAGGGCGGGGATTGTCTGCCTGGTACACGCAGATCTTCAATGTATATGTACCCAAACATGGATTGTTCTAACCAACACAACCAATAAAAGAGGTAAAGAACCAAAAAAAAAAACCCACTCTAGCTCAAACGTGTCAAACATTGCTTCTTAGACAATGTACACAAACAAATTTGAAAAAAAAGGAGGCGATATAGTGCACCTAGCAAGTTACATTTTATGCCAAAGTCTCATTTTTGGACATTTACAAAAGATCACCAGTGCATGTATCCTCCATCTCCATTGTAAAAGATAAATAGCTAGCATGCAATGCAACAGCTACTATAAATATATTAAGTCTCAACCCCTCTACCTAGCAATGTGACAATTACACTAGATCTATGCTTCGTTAATTACCTGACTGCTCATTTTATTTGCCTGCTCTGAAGAGAGTTGTAGTTGATTTGTTACATCCAATGACCTGGAAGATAAAACAAATATAATTTAAAAACCCTTAAATAATTTAACTTCAGAAAATTGATATTTTTATTGTATGTACTTCATTATTTGCAATCAATATGTAATGTGCAAGTAAATTAAGCTACATCAAATATAAAATATGAAAGAGAAGAGAATAACTTGCTTTGTTCACCCCTTTCAACTTTTTGTAGGAGAACCTTAATCTTGATCCTGCTTAAAATGATAATTTCTTTATCCATGATACTTTCCCATTTGTGTCTTACAGATACATGTTTTATTTCATTGCAAAATGGATGTGTGGAACCTGCTATAGCCATTCACTCTCTACGGACAACTAAATAAATAACGGGGGTAAGAATGGCTAAAATTGCTCAACTGATCGCTACTGTATAGGAGACCGGCCTTTCTAACATCATTAATGTGCAGGAAGTGAGATCATATGAAAGAGGAAGCGGGGTGTACTGGGAAGCAGTGCTTAAAGCCAGTCACATTATAGGTAAGGTTCTAATATAGAAGGAATATAAAAATGCTGAGCCATCTAAAAACACTAACACAAGTACACAATTTGTACAATCAACACAACACTCTACTACATATCAAAAACATGTTCACAGATAAGTCAATTGTATATTTACAACCACAATCTTTTATTAAACAAATAAACCCCTGCTAATCTACTCACTTTTGCTGTTCTTGCATGATATGAAGTTGCTCCAGTTTTGTTTTATGTTCTGCCTCTAACTTGTTCAACATCTCTTTAATCACGGACATGAAGGAATTAAACTATAAAAAAATAAATAAATATATCATTCAATGCATTTCTGTTGCACGGTTTAAGCCTGATAATATAAAACGCAGGCCTGGGTATGGAAAGATAACAGACAATAGATTGAGAAATTACTGTTAATAATATTCAATAAACTAGGAGTTGAACTGAACTGAAACGGGAAGTACAAATTCTACGCCCCAAAAAACGGTGTTGGAAAAATTCTCCAAATGAACAAGCTGTATTTCTAGGCCTACAATTTGCAAATCCTTAGTCAATTCTCAAACAGCCCTGCTTTGGTGAATAACTAACAGCACTTAAAGAGTAATACATGTAATTACAGATTAATATATAAAACTTCTCGCACCATTGCCAACACCTTAATTAGGAACTTAACTGTATGCATCTATTAGAGGTGTCGCACATTTAATGAAGTTAAAATAAACTAAAACAAAGCGCTGTCCACTGTATATTAGAGAAGACTAAAGTATTTTTAACGCTATACTGCAAAGCTAAATTAACATTGGTCACTGGAATATATTTTTAGGCTGGCTGTGTATCCACAACAACTTCCATGACACCAACAACACTAGCAGTCGCTGTTATAGAGAAAAAACATGGCATAATTGTAATTTTCAAAGCTTTATCAATATGGGCACAATGCACTCTTTATCTCTGAGCCAGGAATACAGGGGAGATGCAGTCTGTGAATCTCTAACAAGCAGCATACACAGATACTTAGAACTAGTCTTGGGAGTAAGCTTTCAGACCTACCAACCCTTTCCAAACAAGCGAATACTAAGAATGGACAACTAATAACTCTTCTGCTGAATTCTCAAGCTCATTTTAGCTCCATTTGTGCCATTATTAAGATGATATAAACTGATCCCAAAAAGGAGCCAATGTTTGGATAACTCTTTTACCTTATGGAGACTCTACGGAATTTGAGAACAAAGCAAAACACAGCGCAATCACTATTAAAGTTGACCACCAATAACAAACCCAGTTATTAATCTATATCATTTGGTCATTTAAAAACTACACAGTTGTAATGAATGTGGCTGAAAAGATGAATACAAAAACGACAGTGACACCTCTTTCATAAATATATGGTAAAACTATACAGGCATTTCATCCTAACCAGATTTAATATTATAAAAACATGGTCTGTAAAGAAGTGTGCTTACCTGGTTGAGGTTAAGGTTATTATCAATACTAAGTGGGATTAAGTGAGGCAACACTTTTCCAGCCAGTTGCTCTTTGGTAACACCAAGCTTTTTATGAGTAAATGTGCACTTGTATATACCTGTCAAATGAAATAAATATACCTTAGAATAGAAATAAAACTACGGTAGTTTGTTTTTGCAAAAACACATGATGTTCATGCAAGGTAGGTACACATATGTGTGTATAATATATAAAGAGACATCAACAGGAACAGGCAATTTAGGATGAGCATAGTTTGTAATTTCTTTAAAAAAAAATCAATATACATTATTTAAAAAATGTATATATTATTAAAGGGACACTATAATCACCAAAACAACTTCAGGTTAATGAAGCGGTTTTGGTGTATAGATCATGCCCCTGCAGCCTCGTTGCTCAATTCTCTGCATTTAGGACTTAAACCACTTATGTTTCTGTTTATAAAGCCCTAGGATAACCTCCCTCCCTTGCTATACCCTGCAGGAACCTCGTGTGTGATTAACCTTCAATTTCACAGGGTGGGAGATAAAAGTAAGTTAACATCTGATTGAATGTGAAACCATTTTTATTTCCCCTGTAGGCTGAGTGAGTCACAGCTAGGGGATGTGTGGCTATGGCTGCATTAAACAAAGTGATTTAACTCATAAATGGCAGAGAATTGAGAAATAAGACTGCAGAGTCATTACCTATACACTAAAACTGCTTCATTACGTTAAAGTTGTTTTGGTGACTATAGTGTCCCTTTAAGTTTCAATAAATTTAATAAGCGTTTAAAAAAAAATAAAAAAAAATTAGATGACAGTTGTCCTTAAGTCTGCTTTAGCAAGATTTCTGACATTATGCAATGGGCAGGACGATTTAAAAGGCAGACCTGCATATTGTCATGTCTTCTAGGGCTGTCATGGGCAGCATCAGAGGGAGGGCCTAATGCACTTGTGTGGTGAGCGTGTTAGACATTAGGGCAACCCAATAGGATGACATTAAATCAATGCTATGGGGTTTTAGCGTGAGGATGTTTAGCGTCAGTTAGGCGGCCAAAAGTCACCTAATGTCACAGAAGCGCCTCAAATGGCTGTCTGGTGAACAACCACTAGATGTGGAGTTATCCCTGCAAGGTAATTATTGCAGTTTATCAATAACTTCAATAAATATAATTGCAGGGTTAAACTGACAGGGGCACAGCATCCAGGACACTTCAATTAGCTGAAGTAGTCTGGGTGCCTATAGTGTCCCTTTAAGGGGACACTGGCACATGGGACTGAAATAAGGGGGTCTGTGGGTATCCATCTTTAAACTTCATCAGCTGTAACCACTGCATGCACTCGTACTCATACCAGCTCTCCCTCTCTCATTCACTCACTCTGCAGTTTTGTTGGTAGTGAGGTAAACAAAAGTAAACGGAAAACATTATTTGCATTGATAACAAATTAAAAGATCTTATACCTAAAATTCCCATAAGGACTGCAGGTTCTCTGGATGGAATCTGTTGCAAAAAGGGCAGAAGCTCATCTAGAACATACCACTTGTCTAGATATTCCAAAATCTTTCCTAAGCATACCAATGAGTTTACCCGTACCTATTGAACAGGAACAAGTTATTTAAAATTATTTTAAGGATAAGCACAAAAAGGTCACAATTCAAAATACTCAGTTTCTGTCACTTGAGAAATTCACAACATTATGTAATTCGACACTAAATAATTTCTTCCAAAGGCAACCTAAATAATACTAGTTTTCAAAACCCTATACTTAACTTACAAATAGTTTGTTTTATTTGCATGTAAACATTTGATTTTCTACTTTGTAGACATCAGTTTGGAATTATATATAGTTTTGAATTTGTCACATGGTTTAATTTTTACTATTTATTTCTGTAGTAGAAGTGAAAATGAAAGGAAATGTATAGTTTTAGTTTTAGTATAGTTTTCACACTTAACCAGGCAGGAGGTGTGCAACAAAACTAAACCCCCCACCCACCCTTCCAATGTGCAGTCACTGTTTGGACACTGCATTGTCACATTTAATGGATAATAGGTTCACTTTAAAAAGGGAGAATATACACCATGCGCTAAGTACACAATGCTTAGTGCACCCTCTCTCCCTCTTCCCTCCTTGCATTAGTGGTTCAAAGTTCTGCCAAAACCAAAAGACAGCCGAATTCACTAGTGATCTGGTCTGTGTATAAATTGAAAGTTTTTAATGCAGCTCTAATCATCCTATGTGATAACTGAACTGCTGAAGAGGAAAAAAAAATGCTAATTCTCATATAACTGGTTATCCCCCACGCTGCTGGACAGAGTTTTATGGGATTAGATCATTCCCCATAGACTAAAATTAGAGATTGGAATGTCTCATTCTGGTGTGGGAAGCATTGCATTGAGGGACACTGCAGGTAAGTAACTTTTCTTTTAATCTCTGAAATATTGCAGCAATATTTTAAATACATTTTCTGTATAACGCAATAAAAAATTACAAGGTAAGTTTTTAACTAGACAATCCATTAAAAGCATCATGGTAACATGATTACATGGCTTTTAACCCCTTAAGGACACATGACATGTGTGACATTTGGAAGTTTGGTCCTTAAGGGGTTAAAGGGAGAGAGAGGGGTAAAGACGCACATTCAAAAACATAAATAAAAAATAAAACACACATACTTACAGCGAGAGATGATGTTTGCAAACAAGCATTCTTAATCCTTGGTATCAAAGAGTTTTTCATGGATGGATAATCTATCAGGTTTGCAAATGTGGGGATTATGTTTAGGCACAGCTCCTAAAACAATTGAACCATAGTTTTGTATGTTAGAAGACATCCAATGGTTATAGCAAAATGTAAACAAAAATTAAAAACACTATAAAAATTTTCAGACATGTTTGTTGCAATTCTCATCATATCAATCCAAATCTAATGGTATTTGGTCAATCAAACAAACAGGTTACATTTACATCTTGTCATAGGAACAGCAAAGATAAAGTCAAGTTAGCTGAAAAGAATCCTCCAACTATTTTAGTCCACCTCTGGAGGTGTCATTAGCAGCGTGGTATTAGAGTTATGAAGCTGCTAATGTTAATTCAGTACATAAAAAGTGTCATCACCTAGCCAGCCCATGGTGTGTCCCTCCACCCGCAGTAAGGTAAGTTACACAATACAGTGAAGGGAGAGATTGTAAAGGAGATCTCCGGGATCAGAGAACAGTAGATAAAGAATAATTTAACAAGTGTAGTATGCCATTTTTAAAATATGTGCTGGAAGCTAGGCCCCTTGAGTGTACCGAACAAAAGATCAAGTGGATGTTAACAAAATCTTTCCATAAAGGATGGCATGCTAGGGAAGAGAACATTTTAGGCCAAAATAGTATTATTAATAAAGTTGGCCAACTCTGGTAATTTTCCATCTGGGTTAGTTTGGATTAACATTTGTAATTCTCTTGTCAACTCTTCACAATTCATACTTGCAATGTAACCTACTTATTGTGTGCATGCAATCAAACTGTAGGTTTAAGTTAGTACAGGGTCCTAGTGAGAGGGATTCATGTCTTCTGTAACAATTGTTAACCTGTGCCATTATGTAGCAAGCAGATTATTTCACCTAAACTGTGAAAGAAATATAAAGAGTACAAAACTATCCATGTATTAGGAACATTAACACCTGGATAGGTTAACATTTAAAGAAATTATAAATGTTTGTCACGATTATGATAGTAGCTTTTACTTCTGCTCCATAAACATTACCAAATGTATTTGGAAACATTGAAAAAAAATTAAGTTTAATATATTAATTCATATAAAAAATGTCTTCATTAATATAAGTGTGATACTGTTATTAGCACAAACGATATAAATAGAGAATGTCATACCTGGATCTGAATTGATGGGGCCTCCAGAGCCCTGTAAACCATAGGTAATACGGAATTCTTGATATCATCTGGTGGGGTCTTGGTGAGAAGAAGATCCATTTTTTGCAAAAATATTAAAAGAATCTGAAAGTGAAGGATGTCACGTAATTAAGCATTATGCACAACATTTCAAATGATTTAAAAACAAATGTAAAAACATCAACACTGTAGGAAAGTACAATCACACTCACCATGTTGCTAGCCTGAATGCATGAAATTAAAAAAAGAGTAAGGACATTAAAAACACAACCAGTGTTTCAAATAAAGATTTTATAATTCAGAAACATTAAGCAAGAAAACAAGTGTCCTGGCTATTAATTAGCCACTCAAAGTATTATAACAAGTTATGCTCATCGCATAGGAATACAAGGAGGTCCCCTGTCTCGGTCTCCTTGCATAGAGCTGCAAAGAAAAGCAGCTATAAACCTGCTCCTTTTCCTGGTGATGTGAAAGATGGAATAAACTTACCGTCTGGTGTGAAGAGATTAACGACAGCTAAATCTCTATAATTCCAATGGAAATGGATCCACTTCCAATGGTTCTTGTTCAAACCCTGTCCCTATGTTTTACTGGCTAACTCCTACTAACGGTCACTACTTGCCACACAAGTCACTAATATGAGAGTGGTTGGTATCTGTAGCCATTATTGCAAAGATTTAGCAACGAGGTTTCAAATCTGGTGCAGTTTCCTATGTTCCCTGTACAGACAGCTATAGATGTGGTTATGCTTGTGACATTCAATGACCTCAGTGAACTCTCTAATCAATATGATTGCAGTCAGGGTATGCCTGCTAAATGCATATCAGATTTATTAGCTGAACTGCCCATTTAAAATCCCCCTACTAAACAGGGGCTTTTGGGATAGGATCAGATCACATTCTCAAATGAGAGGCTCCTGATTAGTGGAGTATCTTCCCAGTCTAGAAAGGGCTCTCTAATTTTGCTGCTTAGCTGTGGGTAAGCTGAAAGAACGTTTATTAAATTGTTTTTTGCCAGCATATACAAACAGTTAAAAAAAAAACAAAAAAACATGTCAGCATGTCAGCATGTCAGCATCTTCTTGGTGGGGGGAGTGTATGTATGTATATATATATATATATATATATATATATATATATCTCAAAAATAAAGTATTGCAGTATGCAATGATACCTTTTTTATTGGACTAACATAATATTTCAAAGGTAAGCTTTTGAGAGTTCCCTCTCTTCCTCAGGTCTGAAGTAATATATATATATATTACATTCTGAACAATTCGCAATATCGTTTTAATATTGCCCAAGAGGGTAAATATTACCTCTGTCTTAATGTTTTAATCTTGACGTAAACCCTGTCTTCACTAACATTTTCTGTTCTTTAACAGGAAAGTAGTAGCAGAACTGATCATGTATAACAGATTGGATAAGCACTGAAAAAGTCTTGAATCACAAGAAAACAAACCTGCACAGGTTCTTGCTGCCGGAATACAGGTCCCAGATCAGGTAGAATAAGCATCACATACTCCTCTTTCGTGCACTCCTCCGCAATCAGGAGAACATTGGGAAGGACAAATGGCACCATATCAGGGTTTACAAATTCAGACGTCAATGATGGTAAAATCCGCTGCACAACAACACGCTAAAAACACAAGCAACATAGATCAATTCCGACATCATGCGGCCAACATATGGCTTAAAGGCAGATAATATAATCATAAAAAATAAAAAAAGGACTAGTACTTAAATGGGACTTCTAAGCACAATAACTACTACTACAAAATGTTGTAGTGGTTATGATGCAGGGTCTTTAGGTTCTGTCCCCTGTTTAACTGTCAAACCGTTTTCACACCATTTGCAAAAAAGAAAAGAAAATAAGGCTTTCCTGTCACCCAAAGCCCGTCCTTCTGTCCCCTTTTCTGCACAGATAATACCAAAGTTCAAATTCATATTTATACAAAGATATCAGACCGTGGAGAGCAAAAATAGATAATGGGTTAGCCCAGGGTTCTGAGTATATCATTGCTGTCAAAGACTGGGTGCCTTTCAATGAATAAAGCAGAACTGAAATGGTCATGCGATTTGAGTAGCAGCAGAGGAATCTTTTTTGCCAAACTGCGCAAAAGTGGTCTGACAAAAACAAGACAAGAAGGCACCCATAAACCCTTGTATGATAAGCACTACAATATGCTGTAGGAGTTATGATGCTTAAAGTGGCCCTCTAGATTGGGACATATTCTTTCATGGTCAGAGGGAGTAGAATGTTCTTATGCCACAGGGCTAGCTTTTCACTGTCAGGGTAAGTAGAAAAACTATTCAGTTTGCCAATGGGCTAGCTTTCATAGAGGAAGCTATTGCTCACTATCTTTACTCGGATCTGGATTATTTTTTTTTCTTTACATTTTTTTTAAAGAAGCCATTTAATGTGTCTGACAAATTTGATGATTTTAGAATGTGTGTGACCATGTTTTACTTTTTCTATAACCTGCCAGCACCAAATCCATAATTTACCAAAATTTGTGAGATTTTAGCGATCATGTGTTTACTCTGTAGACGGCACTTTGGGAAACATTGCTGGCAAGGCAAGTTGAATTTGACTTTACAAAAAGCATCATGGGAAAAGTTTGGCCTGCCTGTGATACAATATATATAGAAAACAGATCTCCAGATGTTGAATGGCAAAGCATCATGCAATTGTTATAAAACATCTGGAGATCTAGCTTTTGGAAACCTCTAATCTTTATCATATCACTTCCAGCCTAACATAGTCCATTTAATTTTATTTACTTATAGTTTGGCTAAATGTATTCTATGGTGGCATATGTAGGCACGGAATGCAATGTCTGAAGACATTTGCATTGTTACAAATCAAAACGACTTAATGTTAATTTTATTTTAACAACTCAGGGATATACATTGTAGTTGCTTTGACTGTGCTCAACCATTAGTGCTTACAAACCTTTGGGAGTTTTGGTAGAACTTTTGGTAGCCCTTTAAAAAACTGAGATTTCTGGAGATTGTCTCGTTGAAAAAGGGAATCAAAATACTGCAGCGTCATAGCCCCGACATCATCAAAAAAAGGAATCTGCAAGACGAAAACCAAAAAGTCTAGTGACTAGAGATTACTAAAATACATACAATTAGAATTGTCAATTTAGAATTGTGGGTTTTTAGTATGAAAAATATATGATTCATCAGTATATAGATTCACTCAAGCTTTATTGCAAATTAAAAAAACACTTTAGGAACTATAACAATTTCATCTAATGGAATTTGTTATACTGAATGGAGTTCCCTGGCACCATCACTTCAATGTTAAACCATTTTTGAACGGTTTAACATTGAATGAGGATCCCTGCAACCACAGCCTGGCCCCCAGCTGGAGGTATGGCTTAGTCAGAGCTAACACTTCTTTAGCGATACCAATTCATACCAGCAATGGGGCGGTGACACTCATTAAATCACCCATTCCTGCTATGGCTAATGCTTCCTCATTAGCCCAAGTGGTAGAGAAAAGAAGTGGGTCAAATTTATATATCCTATAAATATTTTTTGTAACCATGAACCATATTTAGTGAATCCTCTGAAGAATTGAAATTGCTCTATTTCGATTAAATATTCTGGCAAGGAAAACTCTTTACACTTGGATTAAAATACAACTGCGTCATGTTGTCGACTAGTGGACATTATGTGTTAGATACACTATCTGGTCACAAATAAGATTTCAATGCATTGCTCAGATATACCTTTGTCATCTGATCGGCATCAGGTCTAACAGCAGGTGTCACGTTCAAGAGAAGTTTTAAATGTTCTTGTACTTCTTCGGGAATGTTTGCCAAGACATTAGGGTTTAATCGACTTAACTGCAAAAAAAATAACAATAAGATGGCAGGGGGAATTAATTACGTAAGCAGCAAATAAACTAAACAATGTTAACCTACTGGTAAGGTAAGTGCGTAATTCGAAAAAGAATTATATCTCAAGCAGAGGTTTCATTAACGCATGAAAACAGTGATTCAGCATGGCTGCTACCATCTCTAAGTAAAGCATTACAGAGAAATTCTAAAGACCGCGAATAAAATTCTAAAGACCGCGAGTATCATGCTTATTATTTTAAAATAAAGAGAAAATATTAGTGTGTGATGTACAAAAAATGTTTAGATTTTGAAATAGTGGGACATAGGAAAGATGTTTGCATAAAACAATAGGAGGGAAACACAATAATTCCTTACAGCTAAGCACGGTGCAATAAAAGAGAAAGCAAAACGATAACAATTAAATAATTTGACTTAATCAGGGATATTTATTAAACTGTGAATAAAAGAGAATGAAAGAGAGGCAAGGGAGAGAGACACAGGGAGAGGACTGGCAGAAGGGGAGACACACAAAATGGATGGAAGAGAAAGAAGGACACACATAGACAGAGAGAAATTTTGCTGTACAATACTAAAGGCCAAACAAAGGACTAGGTAACATTTATTTAGCCCATCAATGGGGTAAAACTATGTTTCCACCTTACCTACATTCATAGACGTGCACAGCCTATTGCATTACGGCGTGCACCCTAAAGCACAAGCACACGCCGCGTATATATATATATATATATATATATGTATGTATGTATACACACATACACTGATGTGTGTGTGCTGTGCGAGGGTCCTGTTAGTGTGCTATGTGGGTGAGGGTGTTTGTGTGTGCGCGCTTGTGAGGGTGCTGTTTTTGTGTGAGGGTGCTGTTAATGTACTGTGTGTGAGGGTACTGGTAGTGTGCTGTGTGTGTGTTTGTGAGGGTACGGTTAGTGTGCTGTGTGTGTTTGTGAGGGTGCTGTGTGTGTGGGTGCTGTGTATGTGTGGGTGCTGTTCTATACTTGGCTCTTCACTTGTGGGTTTGTTTTTTATACAATTCTACATATTATTTCAAGTACTATACATACTTCACCATTAGACTTTTTTCTCTTCCATATATGTATACTGGATTAACTATACCCCTGTATTCTTACAGCGCTCCACTTAAGGGATTGATGGGTGGATGTCACCTTTCAATTCCCTTATTTGCACAATATTTAAGATTTGGTGGATAGGAGAGATTTCCACATCAGTGTTGTAGCGGCTTTTAGATTGGCATTTCGTACATTTATATTTTAAGCGCCTAATTTTATGCATGGAGCACTTTACACATAGCCTACATTATTGCCTACGAGCAGTTGGAAAAGTGACTGCCCCAGTTTGCGGACCAATAATGTAACTCGAAATAACTTGTGCGGTATACATATTGAATCTTTTACATACACATACATTGGTTAATGTTAGGAAGCATTCCTTTGGACATGAGAATATAATATCTTAGTAGATATTCCATAAAACGTATTTGACAAAGTAGAATTTGTAGAAAATTAAGAATCCCAAGGGTTGCAAGATGGGAGAGGTTTTAAATCAAAATTCATAATCCAGAGTACGTGTACTAAATTTTAGGATTTGCCCTGAAAAAACTTAACATATGGGAAGGCGGAGCCTGGAGTTGTGGGAGGGGTTGCAACCGGCCTATATAAACTCACTACTTACCTCCATACCTTGCTGACAACGCTTGGTCACTTCCGGTTCCGTCCAGACGGCGGGAATCAACTACACCAGGTCATCAGCCTTCACAGCAGCAGGATCACCTTCCGTTAATCAGGCTCGGCGGTAGCAGATACCCTCGTTCACGGCGGGCTCGCCGACTGCACACGCCACCAAGAACTTCCGGAGCGCCGGGTCGCACTTCCGGGGTCAAGGGACCGGTAATCGTGAGTACGGGCATACGAACGCTCAAACTCATGAACTAAATACAACATTCGACACGTCTGGGCGAACAGTAATTACACGAATCCAACAGACGAGGGAAAGGGGAACACATACGAATAGGTCTTAAAATTCCGCGAACGCTTTACATTCGGTTCTAAACACACGAATCCAACCAGGTCTAAATGCATGAATATGGCTTCCATAACACACGAATGACAAACACGAATTACTATACGTTACAACACTCTGTTTTTTCTTTTCTTTCTCCCCTTCCTACTCTCACAGTAACACTGCCACCTACAGGCGAATTTAACGTATTGCACTCTATGTATGCAACAGTTTAAAACGAAGTATGATTTCTGTGTATATGTATTAAAGCATAACATTATAACTGTATAAGTCGGGTAACTTCATCACCAATACGGGCTAAGTCATTAAATATTTAAGGAATATCCACAATAATATTTTCTTTAATAAATCGGTTAAGAGAATATTTGACAGAGCATATAAATAAACTAGTAGGCGGGCGTATACGTTTATAGCGGTCTGTTCACAACTATAGGTAACTAAATAGACATAAATCACGTATAATTTCGGTGGTAGTAACAATTAAGGGGGAAGGGAAGGGTACCATTGTTTCATATATACGGCGTGTGGAAATAGGTACTAAGGTGGATACAATAAGGTGAATTGTATTATCATATCCTTGCAGGTGGGTCTGTTCTAATTTTCAACACAAGAACTACACAGCACAAGGGAGTGCCGGTAACATACGGTACGTTCATTAGGGAAATAAGGAGGCACTTGCGCAAGTCTGCTTGGTACTAGAACATAGTACTAACATTAGATATACTTCAAACCAATATGGGTATCTTATTACGTCTTACCCTCGTAGGTTAAAGGTCATCAAGACCAACGCTGGTCAAAACAAACTCGCCAGAGAAGTAGACCACACACTAATTCTGAGGAATTTAAATAATAAGATACACTTACGGTCCTGGTACAGGTAATAAAAAAAAAAAAAATTATATTATTGGTTAGGGGAGGGGGACACCTATTCGGGTGGTTTACTTTTATTATTCTCATCTTAGGCCAAGCATACCTAACACATACAGCTACAGACGTAACATAAAGACCTAATCATCAGGTACGTATTCATCTATAAGTCATACCTACGACACAATAATAGACACTGGAAATAGTGGTGGAAGGAATATCTATATAAATGTTAAATATATATTCTATTTTCCACGAGATACTTCCTAATTATGCTCGTCACAAAGGTATTCACCTTCGGTTTAACTCATAGGTAAATTCACAATACTCAACCAAATATAAGTAGGACCTCACCAAGCATGCCGAGTTCACGGTCATAGGGTTAATAAGGCACCTTCCAGCCACAACACTTCGGTGGCACAGTCATACGTCCAACGCATAGTTGAGCCCCTATACGGTCCAACGGCTATCAACAATACGTCAGCTACCTCGTTATCTACGACAACTTACTTATAAGTCACGTCAAACCCTTTGTCGTTTATATAGGATGTCTCACGCCTCCGACATAGGAGAAGACGTCTCCCTTCCCTGTACGCCAGCCAGACCACACACCCCTCCATCGGGCCCAACTATAGCCGAAAACCTAGATAGCCCGTGTTCCATGAGGTCATGGACAATTCCAAAAATCGCTGCAGAACTCAGACGTAGGGGTGTACCATATCCGGCCACGGCTAGGAAAGCCGAACTATATAGGATCATGATGACAACCAACGACACCCCGCAACCAGGGACCAGCTCACAAGGAAATATGAACGAGACCATAGCAGGCCTGCAAGCCACCATGACATCTATCCTGGCGTCTATTAGTAACATCAGCCAGAGAATGGACAGGCTAGAAGCTCCTGAGCCAATTATCGTGGCACCTGATATCAGTCTTACACCTGAGATTGAACACATAGCCGCACAGGGTAATGTGACAGGAGCTCCAATCTCACAAAACCTTACTACTCACATTGTCACGCCAGCACACTTGGTACCTCCCAACATTAGGAAAGATATTTTAGAGGGGAAAGACGTCAACCTCATTTCCCTACTGATAGCGTCCCAAGACGTAGTAGACAATAAGACCTATAATTATGGGGACTTGTCAGTAGTGATGAAAGCTAGAGACCCCAGACTAAGTAAAAATTAACCATACCAGAGTTCGTCTTGGCTTTTGGCATATATAGAGACGTTGTATGCACCACTTTTCCCCATCGTAGAGAAGAACTTGATTTGTATTTGCACAAATTGGTAGACCTGGGACACAAGTACGGTGGCCATACGTTCTTTGATTACCACAAATCATTTTCGGCAAAAGCAGCGGCAGCTTTGGTACAATTCAACATAAGAACCGATTGGAGGCACTTAGATACCGAACTTTTCTGCCGCCATTTTGCCGGCCTTATACCACCTTCTTGCGCAATTTGTTCATCAAACACCCACACTACCAATTTGTGCCCAAATGAACCAAGTCTTCCTACTACCAGCTACGCAGTCCCTAGCACCAGTAGCATCGAACAGAGGACATTTAAAGACAAATTAGGTAGGCCAATAGTTTTCCTGGGGAAGGCGCAGATTTGTAACAACTTTAACGCAGGCGGTTGCAGCTTCAGCGCTTGCAGGTTGTTACATGTCTGCACCTTCTGCCATAGAGCCCATGCTAAGACGATGTGTCCTAACCGACTGTTCCCCAAGAAATGACTGACGGAAGTCAATATCGACACACTAGCCTTTTACCTCAGTTCACACCCATCCAGGGACTTAGTACAATTTCTTATCACTGGTTTCACAGAGGGGTTTCACACGGGGTTGGTGGCACTACCATCAGGAACGATTGAGTGCAGGAATTTACAATCTGCCACTACTGACCCAGCAACAGTAGACATCCTGTTGCAAACTGAAGTAGGGAATGGTTTCATGTTAGGGCCATTCACACGGCCACCATTCACTTGTTGGAGAACCAGTCCGATAGGAATTGCATGGGGCAAATACAACAATAAAGCACGATTAATCATTGATTTGTCAGCCCCTCATTCCAGCACCACACCAAGCCTAAATTCACTTATACCATCGCCGGAGTTCTCTTTACAGTATGCCACAGTAGATAATGCCATACAGGCCATACTGGAAGCAGGGGTAGCAGCTTGGCTCGGGAAAACCGATATTTCAAATGCTTTCAAGCTGCTTCCTTTGCACCCCTCTCTATGGCATCTACATGGGGTAAGGTGGAAAGGTTTATACTACTTTGCCAACCGGCTGACATTTGGGGCCAAAAGTAGCCCCAAATTGTTTGATATTTTTGCTGAGACGCTGTGTTGGCTACTGTTAAATATCTGCTGTTGCCCAGTGGTCATACACTATCTGGACGACTTTCTAACAGTAGAGAAACCTGACACAATACCACACAGCATCAACAAGACAGTCGCATTATTTAAAACTTTAGGGGTACCAGTGGCCGAGAACAAGACAGTGGGCCCCACCACCAAACTAACCTTCCTAGGTATCGAATTAGACTCAACTACCATGAAAGCTAGCCTGCCAGCGGACAAAGTTCAGAGAATCCGGGTAGAGGTTGAGTCATTCCTGGACAAAGGTGTAACGTCTAGGAGGGATCTTCAATCACTCCTGGGTTCAATGAACTTCGCCATGAGAGTTATACCACAGGGACGAGCCTTCATATCACGCCTACTTAGTTTGTTACCCAACGACGACAGCAGGGTTACTCTGGACATTCAGGCTAGGGCAGACCTGACTATGTGGTACCATTTCCTCTCAGAATGGAATGGGAGAAACTTGTTTATACCACCATTGACATTAAACTCCCCGGTGTTATGGACGGATGCGGCAGGTCACACAGGTTTTGCAGCCATTTTCGAAAACAGGTGGTTCAGGGACGCGTGGCCTAGTGAAGCATTAGGTTTACCTGGGTTCACAAAAACGTCGGCACTGTTTGAGATCTACCCCATAGTGGCAGCAGCTAAAGTCTGGGGCCACTTATGGGGAGGGAAAGCTGTCAAATGCTACACTGATAACATGGCAGCTTGCGAGATTCTGAACAAAGGCAGGTCTTCTTCACTAACAATTATGAGCCTGGTCAGGAGACTCACATGGTTGGCAGCTACACAAAAATTTTTCCTGACTTGCATACACGTGCCAGGTCACCACAACTCAGCAGCTGACGCACTATCCCGTTCAAAATTACAGGTTTTCAGACAGCTACACCCAACAGCAGAAGAACAGCCAAACAAGGCTCCGCAGTTCAAAGACCTCATCCTGGACTAAAACTACTCATGGCACACGGGAGAGCACTAGCAGAGGCCTCACTTTCACCAAACACTAGACGCACTTACAATCGAGCCTTAATATTGTTCAATAAATTTGTGACAGAATACCTCATCACGAATCCTTATAGGTTAGATACTATGGTGGCATTCACCTCTTTTTGCCATCTCAACTTAAAACTGGCACACAATACCATAAAACTCTATTTAACTGGAGTACAACATCACGTAAGCAACACATATCCCAGCATAAAAAACTTCCTGTCAGCACACCCCATTAAAAACATGCTAAAAGGCATCCAACGCCTAGAAAACCCAAAACCTACTACACGACTACCAATCGATGCTGAGAAATTCAGGGCATTGTCTGACATGTTAGATACCAAACCTTTCGATAATCCCACTAATAACACACTCAAGACAGCCATATACCTGGCATTTTATGGGTTTATGCGGCCCAACGAGCTCACTTTAAGTAACGTCAACAATAAGGGGAATATGCTGTGTGTATCAGACTTAAACAAAATAGGTGATCACTACACCTTGTCAGTAAAACATTCAAAAACCAATCAAATGGGTCCGCCACTCGACATTCAATTTTACCCGACCGGCAATCATTGGTGTCCCGTACTACTATTTGACAAATACATGGCCGGTATGGTTAATCAACCCAAACAAGCTCCTCTGCTCGCAATACACAGTCAACCCCTGACGACCTCGAAATTCATTAAATACGTGAGATTACTATTCACAAGAATTGGGTACGATCCCGCGGCATATACAGGCCACTCCTTTCGCATCGGGGCTGCTACATCAGCCTCCAGTCAAAACATACCAGTTCACATCATTAAAAAGCTAGGACGTTGGAAATCTTCGGCGTACCATCGTTACATACCTCAACCTGAGAAAGAGTTGAGACAAGCTTTTAAACAATTGGCTAAATAAGTGCGGATAATAATGTGCTTGTATACGTATTAAAGTGTGAAATGCTATTTCTCTTTTTGCCCTCTTTATTTACAGGCCAACCCGTACGTCGGTTTCGGCACACCACAACCGACTTAGTATATTTTACTGTTGTTTAGAGGTTTTAGGTCCGCATAAATACGGCCTTCTTCACTGACCACAAATGGGAAGGCGGAGCCTGGAGTTGTGGGAGGGGTTGCAACCGGCCTATATAAACTCACTACTTACCTCCATACCTTGCTGACAACGCTTGGTCACTTCCGGTTGCCCCACCCACCACACCACAAAAGAATCAATTAATTGGTTGGCCCTCTTTATTTACAGGCCAACCCGTACGTCGGTTTCGGCACACCACAACCGACTTAGTATATTTTACTGTTGTTTAGAGGTTTTAGGTCCGCATAAATACGGCCTTCTTCCCTGACCACAAATAAGATTTTATTTACATTTTCACATGATATGGATAAATCTCAAAAACACCTTACACCTATCACGAATGAGACCTAAATAAAAGCTGACCAACAACCATTAATGCTTAACGGAACACAATTTATTTATTTTTAAATCACAAAGGAGTGTAAATGAACTACAGTTTTAAACATGGCAATTACAGAATCTTTCCTTTTATTAAAATAAATGAACACACTTTTCACTTAGACTACATGCGATGTATGAAATGAGAAGCCTTGTTAACCTAAAACAGTTCCCCCCCATCCCCCCAATCAATCTCCATAAAAGTAAACAGAAAAGTGGGTTTAGGTGCTAACACTGGAGTAAATACCATTAAAATCAAAAGGAAAGTGTCTGTCGATTCCATTTGTTTCCAATGTGATCTCTCCACTTTTAGAACATTCCTTTTAAAATGTTCCCATTTGTGTTACAAAAGCATACTGTATATTTCAAGAGAGAACATTTAATTTGTTATTAACCATAAGTACAAATTCTAAACAGGATGTTTACTTCCATACACAGAACACAACAATTCCTATTTAAGCAGGAGGAAGAGTCACAATGCATGAAGACTGAAAATTAGTTATCAATATAATCTACCTGGTCTAGTTGTCTACTGAAGCTTTTATAAATATCGTGCTTGTTTACTTCAAAGATAGTTTTCCCCTTGTTAAAAACTGCGTGGATAATCACACCAAGGGAGTACATATCACTGGCTGGGTCACAGCTCACTGACAATATGTATTCAGGGGCCAAGTATTCTGGATTCGGCAGACACAATGGTGGTAGGTTAGGATCCCATTCTTTACATACAAACTTGGGCTGTAAGAAGAAAAACAAAAAATAAAACATTGTTTTAGCATAATAATGGTCTAATTCCTAAAGTACAGCACCTTTAAAAAAAAAAAAATTCCCATTAAATAAATAAATAAAAATATACGCACTCTTCGCTAGTACACACAAAAGTGTTTAACCCCTTAGAAGGGAAGGGAGGAGAATTGATAAGGGAATTTAGAGCGAACAAAGCACAGCAGGAAAAGTGGTAAGTTCATGGTTTAGTAAACAAAAAATATACATGTATCACACTTTCACAGATAACCCATCAAAAATGAATCTATGGAGGCTCCCGCGGTTTCGTAGAATCCACAAACCTCAGTGCCATACTCTCGTACATGTGAGAGTACAGCTCGGACGTGGGCACCTGGCGGATGAAAGATTATGGTGGCTCATGTGGGAGACAGCATTAGGTAGATGTACCGCACTATGGCTGCACCCCAAGCAATGATGTCACCATCGGGCGTCTATGCAAAATATGCAAAGACCACAGAAGATAAAAGAGTCACTTTAAATATTGCAACGCAGGTCAACCATAAATTACAGTGAGAGACGGAGTACAGAGCAACAGCTTAACAGCTAGTGCCCATGGGCCTCAATAAGGTTGATGTCTGGCCAGAAGCGGAATGAGTATTATTAAAAAAAAAAAAAAAAAAAATTTAACCGGATGCTACAGAGCTACATCTTGGAGACAATTTTATTTGTGTAGCTAAGTTAAGAATATATAGCGCAAATTAGTAGCAAAGTGGCTCTGTCACCCCCATATCAAAAATGAGTATTTCCTGAAGATGAAATATCATATTGACAGTGTCGGTATTTCACTGGAATACCAACCCAGTCAAAAGATATACTTACCGCTATCAAGTTTCATCACTTCCTCCAGCTGTCGCTAGATAATACCTATGGAGGCTCCTGTGGTTTCATGGGATCGTCATTAGACATCAGTGTTATACTCTCCAGCATGCTCGGGTACAGAATGGACGTGGGCTTCTGGCAACTGAAACGCCAGGAGCAGAAGAGGAGGAAGATGATGGCGGCACCAGCAAGGGACAAGTCCAGGTAAGTATAACCTACCTTCCTCTGCCCACCATGTCCACCAGACATCCAGTGGCAATGACACCCTCATTGCAAATTATTCAAAGACCCCAAATGGTGACGGAGCCTCTTTAAGACTCTCGATTTACAAAGGTCTTCTCTTTCTGGATTAACACATATCCTCTATAAGAAGCATTGGATTGATAGATCTCAGAGACTGCCAAAAACGCACCGTAGATCCTCACTGCTTCTTTATCAGGACTGATGACCTCAACATGGGCAGATCGGGTTCCAGTGAGTACAAGTAAGTTTGGATTACAAGTGAGGTTTGTGTTTTTTTTTAATCAAAGGGGAGCTGTAATATGCAATAACATCAAAAAGAAGCACATATTTTCAATGTAAGAGTGACCCTTTAATAACAATTTTGGTGCTGTAAATACGAAGGAGACAAGAAAAGGAATGTAATATAATATTGATATAAACACAAACCATGAGGTAACCAATCTAAATTACCTCTTGTTCGCTTGGATTTAGCGATGGATTGCAAAAATCAAAGCCCATTATTTTCCATGCTCCACTTTTATTTAAAATTATATTTTCCGGTGTAAGATTTGCATGAATCATCTTAACACTGCTGTGCAAAAACGACAGTCCTTCAGAAACCTGCAGGGAGATACAGAGCTTTAGATTGTATAATAATATTATGTTAAAACACACTTAACCTGCTATGAAAATAGAATTTTACCACAAACTCCACGCAAATGGCAAATAGAACATTCAGAAATGATTCACTACTAATAAACTGCTCATGGAAGGAGTTATTCAAGCTGGAAAAAACTATCGGCTAAATGTTCGTTGTGGTGGGAGCAGGAATGAATATCAAAAAAGCCAAACACAAACACACATACACTTAGTGCTAGACATACAGAGAAACACACACAAATATAAATATACAGAGACATTTCCATTCACTCAGCCTCCCAGTAGAGAAGTCCAAAAAAATTTCCAAGATGCTCAGCCAGTCAAAGGGCTAGCTGAGCATCATGGAAAATGTACTTCACAAAGCTCTGGGCTGCCCATGGTGGCCATCACCACTCTAGTCAGAGATTGTGTACATGTGAAAGTCACTGTGTATATATAGGAAATGTAGCCACATCTTGAGAAATTTAGTTCACAAAATTTGGCCAAAATGTTTCATTAACATTTTACTCAGCTGGGTGTCTAGTTTGAGTAACCAACTTGAGCTAAAGCTGGGATGTCCTGAAAATGTTCTCAAGACAATGTTACAACGAGCAGCATACATAACTACACAGCTTTACAATGGCTGGTGAGGCAGAAAACATATTTAAAGCGGCACTGTCATGCAGAACTTACCTTTCCTCAATTTCTTCCTCTTCTCCCCCTCTCTCAGGATCTGTTCTTCTTTTCTTCCTGTCTTCTTTAGTTTTCGTTAAAGTCATAAGACAAAGTAGGGACTCTTTGCCTTATGGAGGATTCCTCCGCTTGACCAGCTCTGACCAGCAGAGGAGCAAAGTGTGCTTCATTTCCGCTGGTCAGAGCAATTTTCCCATAATTCTTACCTTTCCTCCCTGTTCCCGCGATGCTTCCTGTCATTTTACACGAAACTGCCGAATTGCGTTCTAACTGAATGAGAACAGTATGTTCATTTCTTTTAGAACTCAATTCGGCACTTTGTTCGGATCGGAATTTCATTCGAATGAATGAAACTCCGATCCTATTCTTGCTGTGGCTGCATCTTGCAGCCGCTTAGTAGATAACTCCCTAATTCCCACGGTATCAGGGAGTTATCTACTAAAAGATTACTTAGTATTAGTAAATGATCTGCCTGTGGCTGCTCACTGTAAAAAAAAAAAAAAAAAACTATTGGCCCCCACCCCTAAACGACGGGTGGGGGCCCTAAAGTAAAATAAGGGGGGGAGACCTAATGTCCCCCCCCCGGCCCCCACCTCTGCGCGGTGTGTGGGGGTCATAATGGGGGGGGACCTACTGCCCCCACCCCTGGTCCCCCCCCCCTTCATTATCATAATGGCCCCCACCCGCCACCCAGGTGTGCGGGGGGGTGGTGGGGGAGGACAGTAGGTCCCTCCCCCCTCATTATCAATATGGCCCCCACCCGCCGCGCAGGGGTGGGGGCCGGGGGGGACACAATAGGTCTCCCCCCTTATTTTACTTTAGGGCCCCCACCCGTCGTTTAGGGGTGGGGACCAATAGTTTTGTTTTTACAGTGAGCAGCCACAGTCTGTCTAGTGTGGGCAGATGACGTGTCCCACAGGGACTTCCTCTACCCACACAAAGATGGCGGCGCCCTGAATATAGATCGGTGCAGAAAATAAAGATTACAATTAGGTAATATGGGGGTGGCTTAGGGGCATTTGAGGGTGACTAGGGGGTCAATTAGAGACAGTGGAGGCCGGAGGGGGGTTAAAAAAAAAACAAAAAACAGGATTCGGCATGACAGTGCCGCTTTAATTATATTGGAGGCCTGCTCATACCTTAAAGGACCACTATAGTGCCAGGAAAACATTTGTTTTCCTGGCACTATAGTGCCCTGAGGGTGCCCTCACCCTCAGGGTCCCCCTCCCGATAATGAGGGGGGGGACCTACTGTCCACCCTCCCCCTCCTGCCGGGCTCTAGAATGTGGAAGGGGTTAAACTTACCTCTTTCTCCAGCACCGGGCAGGGAGCTCTCCTCCTCCTATCTGCCTCCTCTCCTCCTCCTCGGCTGAATGAGCATGCAAATCACAGTGAGAAGCACGCAAGCGCCTCTAGCGGCTGTCAATGAGACAGCCACTAGAGGCTGGATTAACCCTAATATAAACATAGCAGTTTCTCTGAAACTGCTATGTTTATAGAAAAAAAGGGTTAACCCTAGCTGGACCTGGCACCCAGACCACTTCATTAAGCTGAAGTGGTCTGGGTGCCTATAGTGGTCCTTTAATCAAAACGTTGTTTACATAAGACTAATATTACACAGCAAAGCTCTCAGGCACAGCAGGCTGGATGAATACCGAATGGATTTGCACGCAGTTTGTACTACTCCTCTGGGACAGATAATAACCAGGGATAAGACAGGTGTCCACAGCTTAAAATGCATTAGTTATGACTGGACCAATAATAATATTCAAAGTAAATTTACTTTGCATGAAATCTTTCACTGACAGTAGAATGTGTAAGAGGATTATAAACTATTAATAAGAACAAAAAAATTCAGCTTTTCTAATAACAGAAAACAAGGGAAATTTTTTATATATATATACACATACATACATACATACCCACACACACACACACACACACACACACACACACACACACACACACGTATTATTTAAAAGGAGCTGTAGCAGCGTAGAGCAGGGATGAGAAGCAAGCTGAACTTAGATGGTTATGTCAAAAGCTGGGTAGACATCCTGGGAGTTTTCGATCAACAACCAAAAGACAGTATGCTCTACAGGCTGAAGTTAAATCAAGCTCTATAAATAATGTGTGCGATCTCCCGAAAAGTATACATTGGATATGCCCTTGTCTCAGTCAGTGAAAGCCCTTATATGGTATAATCACATGAGATTTTACTGGTTATGAAGAGTAAACAAGACGCTTACCTGCAGCAAACCATATTTTGTCTCTACGTCATACAGCTTATGATCCCTGATGTCTGGAGGAATTGGAGATGGGAGGTTGTCCCAGCTCCCAAGGACATTGGCTAAACTTGCAAATATTGGTTCTGTGCAAAATGCAAGACAATCCCTGTACGGAACAAGCAAGTAACACATTAGCCAATATAAACAGAGGTATCTAGTTAGAAGGATAGCTTGAGGGTTATTAGATGGTATTTAGACAACTTAATTACATTGCATGTTAAGCAGACATTTGGCAGTTTTTCCACATCTTAAATTAAAAAATAAAATAAACATCTAGAAAGCGAACAAGGTTATTAAAAACTTGTGAATAATCAGTGAATTTCATATTTTATAATATTGACAGTGAATTTCATATTTTAGGGAGAAATAGTTGAATTGGAAAACTACTAGTAGAGTATAAAGTCAGCTATATTTTCAGTTCAAATAGTACAATAAGAGGCTGTATCAATACATTGTAAAACTGGTACAATGCAAATGTGTATTCACCTGAAATGCAATGGATCAAATAATTAAATCACTGGGTAGCTTGTGCAGAGCAAAATGTATTTGAAGATGTATGACACTTCACACTGACAAGATGCAGGCCAGAGCAAAGGGCATCAATGCTAACTATACTTCAGCTGTCTGATGTGGAACGGTCATCTGCAGTTGACCTCTCACAAAAATGTTGTTTTTGTAATAAAAGGACAACTAAAGTCACCCAGACCGTATAACATTTCAATGAAGTGGTCTGGATGCAATGGTCCTGTCATTTTAACCCTGCAATGTAAAATATCGCAGTTCTGTAACGTTTACACTGAAGCGTTAAATCCACCTCTGGTGGCTGTCTTCCTGACTGCCACTAGAGGCGTTTATTCTTCCCGAATTGAGAGAAACATTGTCTTGGACTCAAATGCTGCTGATGGCAGTGAGTGATTGGAGACACAATGGATATGATATAAGAGATGAGAAGCAATGGATTGAGTTTAGATCACAGAAGACATTAGCAGGCATGCTGTCATCTTCAAAGGTTGAGAGGACGGGTTCAGCAGAGAAGTCTCAGCGCTGGAAAGGAGGTGAGTAAATATTAATTAACTTTATTTATGCCAAAGGAGATGGAAAGAAGGATAGCTATAGTCCATAAATTGTTACTTCTGCCCCAAATTAAAAAAAAAAATTTAAAAAAAACCCATCACCTAACTGTGCGATGAAGTCACAAGAACACAATACACTGACATACCTGGACTCTTCCAGTGGATGCTGTACTGTAAGTAACCTAGGATGTCGGAGCCGTGTTAACTGCTGAACTCCACGCTTGAGAGAATCAATAATCTGATCCTTTTCATATTTCTGATATTTGTCAATTATCTTTTTGTCAAAGACAAATACAGCCACTTCCTGGGAAGGGAAACAAAAAGAGGGTGTTAGTCACTGCTCTAGATGATGTTAAGAAGGAAGCAAATACATTAAAAAATTATTCTAAAAGCAGAACAACCATAAGAAGGTTCCATCGGTTTCTATGGTATTTTATCCACATTTAGAACTTTGTTTCTTTTAAAAATAACAACCATGATTTTCAGCTTCTAAATGTTCTTTTTACAAAGTGTCCAAGGAACCATCATGTGAACATCTTAACTTCACACTTATCAGCATATAGGACAGAGGGTCCCATCCAAGCTTTAAACACCCACAAAGAAGCATGGACTGCATTATGCACAGATAAGATAGACACATGGAAACCGGTAGTTTAATAAGTATTGTAATCCATTAGTCAAAGGACAGTACTTTTACTTTTCAGGGTGGCTCAGCTAATGTCTTGACATGATGTAGAAACTAGACAATATTTAGAGAGGTGTTGTGCAGACCAGCATCATCTTCAGTTTTCAAGGGGCCCTAGGCAAGTCACGACCTGTGGGACCCCCACGCTACACATGTCTCACATCCTCACACAGAAGAATTGCCCTTATAATGTCACACCCAACTTCATATCTTTTTCAGGATCACCAAGAATCCTCATTCTATATCCATATCTTTCTTCTGAGACATTCCCCTTTGCCTTTCAAATGCAATCTTTTATTTCTTTACCTACGACTCGCAATACTCAAAACACACCCAATCCTACCCAGGAGAACTACTTTTGGGCTCTGGAAAATGCATGGGCCCGGGCACTGCCTCTAATCTCATGCGGTAAAAACAATTCTGGCAAACACAAAACAGCACTTGCCAATAATAATGCTTTCACAAAACTGCATCAAGTGCCATCAGTTGAGGAATTGGTTCCATTCAAAATATGTGACGAATGGATCTGCAGCTAGATACTTAACTACATATCCCACAAATCTCTGCTGGTAAGCGGTTTATGTGATAGGTCCAGGAAAAGAACAAGAGCCTTAGATCCCTTTGCTCCACAAATATTCATCAAACCTTAAGTCTGATAATGTAAGGAGAACTGTATTGTTGCTAATACTAGGGTGGGGGATATGTATTTATAAAAGGTCTGAGATATAAAAGGGTTTCTCAAACCCTATTCTTCATGCTGTGTTTTTCACTGTATAATGCCTTGTTGGTTCCCCACTCTCAAATAAAAAACAAGCCGTGTGCTTGTGGCGTAACTAGCCCTCAGCACTCATTTAAAAATAACTCAGTATGTACGGTCTTTCAAGCTGAAACAATGCACATATATATTCCTACCACCATGACTACTTAAAATCAATGAAGTGGTCATGGTGGTTGGAGTAACCATTTGAAGAGGCTTTTTGTGTCCTAAAACTTTCTTCCAGAAAAAGGAATATTGGAGTAATCTATAATGTGCAATCAGTGTGGACTAATCTATCAGTATAGCAATCACCACTATACTGTACTTGAATTTCCAATTGAAACTATATGTATACATTTATAAACTACAAATCTGGTGCGCAAGTATCCTACCTTGCGCCAGCATTTCTCTGGGGATCAAGAAACAAATTCACTGCATGTAGAAAACCTATTAAAATCAGAATTAGGGGAAAAAGATAGCATACCTGTTTAGTGGACTTTTTAAAACCATTGAATATTTTCCATGCAAGCCCATTGCCTCCACTGGCTATATGTTTCCCCACATCGAATTCCCGAGTAACAGGATTTCCCATCACAGCACTTGTAACATCTGCTGTTACCTTGGTGACTGTGCTTTTCAGCTTATTCAGCATGGACTCCATGTTTGCTTCTTTGTGTGATCTGGTTTGAATAAAAGACAAAGTGAAAAAAATATATATATAATAAGAAAACGTGGACAATTGCTACATCAGGATTTCGTTTTTAAGCCTACTTGCAAGAGACATTAGGGACTTGCTCTATATAAAATGATAGGTTAAAACTTATAAGATAGCTTAAATTTTACACGGATTAGCCACAACATTAAAACCACCTACCTAATATCATGTAAGTCCCCAGTGGTGTATAATGGTTTTGTTCTGCCCTAGGCATGACAAAACTAAGACACTCCTCTACCCCCCCCCCCCCCCCTTCGAAATTTATCTTTCTGACAGACACACACCCTCACTGATGCATGCAATGACATACACTCACTTACAGATACACTGTTTAACCAACACACACTTTCACTGAAACATACACACTCACAGTTACACACATTCACATATACACTAACTGACAGACACACTCACTGACAGACACACACTCAGTGTCACACATATACTCACTGACAGACATATATACACTCAGTGGCAGACACACAGATTCACTGACAGACACACATTGACACACGCATACACTAACACACTCACAATTTTTATTTTTGCTTACATTTTGGTGGATTTTTCCGTGGTCCAGTGGGGCTGGCTGCAGCTCGGCAGGCGGTCACAAGGTGAGCAGTAGAGGCATGCGGCGAGGGAGCACCGATCCTCCTGTACCTCTCAGTGATGCCAGAGTGACGTCATATTCCGGCTCCGGCATCACGGCAGTGCGCGCAAGTGAGCTGAGCAGGAAGAGCTCAGGAGAGAGCTCCCTCGCCGCCCGCCTCCTACATGAGTACATGCCAGCCAGCTCTCTAATCCCCAGAGCAAGGGGCTGGCAATGCATTTGCTAGGGCGTTTGGGGGGTCAGCTTTTTTTTGCCGCCCCCCCCGAAAGTGCCTTTTCAGCCTTGCGCTAAATGCAGCGCTGTAGGTCCCCCTCGTGCTGACAAAACAGCTGTCATGCATTGAGGCATGGACGCCACAAGACATCTGAACGTGTCCTGTGGTATCTGGCAACGAGACATTAACAGCAGATACTTAAAGTCCCGTAAATTGCGAGGTGGGGCTTCCATGGGTCAGATTTGTTATTTCAGCACATCCCACAGATGCTCAATTAGATTGAGATCTGGGGAATTAGAAGGCCAAAGCAACACTCTTGAACTCTTTGTCATGTTTCTTAAGCCATTCCTGAACAATTTTTGCAGTGTGGCAGGGTGCATTATACTGCTGAAACAGGCCCCTGCCTTAAGGGAACAACATTACCATAACAAGGTGTAGGTGATCTACAACAATCTCTAGGTAGGTGGCATATGTCAAAGTACTGTCACATATGAATGCCAGGACCCAAGGTTTCCCAGCAGAATATTGACCAGAGCATAACACTGACTGCGCCAGCCTGTCTTCTTCCCATAGTACAGGGCTGGGCAAATTTGCTTTGAATCAAGGAGCCAGCTAAAAATGTTAGGAGCCATATTGTATATATGGATAGCAGAGGAGTATAGCTGACAGTCTACAGAAAGAAAAACAGTACAATAGTGTAATACTCTAAATGTACAATAACACTGCGCCAATATAAATAAATTATAAATGTAGAAAAGAATCCAGGCACTCCAAGGTATTCCAACAGATAGGCAATTTTATTAGACCCAAACACCAACAAACAACGTTTCGACCCCTTAGGGCCTTTGTCAAGCTACTGAAACACATAACTTGTATGCAATATATAGGTATATACAACAATTAACAAGTGAAAAAATATGTGAAATGTTACAATTAGTTAATTACATAATCACTCAATAATCATGAAAACAGTGTCAAAACATAATCATCTCTCCAATAAGAGTCTTACATATTAGGGGTGTCAAACCATGCAATGGAACTCCACCAATCAAATAAAGAAGTTCATTAATAATTTCACTAGATACTAATTAAAAAAGATTTACTTCAATAAAATTAAACAATTTAAATCAATTAGAAACGCCAAAGCACTTACATTTCCGGATCAGCTGTGTGAAACAAGTCACATGATTACATTTGACGTGACACGCACGTCCCGTTACACCGATCACATGATCGCGCTAGACAAAAGTTATTAATGCGCATGCGCCAAACAATTAAACCTCCGTCAAGATTAAGTTGACATGGAGACCGGGCACAAAGCCAATGCGCATGCGTAAAATAGCGCATGCGCAAAACTCGCCTTAATGCAATTAAGAGATAAATAACAGCGAAAAAACTAACAATTATGTTTTTTATTGTATCAATAGAGGAATTAGACTTGAATGCCATTGCAGTGTGACCACCTCACTAATGGATAAAATGTAGATCATAATACATCTGTAACTTGTTACATTGATACAACAGTACAATAGGTAACATATCTTGTATTATCACAAATGACAATATATTAATCTTTTCACTAATCTTTTTAATCACTTCAGACTTAATGTGAAAGTCGTATTACTTCATTTTATCCAGTTTGGAAATTTATTCTATTATATATTGGCAAGTTATGGAACCAGGCACCCAATCCAGCGCAAGCATATTTGCTTATTATATACATTATATATATATATATATATATATATATATATATATATATATATATATATATATATATACACATATACACACACACACACACACACACACACACATATATATATATATATATATATATATATATATATATTTTATAAAATTACACGTAGACTGATACTGATTAAATATATAATTATTGTATATATATATATATATATATATATATTTTATAAAAAAATATGTAAATACGTTAAAAAATAAAATTAAAAATAAATAATTAAAAAAATATATAGATGTGTGTTATTTCGTTCTAAGTGTATGGTGATATTAAAATATATATATATATATATATATATATATATATTTATATCAAAATATACGTAGAACGAAATAATATATATATATCTATATACATAAATACTGTTTTGAAACACAAATATTTGTGTATATAGATGTGTGTTATTTCGTTCTAAGTGTATTGTGATATTAATATATATATATATATATATATATATATAATATATATTTATATCAAAATACACGTAGAACGAAATAATATATATATCTATATACATAAATACTGTTTTGAAACACAAATATTTGTGTTCAGCGAAGTCTCCCGAGTACAACAGTACCCCTCATGTACAGGTTTTATGGTGTTTTCAAAAGTTACAGCGTCAAATATAAGGCTTTTGTTTCATTTTTTTCACATAAAAATTTGCCAGATTGGTTACGTTGCCTTTGAGACCCTATGGTAGCCCAAGAATGAAAATTACCCCTATGATGGCATACCATTTTGCAATAGTAGACAACCCAAGGTATTGCAAATGCATAATGGCTGCCAGTTGGAACGCATACTTCACCCGGAAGTGCCGTTATACGGGTACGCTGTATCCGCGAAAATCAATAATGGGATTCCCTGAAACAGCTGGACAACGTGGAGGACGCCCCCTGGACCACCAATGGGAATGGATAAAAGCCACATATAAGGAAGGACTGGAGAGGAAATGGTTATGCTGCTATTTTGTCCTTTTGTTAGGATATTTTATATGTACTAATTAGTTTTTTTATCACTAGGTCCCAGAGAAATTATTACGGTATACAAGTCAAAAGGCGTACGACCCCATTTGTTTTTTCATCTTTCATACTCATACAATAAAAGATTATTTTATACCATCTCCTGAGTCCGGACTTCCGTATTGTGGCGATCCCACCAATCAGCTGAGATGGAGCTCTGGACATACCCCCAAACATTTAAGGGGAGGCACCCTAAGGCGATTTTATGGGGGTGACAGTGCTGCTTAAATATAAATGTAGAAGAAAATTAAACATATCATGACAAAAATATTTATTTTAATATTGATCTCAATATTTTAGTTAGTGGTGTAAATTCCAGAGAGGCAGAAGTTCCCCTTTAACATTATGTTGCATTTCTTTTTTAAATGGCTCTCTCATTGTTGAGATCTGGGCAAAATTTTGAAAGACCTCCCGCCAGGTGACATGACCTCTTCATATGTAGCAGCTCTCCGACAGTGGTGAGTCAACAGCTGCATTCGTTGTCTACAATATCTTATAAACCTTTGTTCAGTTAGGGTTTATGAGATATTAGTATATTAAAATATGATATGTTTGTCAAATGCCGTGGAGATAATAATAATAATAATAATAATAATAATAATAATAATAATAAGGTATTTAACCAGGAAAGGTACATTCAGATTACCGGTACTTCGGTTTTCAAGTACGTCCTGCAGATGTTACCATAGCCCAACAAGGTGCATAAAAACATACAGGAACTTTAAAACAGTACGCATCGCTTTAACTGTATATTGTAAGAACTATGACCACTCCAGGTTTCTGTTACAACCTGTCCACAACTCTTGCTTACATTGTTGTCCTGTCCATTTGAGCGACAATTGAGGGGTTAAAGGAACACTAGAGTCACCAAAACAACTTTAGTTTAATAAAACAGTTTTTGTGTATAGTTAATGCCTCTGAAGTGTCACTACTCAATTCTCTGTCATTTAGGAGTTAAATCACTTTTGTTTTGCCCATTGCCAAACAGTCCTAGCCATACCTCTCCTGGCTGTGACTGACACAGCCTGCATGAAAAAAAATGGTTTCACTTTTACTCAGATTTAACTTACTCTAAAAGTTTTTATCTCCTGCTCTGTAAATTGAACTTTAATTACATACAGGAGGATCCTGCAGAATCTAGCAAGCTATTAAAAGAGCAGGAGGTAAAAAACAGTAAATTAAATAGAATTTGCAATAAAATAAGTATAAACATTAGATGACTCTTTACAGGAAGTGTTTAGGAAGACTGAAGTCACATGCAGGAAGGTGTGATTAGTGCTGCATAAAATAAGAGATTTAACTCCTAAATGGCAGTAAATTGAGCAGTGAGACTGCAGGGGCAGGGGCGTCTTTAATAACGAATGGACCCTGGGCAAGTGTTTGCTTGGGGCCCCTGTGCCCTGCCGCTCTCGCCCCTCACTCCCTGGTATGCAATCACGGCATCCATCCCAACGCAGTGGCGGTACTAAAGTAGAATGAATTTTATTGGGACCCCCAATTGCAAGGTTGGACTAAAGGTAGAACCCCATCTGTCGTGCAACTCCAACAATGCTTTGACAGCTGGGACTCTACCAATTTCCCATGCTTGCAGGGTTGTATTTAGCACTGAGCCATGTTAGTATGTTTGAATGTAAGCATGTGTTTGTATGGAGTATGTTTGTGTGAATGTGTTTGTATGTGGTACTGGAGTTTGAATGCAAGTGTGCATTTATGTGTAGTGTTTGTTTTTGAATGTAGGAGTGTGCTTGTATGTAGTGTTGACGTTTCAATGCAGGAGTGTGTTTTATATGTAGTGTTGAAGTTTGAATGGAGGGGTGTATTTGTATTTAAAGTTGCGGCTCAGATGCACAGGTACACACTCTGACGCACAAGCAGATACACAGATACATACACTGACTACATACAGATAAACAGGCACATACACTGACAGACACTGACAGACACACTGACACAGGTACATATATTGACACACACACAGACACATACACTGGTAGACGTACTGACAGACATACTGACACAGGCACATATACCGACATACTGACACACAGACACATATACCGACATACTGACACACAGACACATATACCGACATACTGACACACACACACAGACACATACACTGATCAACATACTGACACACATACACTGACAGAAATACTGACACCCACACACTGACAGATATACTGACACCCACATACACTGAGAAATACTGACACACACACACAGGCACATACACTGACACACACAGACTGATATACTGACACACACACACACAGACATACTGGCACACAGACAGATATACTGACACATGCATACACATGCACTAACAGACATACTGACACACACAGATATATACACACATATATACTGACACACAGACAGACATACTGACACACACACACAGACATGCTGACACACACACAGACATGCTGACACACACACACATACACTAACACACACATACACTAACACACAGATACACTAACACACACACAAACACTAACACACAAACATACACAAACACATACACTAACACAAACACACACTAACACACACATACACAAACACACATTTTTTTTTTTTAAAATGTAATCCCCCCCAGCCTCCTTACCTTTTGGAGTGCTGGGGGGATTCCCTGGGGTCCAGTGGTGCTGCTGGGTGGGTGGCCGGTCGGGCAGGAAGGCGCGCGCGCGAGGGAGCACTCACTGCTTCCTCTTCAGCTCCCTCGCGCACCGCATAGGGATGCCGGCGCGCGGTGCGCGAGGGAGCTGAAGAGGAAGCAGTGAGTGCTCCCTCGCGCGCCCGCCTTCCTGCCTGACCGCCGGGGTCAGCGGGGCCCACGGGGCAGGTGCCTCGGGCCCCCCAAGAGAAACTGGGCCCGGGGCAGCTGCCCCGTTTGCCCCGCGTTAAAGACGGCCCTGTGCAGGGGCATGATCTATACACCAAAACTGCTTCAATAAAAAGTTGTTTTAGTAGCTAGTGTCCCTTTCACATGTAAGCTCATTGAGCAGGGCCCCTTAATCCCTCTGCAGTGGGAGCACAGCCTCTCCGTGAATTGCCCTTCTTTATATTATTAATTCGCCTCTCGAATGGGGACCTCCCCTGGGCCCCATTAGAACGCTTACACCAATTAATCAGAACGTTCTCACTTAGAAGCAAAGTGTGAAACCGCAAGGGAATTAATTAATGACTGCTACCCTGGGTGGCTGCCATTCATACAGACAAATGCCAGCCAGGAGCAGCGCTTGTGGATTGTTTCCCGAACAAGGACTTCCCCAGTGCCCCATTAGAACGTTCGATCAAAATTAATCAGAACGTTCTTACTTGCAACCAGAATGTGAAACAGCAAGTGAAGTAATTGAGTGCTACTCTGGGTGTCCGCCATTTGTACAGACGAATGCCATCCAGGGGGAGCATTTGTACCCTGAAAGGAGACGCTTCCCTTGTCTGGGTTTCACACCAGGACGTCACGAATGGAGACCCCTGAGATTGGTGTGGGCACTGGCGAGTTTTGGCGGGCTCTCATAAGCCCAAGGGACAAAGAGACTTTTCACGAGGACGGGCTTTTTTGTGCCTGGGGGACAAAGGGACGTTCTCTTTTTCCCGAGTATAGACTCCCAGTCACAGAGGCTCTTGGGAAGAAGACCCCTGGTAGTTGGTGTGGGGATTTAATGGCTGGCTTTGGGGACAAAGAGAACGGTGTCCCTTCCCGCGCTGGGCCCTCGGGGAGGGGGAGGATTGTGGGATGTGTCTTGATTTGTGTGTTTTCCATCCCTTGCACGGGGTATGCATAAAAGCTGTGTGTGCCCAATAAAATTGTGTTGCACCTCCAGAACTAGGTCTTGTCCAATTACTGGGGGGGGAAATGGGTCTCATTGCAGTTTAAGTGGTTCCTGACCGGCTGAAGTAAGGGAATTAGCGGTGGTGACCGGTCGGGTTACCCGAAGGCCACTACACCCTCTGTTCCTGTGCGTCCAACATGTCTGGTTTCAAATACATGTCTGTTAGTCCACCCATTGTACAGAGCTACAGAACTGGTGCTTTAAAAATAATATTACAAGACTGAACCAGTCAGCACCCCTTTTATATTACAATTTCTCCTTACTTATTATTTTATGTAGAAAGTGTTCACTAGGAGAACTATAATGAAATGCGTCTGGTATGTGCACTTACACTTTAACCAAATGAACTACAATGCAATGCAAACAGACATATAGTTATGCTATTCTGGTAAGCCTATTGCAACACACATATATAGTTATTTTTCACTGTCACACCTTCCTAACAACTAATTTGAAATCACAAAGCTGAACATGACACTGACTAAGAGCAGGGAGTACACTTACTCTATAAAAATGAAAAGCCACCAGTGGTTTTTACCATAGGAGGAAAAGCAAACAGAGTTATGACAAAATAAAAATATAAAGTGAGACAAAACAAAATATTAAATACGAGTGATTCAAGTATTGTCAGTTAGAAGATTGTGCCCATATATATAGATAACGAGACTACACTAAAAGCTATAATTTCCACTTTCAAACAAAGTATGACAAATTCTGGTTTCTTTACAAAGTAAAATTCGGCTATTAACGACAATGCATAATTAGAGAGTCCAAATAAGCAAAATTCATAGCACACATTTTAAAAAAAGTTATTTAATCTACTATTGAATTCAGAACAATAATAATAAATGATAATGGTGTTAGCAGATGCCAACGATAAATGATGGGGGAAAAAAATCCTTAATATCACTGGAGATAAAGATAGGATCATGTTGATAAGTGGATTTGAAAACGGGGTAAACTAGATGATGGCATTGTCTTCTGGTGTCAAAACCCAAGAACATTACAAAACCTATACTTCTAAGGAGATCACAGACATTTAGGTTTTTGAACCCATTTAAATTCTTAGATTTCTTTCGGGTTTTTTTTAATGGTTAAGTGTCAGAACTCAGACCAATGCTGAGAAATTGACAGGTGGTTTATTTAAAAAAAAAAAAATAATGGCTTTATGATACATTGTAAAATGGTAGAAAATCGATTTAATTCTGCTTTGACTTATGTAGAAGTGTAAAACACGAAGGACTGATGTCAGCCACCTATCATTGACTCAAAGTTTCACTAGTATCTCCATGCATTCCTCTAAGGTACCCTACGGAGTCTCTGTAAACAGGTATGAGAATATCTGTGCAAAAACCCACTAAGTTTGCGGTCTCAAAGCATCATTCACAGAGCAAAGTTCTGTATTCTCACACGAGTGGAAATGCAACCATGATGAACTAAATAACAGAAGTCCTATAAAGTGATACCGCCACTTCTGCAGCCTAAAAAAACAGTACATTTAAAAAGAAAAAAAAATTACGTATTTTTTAGACACTTTATGGCAAAGTTGTTTTAATATTTGGTGCAAAACTGTTTTGTGTGTTGGCCAGAGGAATGATCACTTTTGCGAAAACTACTAAAATACGCTGTTCCAAGCATATATCTCTCTAGAACACCCAGTACATAGCCTTCCAGAATGTATCTCTGCTCCAAGAATATAACTCTCCAGGATAACACTTTTATAAATAGCAATGCAATACCAAACACTCTCAATGTGTGAATTAAATCCAGGAATAAAGATTTTTTATAAAACAAATTTCTGCAGCAGTTTTTTTTTTTTTAAGCATTGACATTTTAGTTAAACTATATTCAATATAGCATGCTGGCAATAAAAATAATAGCGTAATTTTAATAAAACCAGCTGAAAACACTCCAACGAAGACCTGAGCCCATTTCTTCCTAGCCTCATAACCAAACAATCAACTGCAGTGGTTATGATACTTAGATTATATATATATTTTGCACTGAGAAAATACAGCAAACACATATTTTATTCCTTGGACATAGAAATGACACACACAGGATGGTACCCAGATGGGGACAGAAAGCCCTAAGGTGATAGAAGTGGGATACAGGAAATCACAGATGGAGCAAAAGGTGTGTAAGGGGATGATAACATTAGGCAATCTTTGTTCACATATATGGAGAAATTTGTACAATATGCATGGATAATACTAGCTGTGACGAGAGCAATCTCGCCACATTGCATTGGAGAAGACTGGTTGCTCGCCTGTTGCCTCTGGACTATGGCCCCATGATAAAACGCTTGATTTTCCCCTGCGGAGACACGAAAGCCGTGTCATTCGGTGCTGGCCCTGTTTGAGCGGTGATACCCCAGATAGCTATGCCATGGAGCCCATTCGTATAATGAAAGACAATGGGAAAGACTTTGGCTCCATGGCAATTGAACTGTATGTGTGTGCTCTGAGCACCATTCAGTAATGATGTGCGCTCAGATCTGAGCTATCTGGGGATATGTTGAATGTACCTGTTTTGTGCAATGGCTGCACAGTTATATGTTTTTATGTGTTTTATTGTCTTTTGCTGCCATGTGTTCAATGGAGTTTTGCCTCTGTCCTTCGAGATAATTGGATTACTTCCCAATTATCTCCAGAATAGAAGACTCTGTGGAACTGGTTTTGGGCAGAAAAGCCATGCTTCCTTTGGTCACAAAGGACTATGTTTGTATTGGGAGTATGCTGATTCTGAAAATGTAAGTTTTATGTGAATGTGATGCATACTTTTCAAGTTATGAATAATGTGGGAAAATTTTATTTCTCTGCTTGTGATAATTACATTACCCATTGTGTAAGGTAAATTGTATCACAGGCAGAGGGGAGGATTTTGTGTGGGAGTGTCTGAATGTATTGTATTTGTTTATTGGTTGTGTTCCAAAACCCTGTGGGTGGTACTAAGGTGTATACAAGAGCAATAAACCCACAGCTCTGTCTGTTCACTGCTTGACCCCCCAACACAGAGCTTTGTCTCGTTCTTGGGGGGGATTTATTGTATGCTGTTCCAGTTCGACTCCTAGGAGTGTAAACCTTTCGTATGGTTTTTCCTATTCGGCCGTTTACAGCATTCATATGGTTCCGGTTCAGCTGTTTACAGCATTCATATGCTTCTCCGGTTCGGTGGATTGGTGTCTATAGTAGCTGTGCCTGTATCTCTGGAAGGGGAAGATCTTCTAAACGGTGGTTTAACCCTTTTATGCTGAGAGTGCCCTTTTATGCTGAGAGTGCCGTAACACTAGCATTCATTGTAGGACCACCAAGTGAAGTACATCACATTGAGGAAAATGCATTATACATTGAGTGAAGATGCAGGAGGCCCAACATAGAGATTATTTTCAACAACATATCCAGAATCTCAGTGGTAATTCGGAGCGCCAAAGTGACATTCAGCATTTGTTTGCATTAATAAATAGTTAATATTAACTGCATAGATAAATTTAACAAATCCCAGACATGAATAACCCTAAACCATGTCCAATACAGAGGTAACCTACCATCAGTGTTCTTATTTCATCTTGAATTTGATGTATGCAGAGGATGTGTAAGTGGTAGGTATGTCAATTACGGTTCCCGACATAATAATTATAAATATGTCCTATAGGCTGTAAGTTTGTTTGAGCAGGGTCCTCTTCAACCTATGTTCCTGTAAGTTTTCTTGTAATCCTTCTATTTATAGTTAAATCACCCTCTCTTATAATATTGTAAAGCGCTACGGAATCTGTTGACGCTACATAAATACATGTGTGTTATGTCTGAGTGTAGTAAGCACAATAATTCAAGGAACACTCTGCATGCCAAGCTAAAGTGCTTTATCTGTGAAGAGTGTGTGTGGTTTTTTTTTTCATTTTACTATAAGGGCAAATTCAAACAGAAATAACTCTGGTTCCACCCCCCTGGCTGTCAAACATCTGGTTCATTTACTTCTTGGTTGTTTAGCTCAGTGGAGCTAAAGTCAAGAGACGGCGAAATGCTCAGAGCACCTAACTTGCAAAGACTTCTCATTGAGCTGCACTGGGAAGTCTGCGATTGGATAGGCACAGAAAGTCTGTGCTAGGGAAGATGACGGGTGGCTTGCAAAGACTTCAGACAGGAGATCTGCAGCATTTGCAACTTGCTTTTATATATACCCCTAATGAAAATAATGCATAATTAAATGCATACATGTTTTCATCTGTAGTATATCTACTAAATAGTGTTTTTTGTTTATTTAGGCAGTGTCCCTTTAACAAAGTAATGCTATGAATCCATAAATCCATCACAGATTGGGTAAACCTGTTCAGTATGGCCAGGTTCTGTTAGAGAAAGCAAATGGAGATTACAAACCTGCTCAAGAATACAGGAAGCTAGCCTTAAAGGGACCCTCTAGCTGGATTGTTTTCCTGGCACTGCAGGTCCCCTCTCCCTCCCACCTCCCAATCCCCGGTTCGCTGAATGGGTGAAAACCCCTTCAGTCACTTACCTGAGACAGCCACTAGAGATGGAGTTAAACCTGCAAGGTAATTATTGCAGTTTATAAAAAAAAAACTGCAATAATTACACTTGCAGGGTTAAGGGTAGTGGGAGTCTGCAATGGACAGAAGTGGTCTGGGTGCTTGGAGTGTCCCTTTAAAGAACCACTCCACAATCATAAAGCACTTCAGCTTGCTATAGTGGTGAGGATCATCCCATAATAATGAAAGTTTATAAAATTGCAGATTTCTATGAGAAATTGGCATTGTTATAAACACTTCCTGACCATCAAACACCCAGAGAGGTTTCTTACTCCTTCCGTTAGCTCCCCTTGATCAGACCTGAGACCAGCATCCACAGATTTCAAATCAGAATGCTGTAAGTTTGTGCGTGCACTTGCACGGTGGGAGCCCTTCTGAGGCATCTAAATGAGAAGCCTCTGAATGGTTATTCCCCTGTGAGGAGATTAAAAGTCTCTTCTGGAGACAAAGGGGAGGCCTTGCAAAGGCTGTAGTTCATAGGAACTGCAGCTTTTGCCAACTGTTTTAATTAAGATATAGCCCCAATGAATACATGTGGACTGTTCCTTTAAGCTACATGAGTTTTATCCTGTGTCCCTTCATTGATTCAGCCTGAATGTTGGAACAAAGTAGTAATACTTTAGTTCTTATTTGTTTGTTTTTCCAAGAAGCTTAAAACTGGCATATGTCAGTAAGAATAACTGATATTTCTATGTTTGATATAGATTATTTTAACAGTTTAGATTTGTAAAAAAAAATATATATATAAAGCTTATTTCAGGTTTATGTGGTTCTTTCTCCAACAACATGTATACCCTTTAACTGGCAAAATGTATCACAATTGGCCTTATTGTTCCCAGTGCAACATTTTAAGTAGACATTGTTACCAGTTGAAAAGACTAACTATAAAGTAATTTATAAAAGCGAAGCAGGCATGACAACAATCAAACCTACCCAATCCCATATTCAAGTTTAGCCATACATACAAAATGATAACCTACTCCTTCAAGAATCGTTTTTAAGAGTAAGAGTGGTTTATCCAATGATGAATATACAGCATTATTACATTACTAAAACAGTATATCACCTAGTATCTGCTGCTTAGGGTTTGTCAGATCAGTGTATGGAATGCACAGGTCACAGAAAGGGAAAATGAAATGATTTCCTGTTCTGCCCATCACTGTGAACAAGTTACCTGGGTCCAGGAGAGCATGGGAGATGTTGCAATCCTGGCTGTTTTAGTAATGTGTGAGCAGGACCTGGTCTCTAGACACCTGCCTAGCTCCCCTTACAGTGTCCTGGCCATCTCCTGTATAGGCAGCCCTTACCCCCCCAGGCCTGGTACATGGGACAACTCTCAGCTCTGGGTGCAGAGAGCAGAGTATGACGTCATAGCCCCATACCCAGGGTATAATGGAGGGCTGGGGGTGCTCTCTCTCTATCTACCTACCTGTGCCACTCACTGTAGACAGCCTTCAGATGGCAGACAGGGCAGGCCCTCCACCTGTCAGAACACTGCCAGGCGGCTCCACATCGCACAGCAGCTGACAAACATCTGCGTCACTTCCGGTCTCATGGCGTCACCCAGACACGGGCAGAGTTCTACGCAGTAGAGTCAAAACCAACCAGGAAATGGTTTTAAAAAAAATCTCTAGTGTTTTGGTTTGGTAGCTCGGCCAAGCTCTTTCTAACTGAGGGTTAATGCTGTTTGGCTCCACCTGATGGCTTCCCTTACTGGAGACTATGTTAAAGGGGATTTAGTCTCTAGTGCAAAGTAGTAGAACACCGGGCATATACTTTCTATTTTACAAAAAAAAATACACGAAATGTGTTGGAGATATGTAACATTGTGAGACTGAGACTCATGTCATTTAAAAAAAAAAATTGCAAATAATTGTCAATGACTTTGGTTTTATCAGTATAAATACAGCAGTGGTAAAACTGCAATGATGTAAGCAATGTTTAATTCTGGAGGATAATACATTTAGTATTATTAATATTGTCACTTGCAGTCTCTCAGGCCATAGCTATAGTGTTGCCCTATTCCAAGATGGCGGCTGTGTGAGTGACTCTCCTGTCACGTGACCATCAAGGATTACTACACATCCGAGCCTCTGCTATGTCTTTATTGTAAAAAAGCGCCTGCTTCTGGGCCCACTTAGTGAAGTTATTTGTGTGGACCCTCTTTAATACAGATTTTCTCGTTAAACCAGTTTTTCCTGTAGCGCGGTCTTTTTGGGGCTTTAGTGCGTAGAACTCGGATTTCCCCTAATGCGGGTGTCACGTGACTGGCTCTTGCCCGTGCGTGACGTCACGTGCCGGCATGGCGGCAGATTTGACTCCCAGGTTCCGTAGGATCCGCAGTGTCGGGGACCTGAGGGCCCGCAGGAAGGGTGAGGGAGCCCGGAATACCGGCTGCAGTGCAGCAATACGTATTTACTATACACCTGGCGTAAACTGCCGGCTGGGTTTACCATTACACCTGCCAGCTGGGGCTCATAACATGGCAATGAGAATATTAATAGGAGGGATTGGGGGGGCAAATGGAAAACTAAGGGGCTTATTAATGAGAGTAGAGACTGCAAAGAGGTGATAAAGGTGGTGGGAAATAGCTGCATTGGGCAAATTCATATTTCTATATAAAAATGGCTTTCCACCCATTTTAAGTATTATTATTTTATGATTTATATAGCGCCATCAGATTACGTAGCGCTGTACAATGGGTGGACTAACAGACATATATTTGTAACCAGACAATTGGACGTACAGGAACAGAGAGGTGGAGGGCCCTGCTCAATGAGTTTATATTCTAGAGGTCCAACCATTCATGGTTCACCTAGTACACCGCTATCAGGGCTTATTCGCCAAAATATTGAAGCTAAATAAGTCAGTCAGTGACTCTAGCTGGGTTGGAAAATGTCTTTAAAACATCTGTTTGCCCCTAAAAGTTGCAGGTTGCGTTTCTCAGTTTTCAACAATTTGGAGTAATCCGCTGCCAATTCGATTAGATTTGAGAGTATACTGTAACAGGGTTATTATTATTATTTCCATTTATATACTGTAAGCCTATGGCTCAGAGCTTTACAATATTATAAAGAGGGAAGTTTAACAATAAATGAGACATTTACAGATTATTACAGGAATAATAGATTGCGGACCCTGCTTGAAAGAGCTTGCAATCTAAAGGGTGAATTGTTGAGATCGCAAACTTAATTTTGGATACTATGTCAAAGTAGCTGTACTGCAAACATAGCCTAAGTTGTAATTTCCTGAAATTGACAATTATGAGAAGTAACCATATAAGGCAAGCATGTCAAACTTAGTCTGGCACGGGCCACATAAACCAGGATTAAGTTTATGTGGGCTGCAAAAAAAATAAGATACCTTAAATTTTCATAGAAACTTAGCTTTATTTTAAAAAGTACAGTATAAAAAAAAAACAGCCCCCGCCTCTTCTAAACCACAGCAACCCCCTCTACCACCCTGTTCCAAATCTGATCCTCCCGTTGACACACACACTGACAGAAACACGCACAGACACCCAAACATACTCACTGACAGACACACTCACTGACACTCAGACATACCTTTCTTTATTGGTCCCTACCTTTTGGAGCCGATGTGGGGCATCTCCCTGGGGTCCTTCTATCTGCTCCTCACTGCTCCCTCGCACGGTTAAGTGATGCTGGGTGCCGGAATACGACGTCATATTCCGGCGCCCGGCTTCATTAAAGACGGCATGCGCGAGGAAGCAGTGAGGAGCGGGAACACTGAACTCCCCGCTGCATCCACCATCCCTTCCTCCCCGGCCGGGTAAGTGTTAGCAGAGAAGGCACCTGCAAGGTGGGGAAAGCAGGTGCCTACTCTCCTATAACACCAGCATGTACTCGCGGCTTGCTGGGCCGCAAAGATGGTCCTTGTGGGCCGCGAATTTGACATGCTTGATGTAAGGCAAGTGCTAAATGAGTCTCCTTGATATAAATTAGTATTTGAAAGCTGTAATTGTGGACCACTGATATTGCTTTCTCAATTTTCAAACCATTTCAGGCACTGGAACAATTATGTTACGAATTATGTTATAAATCTACTACCTGACTTCAGAAATATTCAAAACCTTCACTTCTAGTTTAAAGGGATACTATACGGTCAGGAACACAAACACGTATTCCTAACAATATAGTGTTAAATCACCATCTAGCCCCCTGGCCCCAACTAACCACCCTAAATATAGTAAAATCTTACCTTTATTCCAGTCTTCTGCTGGCTTTGACCCGATCTGCCTGCTTGGCTGACATGAGAAGTGTCTTGTTGGAAAAAAAAAAATGAAAAGAACTGGAGCATATGGTTGCAAAAGCTCCTGGTTGGGTGTTGACCCCTGTGTTAATAATATAAAAAAGAGAGAAATTAAGCAAATGGGAGTGGAGTACTAAATGCTGTTGTACCCTATAATAAAACTTAACATTTAATAAGTCCAACTAATGTGGGCTAGAAAAAACAAGAACTAACCACAAAAAAGAAATAAAAAGGTAGTACTATAATAAAAATAAAAGAACAAATGCACGTTAAATGGAAAGTGAGATGTAATGGCTGTACTAGTAGAAGTGTAGGCTGACACCTAAATAATGCGCTTGTTAGAACACTAAATAGTAGAAATATGTGATGGTGTCAGACCACTTACACAGTATGGTGCAAAGAATTGGTTTAGATAAACACGCTAAACACTAGCAAATTAATATGGACTACTGTGCCGGAGATTCAGTGTAAACTGCGCTCAAAAATTGAGTGCAGGAGTATATATAGCTAACCAGAGTTGATATTCGCTGATATCAATATTTCAACAATAGTGGTAACAATTCGTGCTAAGTGGAACTGTACTGTATCCTTGATCTTAGCACCTCCTTTGATGCTTCTCATAGAGAGCATTCGTTTCCCATCCCAATGCTTCTTTATTGGAAGCGTTAGATTGGACGAGAACGTGGAACATGTCAACATGTTTGCTGATTAAGAATGAGGTGGAATGGGTGGCGGCAACTGTGGTGTCTCGGCACTGGAAACGAGGTGTATAAAATAAATTTAACTTAAAATTTTTCTACAGCAAAGGGGGTAGGCAGAAATCAATGTAATAGCAGGGAACTTATATTGTAAGTTGTATTTGTTCACTGAATTTACAGATCATGTGTCAGATATTTCTGTTGTTTGGGGTTTTTGCAGGTCACAGAGGACCATTCCAAGCAACTCAGCTATGGAACAGCATCATCCAATCACTGAAAAAGAATGTTGAAGTAAAGAATCGCCGCCAGCATCTTAGGACCTATTCCTGCTGCTTCACAGGATCTGATGCAGTGGACGCAGTGCTATGTCACCTCATGCAGAATATGTATTTGAGCAGCTACGACATTTCAAGGAATAAAGGTGTCCAGCTATGCCAAGCACTTATGGATCACAAAGTATTTGAGCCAGTTGGTTTAAAGCTCTTTAAGAGTGAATCAGATTTTGTATTTGAGGACAGCAACAGTCATTTTTATAGATTTTTAGAGTCCAAAAGTACCACCGACCTCAGTTCAAAAGAGAGTACAACTGGGAAGGACAGATTATCCAGGTTGGTTTCTAATTTTCATCCTTTATTTTCTGACTACACGCTTTACTTGCAAGCAGGACCAGCAACAAATGTATTGGGATGTATGTTTTTCCAGTGATTTTAAAGGAACACATTAGTCACCTAAATTACTTTAGCTAAATAAAGCTGTTTTAGTGTATAGATCATTCCCCTGCAATTTCACTGCTCAATTCACTGTCATTTAGGAGTTAAATCACTTTGTTTCTGTTTATGCAGCCCTAGCCACACCTCCCCTGGCTATGATTGACAGAGCCTGCATGAAAAAAAAACTGGTTTCACTTTCAAACAGATGTAATTTACCTTAAATAATTGTATCTCAATCTCTAAATTGAACTTTAATTACATACAGGAGGCTCTTGCAGGGTCTAGCAAACTATTAACATAGCAGGGGATAAGAAAAGCTTAATTAAACAGAACTTGCAATAAAGAAACCCTAAATAGGGCTCTCTTTACAGGAAGTGTTTATGGAAGGCTGTGCAAGTCACGTGCAGGGAGGTGTGACTAGGGTTCATAAGGGATTTAACTCCTAAATGGCATAGGATTGAGCAGTGAGGCTGCAGGGGCATGTTCTATACGCCAAAACTGCTTCATTAAGCTAAAGTTGTTCAGGTGACTATAGGGTCCCTTTAATGGAATAGTTGAAATACTCTATGTAAATAAAATGCAACCAAAATATCAGAAACATACCAATTTAAAGCTTGATTAGAAGAAATTTGCTGAGTAAAACTACTAATACAATCACTAGATAAAATCTTATTCTCAAACTAATGACAGGGGCCCTTTAAAGATCTTTTCGCTTGCCCATTTTTCCTGCCTCCAACACAGGAAATTGAAGAACTGACTGCTTAATATATAAGACTTCTTGAGAGGTGCCATTGTAACGATATATCAGTGTTATTCACTTGTGCTCTGTCAGTGGTTTTAATCTTGTGGATGATCAGTGTGTGTGCGCGCGTTTATTTAAGATTATCCTTTTGCTCTGCAATCTGTTAGTTTTGAATTGGTACATCCGTTTTCATTTGTACTTTTATTCATTGAGCATATTAAACCATTTTTAAATGAATCACAATATAACTTGGCATGTTTTTGTTACCTTGTTGTTTATTTAAATATTATACAAATAGATCTGGACACGCCGCAACAATATCTAACCCGTCAGCCCTTGACACTGCAAATGAAAAGTTAAATCAGCTTCTTCACTGCATCTGTGATCATCCCAACGCACATGTGAACCCCGTACTCAATAAATTACCCAGCATCGTTTCGCAGAAAGGTAAACCGAGCTAGACATTGCAGATGTTTCCTTTTTGGGTTAGAGGAAGGGGCAATTGTGAGGTTGTAGAAAATGTATCCTACAAACTGCATTAAATAATTGAGTGAGTATCCTCTTTCATGAGCATATCCCCTTTTACAGGAATAATAGAATATGATTTAAATAACTGCACTGGTACAAATTCAACATTATACTCGATGTTGTCTAACTTTGTTTATTCACCTGTTTCTTGTTTTTTTATAATAGCATCCCCAGAATTGTATGTTTGCTAATGGCCATTGTATAGTTAAAATAGCACGATATATCTGAAAGAAGAATGTCACTTTTGTTTTATAACCTATATAGTAACTCTATCTTTGCATGCATTCTACAGTGAAACCACAAGTTAACTGTGTACCTTAAGTGCCAAAGCTGACTGTAACGGCTGAAGGGTTAAAAAAATACAAACCGCTGGGACCTATCTTGGTGCAGGGACATTAACTTAAATGTTTATGCTTGCAGTGTTTACACTGAGGTGAAATAAGTAATTGATCACTTCAGGCCATTCATGTACATATTGTGCAGCGTCATGATGCTTTGTCATCATGCAGCCGGTGTCCAGTGTGACTGATAACCTTTGCTTGTGTTTACACTAAGCAACATAATAAATGGAATGTTTACATTCTTGGATAGTCTATATTGCAGCCCTAGATTACTCTCCTTTTTCCTGCGCAGTTTAATGGTGGATGTGTAGCTGAAATTAGGAACCAACGCTTGGCTATACCAGATGTGCCAATAAAAAGTTCTGAGTACAAACAGTTTAATTGTCCATTGTAATAATTTCTGAATATGAATAGCATTGTCAGTTGTTCTTCAGGATCTTTTTTTATTTTTTTATTTTACATATACAAACGTGATACTCGAAAAATTTGAATATTTCAATTAATTTATTTCAGTAATGCAACGTAAAAGGGGAAACTAATATATGATAGACTCATTACATGCAAAGCAAGATAGTTCAAGCTGTGATTTGTCATAAGTGCGATGATTATGGCTTACAGCTCATGAAAACCCCAAATCCACAATCTCAGTAAATTAGAATATTACATGCAATCAATAAAATAAAGAGTGTACATAGAACAATATCGGACCTCTGAAAATTATAAGCATGCATATGGACTCAGTACTTTGTTTGGGCCCCTTTTTCAGCAATTACTGCCTCAATGCGGCATGGCATAGAAGCTATCAGCCTGTGGCACTGCTAAGGTGTTATGGAAGACCAAGATGCTTCAATAGCGGCCTTCAGCTCTTCTGCATTGTTCAGTCTCATGTCTCTCATCTTTCTCTTGGCAATGCCCCATAGATTCTCTATGGGGTCAGGTCAGGCGAGTTTGCTGGCCAATCAAGCACAGTAATCCCACGGTCATTGAACAAGTCTTTGGTGCTTTTGGCAGTGTGGGCAGGTGCCAAGTCCTGCTGGAAAATGAAGTCAGCATCCCCATAAAGCTCGCCTGCAGAAGGAAGCATGAAGTGCTCCAAAATCTCCTGGTACACGGCTGCATTGACCCTGGACCTAATGAAGCACAGTGGACCAACACCAGCAGATGGCATGGCTTCCCAAATCAACACAGACTGTGGAAACATCACACTGGTCTTCAAGCTTCTTGCAGTGTGTGCCTCTCCATTCTTCCTCCAGAGTCTGGATCCTTAGTTTCCAAATGAGATGCAAAAGTTGCTCTCATTTGGACCATTGAGCAACAGACTAGGTCTGTTTTTCTTTACCCCAGGTAAGACGCTTCTGACGTTGTTTGTTGTTCAGGAGCGGCTTGACAAGAGGAATAAGACATCTGAAGCCCATGTCCATGATCCGTCTGTGTGTGGTGGCTCTTGATGCACTGACTCCAGCCTCAGTCCACTCCTTGTGAAAGTCCCCAACACATTTGAATGGCCCTTTCCTGACAATCCTCTCCAGGCTGCGGTCATCCCTGCTGCTTGTGCACCTTTTTCTTCCACACTTTCCCCTTCCACATAACTTTCTATTAATGTGCCTTGATACAGCACTTTGGGAACATCCAACTTCCTTCGCAATTACCTTTTGAGGCTTTCTCTCCTTATGGAGGGTGTCAATGATGGTTTTCTGCACAACTGTCACGTCAGCAGTCTTCCCCATGATTGTGATTCCAACTGAACCAGACTGAGAGACCATTTAAAGGCTCATAAATCCTTTGCAGATGTTATGGCTTACTTAGCTGATTAGAGTGGGACACTGTGAGCCTAGAATATTGCACCTTTTCACAATATTCTAATTTACTGAGATTTGGGGTTTTCATGAGCTGTAAGCCATAATCATCGCACTTATGACAAATCACGACTTGAACATCCTTGCTTTGCGTGTAATGCGTCTATCTCATGTATTAGTTTCCCCTTTTACGTTGCATTACTGAAATAAATGAACTTTTGCACGATATTCTAATTTTTCGAGTATCTCGAGTATCACACAAGTTTTAAACCAGTCCAAACAACTCAATTTTGCCTTTTGTTGTGTTTTTCATTAGAACCTCCAAGTACATATAACTCTACAGTGAAATATCCACTATAAACTATCCCCTTGCAAAGCCTGTATAGTATCTGGTCTGTTTTGCATTAGATGGGGATCATACATAAAGTGTCATTTTCTTGAATGTTTGTAAAGTGGCACAAGCAGAAGGAACATTTCATTGGTTTTCATGGGGATTGCTGCAATTTTAGAACTGGTTGCATTAATGGGGCAGGAAGAGAAAAATAGATATTCTCACTGTTAAGCCAGAATCTCTAGTGTGATGTTAATTATAAATGTCCATTTAATTACGTTCCATGTTTTATAAGTGTAAATCAGACATTTGATGACAATTCCAGTAATATGTGGAATATACAGCATGTGCATACATGTCATAACTTTATTTGTAGATACCGAGAATGTATGGAAACAGCAGGTCATGGTGCGCCTCCTTCAGCTAATCCACATCCCTGTCCTTGAAGACATCCTGGAGTCTCCAGTTAAAACGGAGCATAAGACACACTTCAGTGATCTCATTGTTTCAAACACGTTTCTGGACAGAGAGATTCTGCAAACTCTCCATTTACCTAAGTAAGTTATGTGTTTAAAAATACTCCTTGCTGGTCTCCAAGCGTTCCTGAAAGGCATCATTCCTCATCCTTATATTAATGGGAGCAAAGTAAATGTCTCGGTGCTGAATGGTATTTACCATATGTAAATAATGCTTTGTGGAGTTTGCTTAATAAATATACACATATGTGATTGTTGGTAAGGAACAGGGTTTGAGTGAATCTGCCTCTACCCCTTGGGGGGTCAGCGACGTGCCACTGGATAGATGGCAGGTAGTACCTGAAGCATCGTTTGTCACATGATGGAGAGTGACCAGCCACTAAGTGCATGGCCATTGATGAATATTGCAGCTGCTGTCGTGTAGCTGGTGAGCTGCCCATACAATCCTTTGACGTGGCAGGTGAGCATCCCTCTAATGGCCATTGGAGTTACTTAACCTCCATTTGTTTAAATATGCATAGGGATTTGGGAAGAATGCAGATAACTTTTTTTTTTTTTCCCTTTGGTTTTTACTGTCTGTATTGGGGCTGATGTGTACTATGGTCGTTGCCGCCGCCCAGGAGTAAGGGAGTTTGAGCACAGGACTTGTTTTTTGTATATTTGTCTTACAATCCATCTATTTCCTGGATATTTGTTACGATCGCTTTCTTGATCTTTCACATTTTTACTTAGAATTTAATAAATAAGTCCCGTAAAACCTGTAACATAAAGGACTACAACAGAGTCTTATGTAAAACCAGCTAATAATGACTGATTTGAGAGGCAATGTGCAAAAGGACAAGTTATTCTTAGAATACTAAAGGCAGAAGCTGAAATTCAATACATTCTGCAGCTTTGGGAACGGTTTATGAAAAGTGTTAGGAGTATTGCTCAGGTGTCATGAATAAGTAAGTCGGGGTCCAGTAATCAATATAAAAATGATATGAGTATATGTAGGAAGCTGACTAGACATTGTAATGACTGACTATAAAACCCAGTGACGATTTAATGACATGTTTTCTTTGATTCCATACAAAATAGATGGATAAAGATTTCCATTTAGCATAAATTATTCAAAGTAACATCTTGTCCATAGCAAGAAATTGTAATTCTAACAATTCTTTATACTCTGTTTTCTATAGAGACTCATTTTCACCTGTCAGAGTTGTAAATTATGCAGTTTATAGCTCTTGGTTATGAACTTTGCATTTTGTTATCAATAGTGCGGTAAACATTCTATGCAAGCGATTTCTGATAGCCATTTGCTTTATATTAGCAATCTTTTCACTTGCAACAATAAGGTTGGCTTTGATGTAGCTGCAATAAGGCATAGTTCAAACGAACGCTTTCACCTTAACAGGAGTACTATAAAATTCTCCAGAGTTTGCTTTTCCTTCTCTTTGTTTCAATTAAAGGACCACTATAGTGCCAGGAAAACATACTCATTTTTCTGGCGTTATAGTGCCCTGAGGGTGCTCCCACCCTCAGGGTCCCACTCCCGCCCGGCTCTGGGGAGAGAAAAGGGGTAAAACTTACCTTTTTCCAGCGCCGGGCGGGGAGCTCTCCTCCGGACCTCCTCCTCTTCTCCCATTCGGCTGAATGCGCACACGCGGCAAGAGCTGCGCGCGCATTTAGCCGGTCTCCTTGGAAAGCATTATCAATGCTTTCCTATGGACGCTTGCGTGTTCTCACTGTGATTTTCAGGATTTGGAGGAAGGATTAACCCATTTATAAACCTAGCAGTTTCTCTGAAACTGCTATGTTTATAAAAAATGGGTTAATCCTAGAGGGACCTGGCACCCAGACCACTTCATTAAGCTGAAGTGGTCTGGGTGCCTAGAGTGGTCCTTTAAGGAACACTAGAATTAACAATTTTTTTTTTAGTACTCTGTGTTACTTTATAACTTTAAAAAAACAAACAAAAAAAAACATACACATTTAAAATGACCTTTGCAAATTACTTTTAATCGAGCACAGAGACCTTCCATCTCGGCTTAGGTTAATGTTCGTTTTGTATTTCCTTTCCAGAATGGACAGATGGCTTGCTGCAGCTGTTGAATGTTTGGAGCATTTTCCAGATCAGCAGATAGTGATGCTAAGCCAACAGCTCCCACCCAGTAACAATCCCACTGAAGACCTGGACTTGTACAAGAAAATGTTATACGAGGTTATTGCAAAATATTACACCCAAGAGAGGGATCCTTTTTTGGATAGTCGACTTCTTAAAATACTTTCTGGAATTGTTGAACTCTTAGGTGAGGGTGCTTTTAAACTGCATGCCTTCCATATTTAATTCTTGTCCCTACGGATTTAGGTTGGAGTCAAATCAATATTGCTAAACTATAAACTACAATACTTTGCTTGTTCATACAGCCATTGCTGGTTTAATTAAACATGTCCATGGCAGATTATTTTACTATAACAAAACTGTATTATAAGGCGGGTCTTATTAATTGATGATCTGCATTGTTTTAAATGAAATAACAGTTTTTAAGCCTTCTTGGTACCTTGTTATTCTTTGATTGCATAATGATCTTACTGTGGTTGTTAACACCAACTCTACAGCAGTCCGTTTAGGAAATGCCATTTTAAACAGATAAAACCCTTTCAGGGTTATGAATTTGAAGTGAATTTCAAATGTTAAACCAAAATAGCCGAAACTGCCATCGTAGCTCACTTAGATCTAATTTAGTTATTTTGGCCTTTAAAACTGGAATTCACTTTATGAATAACCCTGTTTATCTTGCACAATGGAGTTAAATAAGTTCAGTTGTGAAATCTTATGTTGTAATTGGCTGGTGGCATTAAATGCCTTCAGCAGGGTTTTTTTTTTATTTTTAACTTAAACCTTCTTGAAAGATTTAAAAATGTAAGTCCTGGGGGGCGGAGTCTACTAGCAGACCAGAGCAGACGCCATATCTGAAAGCTTCTCTAAAATCATACAAAACCCATCCAATATCTCACCAGCCGAGACCCATCCGACATCCTCAACCCGTCAGCTGACCATCCTGATCGATGCCCATTTTCCACACGGTGCAAGACTGCAGCCTACTACACGCCGGCGATCCCGGATCTGGAGGCTCTCCTACGCGGCACCACATCCCAGACGCAGGGGGGAAATGAAACCACGCTACTCACACAGGCAAGCCTGATACTCTCTTGAGACTGCTGACGGGTCTTTTCCCACTACCAAACATGACATGAAAATCCTGCTTGCAGACATACACAAACTATGGGCATCTGACCTAATACGCTTAAGAACAGACATACAGGCTATCACTGACCGGGTGCGGGCCTCAGAGGAGGACATACTGGACGCCAGAACAGACATCAAAGCCATTAACCGCTTAGGGACCAAACTTCTGGAATAAAAGGGAATAATGACATGTCACACATGTCGTGTCCTTAAGGGGTTAAAGAGACAGTGCATCAATCAAACGTCTCCCTACAACCCATGGCCCTGGAAGACAAACAGTGCCAAAATCACATTAAAATACGCTGAGATATCGGCCGAGGAGCTTCCACATTATATTTGCAGGCTATTGACAACCATACTACCCCACACAACGGTCAAGAAGGTGGTTATGAATGGAGTACATCGTATGAACAGTACTGCCAAACTATCGCCTGGAGTTGCACAAGACTTTATCTTCAGATGCCTAACCTTCCAAACAAAAATCAAATCATGACAACATTGAGAAATAAAACTCCTCTGGCCTTTTGAGGGGTCCTCCCTGACCTTCTTTCAAGACCTCACCAAAAGCACACTACTCTGGCGAAAGTCACTGGGGACTGTCACCTCACAACTGAGTAACGCAGCCATTTCATACCGATGGGGAGCTCCGGGGACTGTGATAGTAACCCACAATGGAACCAACCACAATTTCACCTCCCCTGAAAAGCCCTCCTGCAAGCACTGGGACTGGCAGAGCAGAACAAAGAAACGCAACCGGACACCATCACGAGTAACTGGGACCCGGCTCACATCACCCCCTTTGTCCCGAGAAACGGCAACGCGCAAGCCAATAACACTTGAACACACTCAGAGACCCACCAGGCGTTTTAACGTTTAAAAACCGATTTTAATACCCACCCGACGATAAGAGACGGCGACCCTGTGTAAGCAGCCACCCTGGTCCCGAGGAGAGGCTTGCTGCTAAGTTTAAGTCCCTCGGAGGGGTGCTTTCAGTCTCCCGCGATGGGGAGCGCTCGGACGGTGAGTGGACGGCCGCTGCCCCGCTATTCTGCTCACCAGCGGTGCGGGCGACACGCGAGGTTGGGTCTGATCCCGGTCCCCACCCTGGGTCCGCCAGCGTGCAGCAACACCAGCACCACTGGCCGTGATGGAGCTCCAAAACTCGGAGGCCGCATGCCAAGGCACCCAAGTAAGCAGAAAGTTGGAGGCCCACACCTCACACTGGAGGCAAGCTGACAAGGGCCAAGAAAGAACTGGCAAGGACCTATTAAGACCCAACTCGGGTCAAGCTAAACGGCGGCGGAAAAGCCGGGACCACGCTGACCCTTTTTGGGCAGTGGTACAAGCCAGCTGCGGAGGCCGACACCAGCGACATACCACACTCACGTGCACCTACGGAAAGTGTCCTTGAAGGGAGAGACAAATACCCAACGACGAAGACCAACCCTCTTAAAGCACCCTGGAAATGCCGCGACAGCCCGCAAATACAAAGGTCGCATGGACACAGCACGGCAGAAGGGATCCAGCTCTCTGCTCTACCACATGCCTGGACAGCACTCACCGTGACAGTATTTAAGCTTTTTTGTACCTTTTGGGGCCACTGCACTCCACTATACCTCACGGGCGAGCTTCATAGCACACAGCCACTGACTCCCATCTGGCTGAAGAGGGATTAACCGGGGGTGGAAAGACCCGCATAGGACTAAAGCTTTATGATGACGCCTTTAATTATTAGTCTGACAACTCTGTATTACTATTTACTATAGCTGGTATACATATAGCAAAGACATCATTAATACACCTGGCATACCTTAAAAACGTAGGAAAAACCCTAGCAGGCTCATACAAATAAGTGTCGAAATTATAATCCCGCTAGCATCTTCCACAAATGTAGAACGCTAACATACATTATCACCACGAACACTTAGACATGCTTACATCCCTATGCTATGCCAACCAACTGTCTATGCCTCCTCTGGTTTTCATCAAAAGAAAAAGGGGCTGTTTACTCTTAAAAACCTACTGTGGCAACCTAATCCTGACTAATAATCAATAGGTGACTGCTGATTTATTTGCATGTCAATTTGCTTGATGGTACAAAGAGAGACTCGTGGGAATTCCATGCTTACGACTTCTCCCCAATACATCTAAGCTTGGCAAGCTCTGCCGCTGCGCTAGGTACTTAAAGCTAACTATGTGACCTGTTCCAGCTGTATATGCTCGTATGTTATGCCTACTATCCCTGCTTTCCAGGTGATTGCTCCACTATATGTTAACTCATGTAGGAGACTATAAGCAACTAGAACACGCCTGTGGTTATCTTTCCATTGCACTTCATAAATAATGCGTGTGAACTTGAAACACAGATGCGCTTGCTGTCTTGACATTGCTTTATGGGTGCCAGCTTAACGTGTATAATTTTCACTACATATCAAAACTGTCGCTAGATTGTTACGTGACAAAAAAATGTGCAGTTTTCTGAGTACCACATTGTCAATACTGGTGCTTAATCCATGTGTGCTGTTGTGGCACTTGATATATGCTTGTAACGCCTCATGCACAGAAAAATAAAGAATTAAAAATAAAAAAAATAGCAATTAGGTTTAACAAGCTCCAGGGTGTTTTTTTTTTTTTTTTTTTTTTAAGGGCCCCTAGTCTTTTGGTAAGAGGCTGGCCATTAGGCCCCTACAAGAACATGTGATGAGGCTTAGTTCGTCACAATTCTGAAAAAAGGTGCCATGTTATAGCAATGTCAATGTATAATTTTTCTACCTGCATTTTATACATTTGCTGTATGCCAAACATGTCTTTACAATGCACCACCAAAATAAAGAATTATAAGAATTATAAAAAAAAAGTAAGTCCCAAGATGGACACCTCTATTCTCAATTAAATAATAATTACAGCTACATTTTCTATGGTGTGGTTAGATGATTTATCAGTCAACTTTTAAATACTGCGAACATACGTTGTTGCCACAGGTTAACAGCCAAATGATGGATTAAAAATATTTTTGCAGAAAGTGGAAAAGAGACCCATGCACTAGAAGCAGTACAGCTGTACTTAAGATTACTTGTTCCAAGCACCAGAGAGGAGTTCCGCAGATTAGTGGTGTTTATGGCAACGGCATCTGAAACTTGTGGCTGCAGACTGCAAAAACAGGTATAAAAAAAAATACTTCAAAAGATACATTTTGCTTCCTCTTGGCGATTTTAAAATACATTCACTTGTGCCTTTCCCTCTGCTCTCCCTTGCTTGATAGGCTGTGCACATGCACCATGTTTGTATTTAGTGAACATGGGATAACCAGGATAATTCTTTTAAGCTGTGTATACATCGCTTGGAAAGCAAAACTGTGATGCTTATTTCTTTGAGAGCATGATAGCAGGGGAGTTGGTATTTAAGTTTGATAATGAAAATTCTGATCAGGTGGATAGGTGGTAATGAAGCCCTCCACATTCTTAAGAAACACTTGTGATGACTCTTGTTGCCTCTCTAGTACCTGATCCAGGACATTTACTTGCCAAATATGAATACCAGTATAAATTATGTCAATTTGGTGGCACTATCAATTTATTCCTCTTGCTTTCATTTTAAATGTACAGTGTTTTGCATACGTACTACCTATAATCTATTTTAATAATCTTTTTATGAATAAGGCATTACATTTTTGTCTTTCAGTTTGATAACAAGACAGTAGTGACTAGGACATTAAGCAAAATCCTTCTTCAGAACCCCGGAATATCAAGAACACAGACTGAGCAGTTTACTGTGTTTTTGTTGGAAAATTACAGTGATCTATTTAAGGTAAGTTTCAAAAATCTGAAATATACAATGCAGTCATTTCAGAATAAAAAGAATATAAATTGAAGCTAGTTACATCTGAATATCACTTATTGAAAACAAGTTCCGAGCATCAAGTATTTCTAACTTGATGTGTGCAGAAACCAGAAAGCTATTGAGACATTTTGAACAATCCTGGTCCTACCTTTGTTTTTACTGGGATCATTGTAAGTAGTTGATTATGTCAAACTGCTTTTGAAAATTGTGTAAGTTCATTGCTTCTAGTACATTAGAAAAATAAATGAATGCATCTAATTTATTATTTTTGTGAATGTCAAGTGCAGCATCGCTTTTAGTTACTTTTGCTGTATATTCTCTCATATAATACATTCACAGGGTTGCCAGGGTTCTTCTTTAACTTAGGAATCGACCTGGGAACTTCAAGCTTTATACCAAAATAACCATTTTTTATTTTTTTTTATTCTTTATTTTGGAGTGCATAGAGAAAAAGCAGTTACAAATGTGTTTGTCATTCCCCAAGATAACGTTGTAAGAAAGAGAGGCTTCAAGACCCAGCTGATGATGGGTCTTAACTAAGGCATAGTTATATTCTTGGAGTTTGAGAATAGGGGGGGGCTGTCTAGTAGAGATCTAGTTGATATGCAAAGATGCTTGCGAGTAGACAGGTGAGGTGCTGTGTACTAGTGTCTAAAAGCAACTCCCAGCTCCCTAGAGTAGGCTCAGAAATCAGCTAAGGTCACACATAAAGCAGCTATACCCAGAGGTGTAAGGTTATTACCCAGCAAGGCAGTTTACTTGTGTAAGGGTATGCTAACCTATGCCTACTTAGATGTAATTTAAAAGCAAAATAAATGTAAGTAAATGCATAAACAAAAGCAACAAACATGAAGAGTCCACTGGGTCTTCAAGAGGCAGACCGCTGCAGGCCCGCACAGGCAGTGTCACGTGACAGCTGCTGAAAGTATGCTGACCGGCTCACCCGGTATCGTAGCGTCTGTCACCTGTCCGGCTGAGTGTAGTGCTGGTAGAGTCCCGGCAGATTGGTGCGTCAGGAGGGACCCACTCCACCAGCCCTTGGCATTGCGTGGGCCCGCATTCTGTGCCTTCTGTACTGGTTTCCTGAGGAGCCAGCATTGGAGGTACTAGACGAGATGGTCCATCCGGGTACAGGACTATGATGGGAGTGATGTCCTCGCAGGGCCTGGAGTGGATGTTCAGGCAACCGGTATCCTACTTCTGCTCGCTGGTGTGACAGTCCAGGCATGCGAGCTGTGGCCAGCAAACCATACCACTGTGGGAGCCGCTTGCAGCTAGTTAGTGCAGCCGCGCCCATTGCAGCTCGCACAGCAGCCATCTTGTTGTCAGAGCGCGGGAATCCAAAGTCATGTTAAACTCTTTAGGGTTAGTGCTGTAGGTGTCGGATCCCTCCAGTGGGGACCGGGATGACCCCCACTGGTCCAAAGGGGGGTTGGAGGGAGGGAACGGATCCTGTGAGGCGTGTGACAGAGTTGTTGTGCGGCAGCTAGGCTTGTTAGCAGGGTGGCGGCCGTCCACCCCACTCCTTTCCCAAGTAGGCCGCAGGCTCCAAAGCTTTGTGCTGTCCTCAGGGAGCCCAAAACTCCAGATCTTGGAGTGTGCAGTAGCGCCAACAACGGTCTGTGCACTTTGCTGTAATTTCAGGCGTAAATTACAGTTACAAACCATGGTTTCCAAGCCAAAAGGGGCCTCATTTAGCTGGAGCCTCTCCCGCATGCGGTCAGGCCCCACCCCCCAATAACCAATTTTTTATGGTGGGGTTTTTAGTTTTTCCCAGCTCTGCGATTTTGGCCATCACAGTGTTGGGATCAATTCTCAAAAACAAATAGTTTAGTGGGTAACCTTGTGTATGATTCCTATTCACTCTATCAAAACCTAAATTTATAGGATTGTTACAGCTGATTATTCTCCCTTAGAATTCTCTTGAATATAGATTTTAAAAAACAAACTGGAAGTTCAAATGAACCAAAGAGACAGTTTAATTTTATCGGTAAATGTTAAGAGGTTTAGTCAACTCGCATGACATTTTACGGTTGCACCAGAATGTTATTTTAAGTGTGTATCTTGGATAAATTCAGAATGTTCATGCCTGTCTTTGCTTATAATACAGACACCACTTGCTTTATTGGACCTTATCAGTACAAAGCTAAGGAGCTTGCAGAATGGTGTTGACCCCGATTCCTTTTCAGGTAATCATGAAAACGTTCCTTAATTTCTCATGAAAGCGTGTGTTTGGAGATATGATCACTTCCACAAGCATCAATCTAGCTGTAGCACAGGTGTAACAGTGTTAGAAAGTTGCACTTGGGTCACACTAAGGGTTGGGTAGACGAACTCCAGGTTTCACTGATGCATAAATTAAAATGTTTATTTTTATTTAGGAAGTCTTAAAACAAAATCCATATTTTCCACAGTAGTCATGTATTTTAGTTGACGTATTAGTCCAGTAATGTAATGTAGATGCAAAATAATGAAGTATTGCAGTAATACCCTTTTTACGGGACTACCAGAAATTTGTAGTGACAGTTTTAGGACTTGGATTTTCAAACTTGATAAAGGGAGACACTCCCAAAAGCTCACCATTACAAATTTCTGTTCTATAAAGCAGGTTCTACTAGAAACTGCGATATTTTATTATGCGTCTAGTTCTAAATTTAAAACAGAGAAGAATCAGTACTAAACTTAAATTTTCCCCTCTTATGATTCAATTTTTAATCTGCATGGAAGAAAAATATTTATTTTCATCAGTGAAACAAGGAATGTGACTTATCAGAGTGTGAAAGCCATCAAGCCAGTGCTTTGAACAGTAATTTGTGGGGTCAGCAACTATGTTTAATGTCCACCCCAGCTATTTCTCGGTTTAGGAGTGGAATTACCTGTACAGATGGGCAAATATGAATGAAGTGGTGAAGAAACAATACAGTATATATTGTGTAAATTGGATATAGGGCAAACCAAAATACCCATTCCCTTAAACCTCTGCTGACATGTTGACATTACAATATCTACCTTCTTGCTGCACAAATACACTGTAACACAGCTGACCATCACTACGTTTATCTGTTAAAGGCTTTACGTTTTGCCAGCTTTTGACCCTGGATGAATTTGAAAGGCAAAGATATTGTTGCACAACAAATGAACTGCAATGTCTAGTAGAGATCATCAACCAGGACAATGCATTCCCTGAGAAGAAGAGAAAGAAAATAATGAAAGAGTTCAAGAAGTATCACCCTTCAGCCCTTAATGAACATTTCTTGCCTTAATTATGGTTTTGTAACTTATTTTCTCCTATTTGCACTATTAATGAGAATTGTGAAGGGGTAGAATTTTCTTTTTATGTTTAAATTGATTAACTGTAGCAGGGCTGACTTGACTAACATAGTCATTCTCTAACCATCATTTTGATTGTTTTGCATAATGTGTGCTTCTTGATCCAATCAGAGAGATTTGTGTGTTTGACAAGGTTATTTTCTAAAGTGAGAATTGTAAGGAATTCAAGAAGAATTTCACATTGAAAGCAGCTCTGTCGCCTTCAGGGGTCTCTGCATATTTTGAAAAGACCATTGATGGCAAATGTTTGTCTCTTGCTGGGCAGTAACTCAGTTGTGCAGTGCAGGTGAGCTATACTGACCTGATGCTGTCCCCCACATGCACTGCCATATTCTTGCTTCAGCTACTGGCTATTTAACTGCATGCATGATAGTACAACAATGATGTCTGTGGATAAACCCACAAAAGCCCTGGAGCCTCCATAGATATTGTCTCACAATCAGCGAGACAAAGCTCTGCATTTTATCAAATTTTGTCAAGTGTAGGAAAAATGCATCTCTACTTTTTTATGGTATCTTTTGACTGCTTTGGAATTTAAAGGGACAATCCACTGCTCAATAAAAAAAAAAAAAATTTAGTAGATCTACTCCCAATGAAAGCATGCATGGATTTAATTTGTATTATTTCCATTTTGGTTATATCTAGATACAGATTTAAAAAGCTGCAGAATATTTGTCTGCAGCCTTTGTAAGTCCTCGCCTTCTTCTCCAGCCCAGACTTTTTGCTGCTGTCCAATCACAGACTTCCCAATGCAGCTCAATGAGACGTCCTTGCAAGGCAGATGCCCTGGGCAAAAGCTACCAGGACCTGTTATCTGATTGATACCTGGGGGTGTAACCAGATTTATTCATAAATGTGCAAATTTCTGTTGAAATTTGCACTTTACGTAAAATAAAAGAGAACCCCAATCTTGCAGTTAAACAGTCAGGACCCCAATCTTCAGCAAGCTAAAGGTGCTTTACTTATTTGGAGTGTTACTTTAAGGTCGAGATAACTGAAGTGGAAGAATAGCTGCCTAGATGAACTTTACTAGACAATTTTTCATTTTGATTACCAACTCTGTAATATCATACTCACTGTAAATATGTCTTACTGCTGGAAACAAAATGAGGCCATGGATTGAATGAGCTATTTCAGGTACTGGTTGATATGAAATAGAGAAGCTATAGGAAAATCTGCAAACGTAGGTCTTTTTAAAAGGTGCTAAATGCACACTGGATCAGACATTACAGCCACTAAAAATAATTTGGAAATGTTTTTACATATTTAATGAATTAAATTTCATTACATATGATTGGCATCTGCAGGAATCCTACTGCTTCTATAATAGGGTACAGTTTAGGTCCAATGTGCATAATACTACTGAATTTCTTGGCTTCTGCCTTAGCTGCTATTGAATTTTTAGTGTATCTTAATTTTTTATAAATTCTAACTATTTGTAATTCAACTTTAAGAATTAATTTAATTAGTAGATTTTGAAATGTTAGATTTTGCATGTTATCAAATGATCTGTGTAAATTTAATAATTTAATTATGTGGGAATTGTGCAATTAATGTATTTTAAATAAGCTGTGTTTTTGGTAGAGAACAAAATTTTACAAAAGCAGATACATTCTCTCTGAAATCAAACGTATGTGACAAATTAATTTTTATGATTTCACGGTTAGCAATTGATGTATTTAAGGTTCAGCATATTGAAGGGGCACTAGGCACCATAACCCATGCAGCTTATTGTTATGCATTGAATTTTTGAGTGCTGTCCCTCTGGGTTTTGTCAAACCATTTTTTGTGGTTTGACAAGAGTGGATTTTCCTAGTACCCAAAACGCCCCTCCTCTACTCCAGTTGCGTTTTAATTAAGAATTTCACATCACATGTCTGAGGGTAGCAACCATGAATAGCTTCAGTGAATGAATCTGCAATTAACTAACTCAGTCCCTAAGTTGGGTACAGACTATTTGAAGATGAGGGAATTTTTGTACATTCTTATCAGAATAGCATTTTGTGCTAAAATGTAGTCTAGTAGTACTTTAGACTATTGTGCTGTATTAGTCCACTAAGTTCTTGAAAATAAACAGAAACATTCATATTAAATGGTTATCCTAACCACCATGACCACTTTTGCTTTTAGACTTGGTCATGGTGGTTAGAGTATGTATGTGCAACATTTTTGCTTGAAGAACTACGCATATAGATATAGTTTTGCTTAGGTGCTGGGGGCTACTTACACCCCTGGCACACATGGCTTTGGCAACCTGGTGTGGACTTCCAAATGTCAATTTTGTGCAAAAATTTTAGTCTTCCCATCTGGCAACATATGTAATTTGTCTCCATTTCCTCTACCCTCAGTTAAGCCTTGTTACACATTCGGTTATTTTATTTTCCCTCGCTGACTCGAAGTGCATGCGTCTAGAGCCAGCTAAACTGTCCTGTCGAAGGCTTCTCTATGACAATCCTTTGATTGAATCTCGGGATGTGTATCATGACGTCTGATCAAGAGTGGAAAAGATGTTTTTCTATCGTTTATGTAGGGAACTAAAGAATGGGCAAAAAAAAAAAGTTGTCCCGTGTATAAATGGTGGGTGTGAATTGTAATTGCCAACATTCATTTGTGGCAAGTGCTGTGTATAAAAGAAGGTATGGCTTATTTGAAATTGGCTAAAAAATCTCCACAGAAAACACTTATCATTCATATCCTGTTTTTACAGTTTGTAATTTACTGAACATTTTCTGTAATATTTGTAAATGTTGCATAACTCTTTCATTCTGAAACAAATGCAATAAAAGATTCTTGTGAGTCTCTGTGCTTGGTAACAGGTCTACCTGAATAATGCTTGTTTCTTGTACTACTGATTAGTTTCAGAACCCTGCAGAAGGGGGGGAGAGGGGCCACTCACTAGGGGGGTGCCAGGGCAGACGGTGTCGGGTCCTGGGTCACTGGGTGCGAAGCCCCTTCTGCGTCTATCGCAGACACCTGAGTCTCGCAAAATCTGATCAATCAAAGCGTTGCCACGAGTTACCACGGCAACACTCTGACTGGATCTCGCCAGATTCATGGTCTGCAGCTCTGCACACTGCCGAGCTGCAGACTGGATATCAACACTGGACCACCAAGGAATTAAATAAGGTATTTAGTACCCTCCATCACCTCCCTCCCTCCCTCACACACCATCACCACTCCCCCCACCCTCACACCATTATCCGCTATACAAGCACACACTTATACATGTGTCAGTGTGTATCTGGTTGTGTGTGTATGGCTGTTTCTATGTAACTGCATGTGTGTGTCTGTGTGCATACATCTCAGCATTTCGCTTACACTACACTCAAATACAACCCTGTCAACACTACATAAAAACACACCACCTTATTCAAAAACCGCATTACAGAAAAATGCATGCCTGCATTCAAATGCCAATACGTGCAAACACACCTGTACATTCACTCACACATACTCCATACAAAAACATGCTTACATTCAAACACACAAACACTGTTCAGTGCTAAATATATAAAAACAAAATACAAACACTGCTCAATGTTTGGGTGTTTTTTTTACATTTTTAAGCTTGAAGAGGGGGTGCCAAATACAGGATATGCTCCAGGTACGCCCCGGCTGCCCATGAGTATTACTTTTCTAGAAGAACTTATTGGTGATAGTATGCTTTGAGGCATATTGCTTCCTGGATCCCTTCAAATCCAAAGATGTCTACGGGGAGAGCCAGATGGTAAAGATTCACTGCTCTTGGTGCAAAAGGTGGTGAACTATATCCCATTTCCAAACCCAGGGTATTGTGCATGCTGCTTATAGACTTGTTTGTGACTTAAAATGGAACCAAACGCTCTCAAGTAAAACAGTTCTTGTGCCAAAGTTGCTTCAAAAAGAAATTATGGCTTCCACTGCCTAGACTTATTGGGAACCAATACAGATGTCTGGGCATATCTACTGGTTTCTTATTAACAGGCACTCCTTTTTTGGAGTTCAGAGTAAGACAACTTTGTGGCACTAACCTGTACCTTTGTCAAGTCAAGAATGGGTATGAAAAAAGAAGTGTATAGTCTCTGCCTTAGTCACACCTCCAGAAGGGACTAGGCTAGTGATGGCGAACCTATGGCACCCTGGGCCCTCTCTGTGGGCACACGGCCATAGGTTCGCCATCAATGCAGAGTAGGCACCTGCCTGCCCAAAACAGCAGGCGCCTACTCTGATTCTGTGTCGGGAGGCAGGGGCAGGGATCTGTGAAGCAGCTCCCCTGGCCTCCCACAAGCAATCTGTGTGCAACGTTGCCATGGCAATGCTCCACACAGCATTGCGCGGGAGGACAGGGGAACTGCTCCTTACAATACTTACCACCACCACCGGGCCACCAGGCATGGCTGCCCCCCCCCCCCCTTCATCAGAGGTAAGGAGGAGGGAGGGGGGGGGGGGATTCAGATTTAGCATACCTTTTTTTGTGTGAATTCAGTGGAGTGTGTGTGTCTTCAGTCTGTGTGTACTCAGCAGTGTATGTATTCAACAGTCTGTATGTATTGCATTTGTTGGAGATACTAATAAATAAGCTTAATTTTATCTATATCATTATTTAAAATTTGTATCATTGAACTCTGTTGTGTTCTTCTTTTAAAACAAACGTTGTTAATTAGTTCAGACAACTGTACAAGTTGTTTTTTTCTAAACTTAAACCTCAGTATTCAGGTTTAATTGCCATGTTGGCACTTTGAGGGGAAAAAAAGTTGGCATGTATTGCAGTTTGGGCACTCTGGCTCAAAAAGGTTAGCCATCACTGGACTAGGCTGTTGGTGGCCAAAAAAACCTTTAACTCTGAATGGAGGTACAGTGCCAGGAGACTGCAGGCACTATAACAAACACAGAGCTGAAATGGTTTGTGACTGGTGTCCCTTTAATAATTTGTTCATGTTTATACATGACTCTCAAAGCCTCCATAAACTAGTTTCATTTGAACAGATCTTACAGCACAGTGTGTTTTTAGCTCTGCCCGGTTAATCGAACTTTAAATTATACATAGCAGGCCATTACAGGCTCTAGCATGCTAATAAAGCAGGAGCTAAGAATTTGTAAAAATTAAACACTGCAATCAAGGGAGTTTAAAATTACATTTCTTTTTACAGGGAGTGTGGTAGAGAATTGAGGAGTGACATTGCAGGGGCATGATATATTGACATAAACCACTTCATTAAAGGAACTGTATAGGGGAAAAAAAAAAAAATACATATCCTCCCCTAACAGTAAGACTAGTGTCACTACATGCTTTTTTTCCCTAAATAGTGTAAAAATTTGCTTTAGAAGTTTTAACCTTTACTATGATCAGATTCTCTCCTCCTCCTCCGATTTCAGGTCATATCTCTCTGCTTCCTGTGTTTCAGACAGATGTCCACCAATGCTCCAGTGATTCTCTATGAGAATCAGTAATAACACGCCAACAATATCTGTCCACCAATGGCCATGCTCCAGTGATTCTCTATGAGAATCCGCACAGACACGCCTTACTGGGTGTGCCAGAGTATCACTCCGCTAAACACAAGCCCACGCCTCCTCGTCATTCAGACACCAGATCTTAAAAACCACATCACATATGTCCTCACCACATTAGATATTATACAGTGTCATATGTTTAAATAAATATAAAGAGACAAACTCAAAGACCTATAGAGTTTTGTGTTCTCTCTCTCTCTCTCTCTCTATATATGTCTGACTGTTTCTCTCTCGGGAGGTTAATTAACGGGCTGGAGGGTAAGGGGTTAACACTGGGTAGAGTGGTTGGCTGGCAAGAAAAGGGTTAACAGTAAGTAGGGTGGTTGGCTGGCAGGGAAGGGGTTAATGCTGGGTTGGGAGGTTGGCTGGCAGAGGCTGGAGGAGAATGTTTATTTGCATTACAGGGAGGGAGTAGAGCACATTTTGGCTGTAGCTGCAGTGCAGTCTGTGCTGTGAACATGCATCTATTTTTATTGGCTGCAAAAGGTATGTTTCTTTCAGAGACTGGGAATCAGGAACATGTTGAAATGTGAAAGGTGGGCGGCTAAGGCGGCTGGGTTACATTGCAGGAAAACTACACAGAAATGCGAGGGATCCCCTTAACTCCCACAATGAAATCAAACACAAGAAAAATATAAGTGGAGCTCTGGTATACCTGAATGAAAAAATTGGAGACACAGATGGAACTCCCAGATATTACAGATACCGGTGATTCTGCAGTCAAGATGGTTTAAAAGACAGAACCTTCGGCCACACCGTATTCACCAACTGAGGAATCCAGCTTGTGGCGAAACGCGTTTTGGACTGAATACTCCATTGCTTTTTAAGTATATTGATCATTTGATCAGATTTAGTTTTATTTCATTTGCACCAATCAATTTCTCTATTTACTAGTACCCTCAATTTCCCTGTTGACAACTATCTGAGTTTCAAAGACACGGAAGAGGGCTGTGGATCTCCCCAAAGGATCCAAGGATGTTACACACTAGAGCCAGGTGACCTATTGGCTCTCTCCTTGTGAGTTGGAAGTTTTCTATCCATAGCTCCTTTTATTGTCTATATACCATCTGCACTATTGTTTTGCATTTTTTACAGATTTATATTTTCTATTTCAACAATCTGTACCCATCTCCAATTTCATCATTCAGGTATACCAGAGCTCCACTTATATTTTTCTTGTGTGTAACATTCTATTCTATTGGTGCTTAGTGTCCCTTAAAAAACGAAAACAAAAGAGAACAATTTTTGTACATTTTAATAGAAACCTACATTAAATAAATACTTAAAAAATGAGTTTACAAATGCTAGCCAGTGCAGAAATATTTACAGATTATTTTTTATAACACAAACTATATATCAAATTTTTCTTCACAAATACAGTGTCCATTTTCCTCATATTCTTCTCTGGTTACTACCATGTCTTCAAAGTCATCATTTTCAGAGATTAACTTCCCGCCTTCCCAAGAATATGTAATGGGGCTGGAAGAAAAAATGGCTGTGTGTCAAAATGGACATCGTCTGAATTTATTGCAATAGGCTCTAACCAAAACAGGGACTGAAACAAAATCATGTGGCTCGGTTAAGCTTATGCCAGAAGCATAGGCATAACCAGGGTTTCAAGGAATTTTACTATGTTGAACTACAACATCCAAAAGCCTCACAGAAGGGGCAGTGGTATCATATACAGCAATATTTCTGAAGCAAAAAGGGAAAACTGTAGGTTGAGGGGAGGAATAGTGTTAACTTAAAGGGTTTAGTCATCCATCATAATTACTACAGACCACTGCAGTGGTTATATTAGTTGTACCACAGTGCGTTCTCTGGTAATGTGGCAAACCATTTTACAGTTTGCCTTTTTACCTGGTCTGGGCAGGCCTCCTCTGAAGCAAGATTTATAATACAACTTGAAGGGATATATATTAAATATATAGATAATAGTACAATTAAAGTAAAGCATTTGAGAGTTATGTGTACTACTTAAATTCAAAGACTGAAAAATGTATTTAAATGTTTGCTTTCTTATGTTACATTTAGTGAATTATCCCATGTAGGTATGCATGTACTCAGAAACAGAGAAAATGAAAGACAATACTAGGTGGAGGTGGCTGCTGTGCAACATTCAAACATGGATCAATACTCACTTCTCAGGTAAATATACTGAAACGTCGTAGTCTGTTGGAGTGAGTTTACGAACCTCCTGGAACACCCGCTCCTTGAACCCCGGGAACAAGGTGTTTCCACCAGTAAGAACAATATTCTTGAAGAAATGAGGCTGCATTTCTATGAGATAGGAAATATAGGCATTTTGCCAATTACTAAACATTAACAATAATTGGCTCTAAAAGTGACAGTTCCTCACCCTTTCACCACAGTAGACGTAGTTGTAATATTTACTAGGATGAATGGTACAGTGGTGGCAAGTAAACACTTGTTTTTCTACTGTACTATGGCACTGTGGGGCTAAGCTAATTGCAAAGTATGCTATGGCTGTATTTGGGTAGACAGACAGGCATGCCATGTAAATAAAAAAAAAAATAAAAAAAAAATAAAAAAGGATAGGACCACTGCACCCAGACCCCTTCATTTAGATGGTGCGGGACGTATGGGGAGTTCACTGTTGACAATTTATTTAAAGAGTTACTATAACCCTTATGAGAGGGAGGATCGTCCTGGCGTAATATGTCCTATTGGGTCCTGTGGAGAATGTGTCCTCTCAAAAAAAATAAAGTTTTGTTTAAAAACCAAACAAAAAAAAACCAAACACAAAATACGTTTGTATTAAAAGATAAAGTCAGAGAATCTAGAGTATATGTTTTATATTTAAAAAAGAGAAAATACTCTGCAGGGTGAGCGAGGCATACTGTCCAAGAGATGTAATAACCTTACTATTTACCAGAGGCAGAAAAGAAAATGAAATCCTATAGAGGAGAAATTTGACAGTTTATTTTATAATAAAAAAGAAACAATTTTTCTTTTTTTTTTTAAATTAAGTTTATTGTTAAAACAGAAAAAAAAACAAGTGTGGATAAAGTAGCAAGTGTTTGTAAGACGTGTAAAAGGAGAGAGAAAAAATAAAAACCCCATAATTCGCTACAAAAAGCCAAGAATACATCGACAACTAATCTGCCTACATGCCATTGGGTCAAGACAGCTAATCCCACGATGTCTTAGCTATACCATAGTTAATTGTCTGGTTAACAGCATCTAATGTGAAAAATTGTAGGAACACAGCTTAATCTAGTACACTAATCTCTCATACGGTTGCAGGTTGTTTCTTACTGCATAGACAGCGCGGACTAACAGGTCTCCTACTCTACATAAACTTTAAAATGTGCAATCAGTGCGTAATGCTGGCCAACTAGCACAGTATGTTGTTTCTCGCATTTTCATCTCTCACCTCATAACTATACAAGTTTAGAAACCGTCTTCACGTCATTATATATAAAAAACACGTGCATTGTATTCCCATGTCATGCCTTACTACATTGATGTTTATTACTATATCGCGGGTACATGCTGTTGGGGCATGGCAAACGCATTTGTAACAGTTTTTTTTTTTTATTTTTTTATGAGAATAAAAAAAAAGCCAAGATTAATTTTGGAGGAACTTGTAAGGATTGGTAAAGGAATATTTACAACAATATTGTAATCTTGATGAGGGAGATGGCGCTCATCCCAGAAAATACATATTTAATGCACCCGGCATTATAATGTTTGTATGATCATTGCACATACATTGCAGTAACACTTGTAAACTCAAGATATCATTGTGTTCACGTGTCCTATAACCACCGCACGTTTGTTTACGGACATGTTTTCCCAAGGTGGCGCTTCATTATGTTATGCCCCCCGCAAGCACCCATTCCTAAAATTACAGTTGTAATTTAATTTGGGCAATAACAACTTCCCTTATATGAAAGGCATGAGAGGTTAACAATTAAAAGTGTTTATTTTTTTTATCATAAAACAAACTAAAAAGTGAAAAGGTATACAATGGTTTGTTTTCATTGAAAATGTCTTATCAAGTTACCCACAATGACAAGCACTTGTTAAATAAAAGGGGGAACGAACAACAAATTAAAAATAAAATAAAACCACAACCCAAATAATGTTAATCAGCCAACACCCTTTAATGTTTTTATACTTACAACTTTGATACATGACTTATGAAACTCACGAAGCAGACAACAGCCAGCTGCATTTATTGTGTATAATATAGTGCACAAGTTGCATTTAGTTTCAGGCAACTTTATTTTATTTATTTTTTTAAATCAAACACTTAAAGGGTTACTCCAACCACCATGACCACTTCTGCTCTTAGAAGTGGTTATGTTGATAGGAATCTGTATGTGCAGCGTCTCAGTTTAAAACGCTGCACTTCCAGAGAGATGCACTTTTGTGCCAGGGGCTAGTTACACCCCAGGCACACGTGACTTAGGCAGCCCAGAACTACCAAGCTGCCTAATGGGATGTCTGTGCCTAATTTACATTTGTGGTCAGTGTGACAGATGTAATAGGCTTCCCCTTACAGGCAGCATCACTTCTTCTTTTCCTTCACTCCATTTAGATTATTTAAGTTTTTGTTTGCTAAGATAGGAAAAGGGTTAGAGTAACATTTAAGACAAAAAAAAAAAGCTTAACACCATAACTACTATACCCCACTGTTGTATCTCTTGTGCCAGGAGTAGCCTGGTGGCATCTCAGGGTAAGGAGTCAAACCATCCAATGATGTTCTGCTAACAAATATTCTGGAACGTGGCATAAAACGATTATAGCTAAAGCAAAAAGTGATTGTTTAAGCTAAACCAGAAGTCCTCAGCCATTCACAGATGGTTTCATTCCTTAGGAGAGGCTACTAGCACCATAACTACTACAGCTGCTTGTAGCGGTTATAGTGCTCCTTTGACATAATGTGAGTTTAGCAACTTTGACTCTAGAAAACACCATTGGTTAGAACCATACAGCATTATTCTTTTTGAAACATCTATGAATCTCCTCCCATTGTGTCTGACTGCACAGTACAACAACTGAAGTATTGTTGTGAACCCAATGAAGCCAAAATGAATATTTAATATTAAAATGAGAGTTTGACAAGGACTACTAATTTTAGTAAGGTTTTGTGTATGGGTAGAAATTAATTTACCAACATACCTTCTGGAAGATTATGAATGGAATGTACGATGGCTTCTGGAATGCCCATTTCTTGAATCCCAATGTCTGAAGGATGGAAAAGGATTTCAGGAACCGCAAACCTCTCATTTGTCAGACGTAGTGTTTGCTCCCCAGCCGTGGGCTTGCCACTAAACACCATTTCTTCTCTGGGCTATTAAAACCATAAAACAGAACATTTAACAAAAAAAAAAAAAAACAATGAAATAATTTTTTTATATATATATATATATTACACCCACTGCATTCTCAGATGTTCATTGAAGAGTGGAGAATAGGTCAGAGATATTTATGTAGTCCGTTTTTGTTTTTTTAATATTTTTCTTTTATATTACTTTTGCTCCATAAGATCACCCTCTCCTCTCAATCTCCAGTAGTTCTGCTTTTAGTCCAATAATGCAGCCGTATGGGACTACAGCAGAAAAGAAAACAACTGCCTAAATCCCTGTTGGGCCTGTGATGCACTGCTGTATGGGGAGTTACAGAATAAGCTCAGCAATGCAATCTAACATTAAAGCTTTATGTTAATAAATAAGACAGGACAGTCCCATTCTGGAGTGTTCCTTTAAGCAGTGTCTAAACATATACTAGTATTCCTTTACATAGAACATGGAATAAACATCTTTGTTTCATGTTGGAACACTCCATTGATTTTATTTTTCAAAAGTTTAATAAGCATACCCCCAAGGAAAACATGCATGTAATGTTTGCATGATATCTATGGGGGTATATGAGTAGAAAAAAAGTTGGCATAAGCAGCAGATATGCTGTCCGCAGCCTTTTCAAGCCCTCCCCTACTTCCCCTGCACAGACTTCTCATTGAGTAGTCTCTTGGCTGGAGCTGTAATTGAGTGTAAACAATCACAGCTTTCTTATGCTGACTAAGGTGTAATACAGCTCATTGAGAATTGGAAAGGCAGGCAGACTCTAGCACAGCGTGCCTACGGCTTCTCTTAGCTCCCTGGCTGGTAATTAGACAGTGTTTTCACCCATTTCTATTCATCGTTTTATAAACTGTCCATATGTGAAGTCTGAAGTGCTTTATGTTTGTGTAGTGTTCCTTTAAAGATAAATTGCCATCTTTGAGTTGATGGCATTTCATCTCACATCAGTAAAACATTACTATGCTTTTCTTAATACCTTAATTAGCTCAGATATTATCACCTATATTCACAGGAATATAATATTTCACAATAAAATAATAGGAAAGCCTGTTCCACTATTGGGATGTTTGCATTCAGGTGCAAAAAGGGTGGAAGAAGAGACAGATAAATAAAATATAGTCCAATTACTTACCTTAACATACCCTTTTTTGATTGTGCTGAAGTCGGGCAACACATAATCTACCATAACAGAGTTATCTTCCCCTTTCAGTCTGAAAGAAATATGTTCTATTAGGAAGTGTTATAGATAATGACATTAAATGTCTGATACTGACACCATTAAATGACATACTTTGCCGTCTCCATATCCTTGTAAAAGTCTGTAGATACATAGCACACATCCTCTTTTACTTGGTTAATTACATGGGTTTCATCCATTACATGTAGCTGTCTGCGAAACAAACAAAATTCATAAAAAATTACATAAATGAACAACTGACTCAAGTAAAAAAAAAAAAAAAAGTTATAATTCCGTGCCGTGCATGATAATACAAGGTACAGCCCGTGTGGCCCCAACAGCCACCAGGGGGTAGCGATCAACATTTGATAACACAGAGCAGTCAGGCAAATATGCATCATACAGGTACATTATGTGATATCAGCTAATTGTGCACATTGTTTTTAGTGGTGTGAAAGTCAGGCTGGTTAAGACAAGGTCAGTACCCAACTAAGGCCACTAGAGGCTTGTTAACGTTAGCAGACTCATCTAGAATGTGCGGTCGTGTGTAAGCGCTCTATTGGTAGTGTACATGAGAAAACAGAAAACAAATATAATTATAACAACGATAACATTGTGGTACAGTGGGTCAGAATGTAAGTTGACCGTATTAGTCGTCAGTGGTTTGCCTGTTGTTCGGTTGTCAACAGTGCGGTCCACCCTTGCCTGGGACCGAGGGTAGCAGGTAGTGCATGAGTGTCTCCTCTTAGTTGGGGTACTGTCTGTAGAGTTTTTAGGGTAAGGCTATCCAGGGCCAGCAGGTCCGCTCTTGGTTGTGGTGGTGTGTGAGAGTCACGTCTCTAGTCATAGTGCTATTCCCGGGAGACCTGCTGTGGAGTCTGCTGGGTGGGATTGTGACCACTAACCATGGGGGTAGCATTCTGGAGCTCGTGAGTGCTTTTGACGCTTGCATGGATGGTAAAAGCTCGTGGTATGCCATTGAAGCCACCTAGGGGCCCCATCGGTACTGCGCCCAGTGTGAGGGGCGTCAAAGTGTATAGTCCACAGTGGAGCATAACATTAAAGGAACAAAAAAGGCTGGAATGGTTCTGCCTCCTGTAGTGAGGTGAGAGTGAAAGTGGTGCCTTCCTTGGTCACTATTAGAGATCTCAGCAATGTCCATTTATATTCAATGCTGGCGTCACGCAGCTGGCTTGTTACTGGGCCCAAGGATTTTGTCCATAATAGAGTGTTCCGGGTTAAGTCCTGAGGGAAGGTTAGGTGGGATGACTCGAAAGCAAGTGGAATCTTTCCCTTGACTGCAGAAAAAACCCTGATTTTGTCAGCCATGGAATGGCACCTTATAATGACATCCTGTGATGCAGCAGGTGGTGCTTGTCTTGGCTTTCGTATGCGAAAGAAGACAGCTAGCAGGAGCTTTTTCGCTTCGGCGTGTGGTAGAAGCATGGCTGTGAGGCGTCTAAGGTAGTGGGGCAATTCAGTAGGGTCTTTACTATCTGGGATCCCCCTTATTTTTATGTTAGCCCATCTAATGTGGTCCTCAGACATATCCACCCTTGTAGTGAGGGTGTTCTGGGTAGTTTGCATTTGTTGGAAATGCTTCTACCTCCTGCTTCAGGTCGAGTATGTCCTCCTCCGAGGCCTGCGTCCGTGCGATCACCACATGAATTTCAGTCTTAAGCATGTCAAGATCCGCTGCGTGCATTTCTCTCATTTCTATGAGCAGGTCCGCAATGTCTTGCTAGGTGGCCGGGGTGTGCTTTTCCCAACTGGCTGGTGTCTCCAATGTTGGCTGAGAAGGAAAGAACGCCGGCATCTCCAAATGTTGTTCTTCATCTCGTGAGGCCGGCTTGCGGTCTGGAGAGGCTGCCATCTTTGGCGCCATTGGTCGTAGGAGCAGTGCGCCGATATCTTGCGTGTCTCGGTTAGTGCCCAGGGGGCCTCTGGGACCGTCGCCCAGTAGTGTGGCCGTCTCCTTCCGCTGAACCGGTCTGTTGTGGGGTGCCGGTACTCAATCTCTGCGTGAGGCTCTCGAGCGTGAGCTTCGCAGTTAGGAACTCGGCATAGGCCCCTGTTCTCCGTCGGGTCTTCTCACCCGTTTGCGGGAACAAAAAAGGCATTAGTGGATTGCCTGTCTTCGTGGGGTACCCTAGGGAGTGGTTATGCGCTTTGATGGCGCTGATGGGTCCTAGATTGGCATGGATTTGATGTTTGTATGGAGCTCTGCAGGATTGCGGCCATTCAGGTCAGACGCTGGACTCCGCCCCAAGTGATGTTATTTTACCAAGAGATTATTGTACAATCCTACTATTATTATAATAATAAACAAAATCGCAGAACAAAAAAACGATAACTAGTATTTCTGGGTATGAAATCATTAATAGTATTTGTCAAACAATAATAGATTGCCAATAATCAGCCATCTATTCACTTACCTGCATTATTTCTATTAAAGGGACACCGTTATAAGAGTTTATTAAAGGGGATCTGTCACTACTGTGAGATTTACACCATTAAATAAAACACTGAAAAGCACAATACGTGTTTACTTGTGATGTGATGCATTTCTTTCAAAAGTACATTAAAGATTTAACAATTGATTTCACAAAAGACTACTGCAGTACAAAAACATTTTTACCTGTATGAAATTATCTCTTTTAGATGGTTAGTTAATAGTTTTCCACCGACGTTTATTCTAGAATAGAAAAAGGGAAAAAGAAAGGGGGGGAAAATAATTTAAATAAAAATGATGAAGGGAGTCAAACTTGGTAAAAGCCTCTTTTTATATTCATGCGTCTCCATAACCCAACTTACCTTATTATACCCTCTTGCTTTTTCTTACTTCGACAATACGGCACAATGTGTGTAAAGGAATAACCACTATCAACAATGATGCAACACAGTTCTGATGGATTGTCCCGGAAATATCTGTGTGCACTTAGAGCTCCACCTGCAAATAAAATTGGACCCAACTTTACTGATACCTCAACACCAAGAAATTAATATAATAGTCAAACTACAACAGCATGATAAAAAAAAAAAAGGTTAAAATATTCAAAAAAAGGCTGAAAAACACTTGAAATGTGGAAGCGACTCACAAAACCAATCAAATTCACAGCTGCATTTAAGGTTGTATAAGTTTTTTGTGGAAAATAAACAGATGTACCAGAACAAGATTCATGGTTACAGGATTGCAGGCTAAACAATAGATTCTATTGCAGATAAGAATATCTCTGGTATGTGGATAAAGTATTTCCAATAGCTTTCAATGGATTACATGCTATTCAATTTCCAGTGTTAATAGGGACAGTCTATGCACCATAGCCACTTTAGCTCAGGGAAGTGCTAATGGTGCTAGGGTTCTGTATCTAATGCTTTCATTTTGATAAATGTGTCATACTGACAAAATAGACCTCAGAGTGCATATACCTCCCCAAGAATCCTGCCACGTATCTTTGAAATATGACTGTACATATAGGTGGAACAGTCTACAATGTCACACGGCAAACACCAGTAACCATTAAATCAAAAGAGGCTCACCATTAATTCGGAGAGCTGCCTGGAACTGATATTCTTCAAATAATATCTCATTCATCGACTCTTGTATTGAAGAGAAGTTGAAATAAGGCTCGGTGATAATGATGTTGGTATCTACAAAATCCACCTATTAATTCAAAGACATTCACCAAAATATTTGAAATATTGTTAACAGGAGAAAAAGCGAAAAATCTCTATAATAAAACCATGGTATTATTTTACTAAATGTAGGGGAGTCTGAACAGCACCAGCTGATATTACAATAACATTGCTACATAAAAACAAGCCAGTAACAATCGGTTGTGCATGCTAAACAGTTTAAAAATGTGAAGTGTCAACAATGGACTTCTAGGCATAGTCTATGTAAAGATCACTGTTCATGAAAATGTACATGGTAAGCTCTACATAAAGAACATGCTATGCCATTTATACATCCCGCTACCCAAATTATAAGCACATGCATATATTTAAAGAACCTCTCCAAGAAAAATAAGTAGCTTGCACTCTTGCCAAAGTCCATAAAGAAAACATATAAACTACGAGGAGTTTGGAGTTTTATTTAGCCAGGAGTAATGAGGCTCAGAAACTCTTCAGGGAGGTCCTGTCCATATTTGCGACCGGAGGTTGGTCTGCATTTTATTTGTGAGTAATAGGTTTTATGCTAGATATAATTCACTACACTATTGGATTTGTTCCCTCTTATTCCACATGTCTTATAGATGTCGGACATCACAAGAAGTTTCTTCAAGGTTAAATATTAAACAACATCATTTACCTGGAACATTTCCTTTCCAAAAAGATAATCCCAAACTTGTCTCTGGACATCCCAGTTCACCAAGTAGCCCTATAATAAAGTTAAAGTTTAATTCAAAATAAATAAAAATAATATCACAGCTGCATTGTGGGAAACCGCAATAGTAGGGAAGTATTTACATCTAGTGATAATATTTCATGGCATCATCTCATGCTCTGTTAATTGCTTGCTAGTGCACAGCAGCCTCACGTATGAAAATAGATTAAAGTAAGATCAAGATATTTAAATCAAAATAAAAAAAATCACAGGAACATTTTGAAGCCTATTACTTTAATTGTATGTGTAATTATAAATATATATTTATTATTATTAATAACTATTTTCATTTAAAGGGACACCGTAGGCACTGTATCTGCTTCATCTCATTAAACTGGTTATAGCGTCTGGAGTCCCATGGCACCATAATTTCTTTCAGCATTAAACAGTTTTTAATGTTGTAATGTTTTAATGCTAAACAAGAGTCCACAGCAGTCTATCCCCTCTGTGCTGCTTTGGCTAATAAGGAAGTATTACCCTGAGAGGCAATGGGCAGCTGTGATTGGCTGAGTGTGTCAGCTGACTGCTTTTAACCTGTCAGAGCTCCAACTGACGGTATGAATGGGTATGACAACAAGGAAGTGTGTAATCTCTGCCTTAGCTACACATACAGAAGGGGCCGGACTGTGGGTGGCCAGGGACTCTTATTTTGTGGCATATTGCACAAACATGGTGCAACACTGAATGGAGGGACAGTGCCAGGCCACTCCAGGCACTATAACCAATTCAAAGAGACAAAGTGGTTATAGTGACTACAGTGTCCCTTTAAACAGCTTAACAACAAAGTTGGGCACCTGGTATACTGGCTCCCCTCTCTTCTGCTGCTGTACTTACAAGGACTTGTTTGCCTAGGCACTATGCACGCATCTGTTACTGTGAATTAGACATTAGAAATCAGTAAGAATACCTTCTGGTATGGCAGAATATAGAAGAGTCCAGATGGATCTTTAACTTCATCAATCTGATTAGCAGTAAATGTTTTTAAACGAGCTGTCTTTGATCTGAACTGACAGTTAGGAATGATGCTGTAAAAACAGAATTTTAGTAAGATTATAAGGAATTTACTAAGTGTACAGGACAAGACAATCTGAAAACAGTTACAAACATTTTAGCAGTACGTTTTGTACATTAGAACAAAAATGTTACACATTGCCACATATCTATGGTCTAGTTTCTTGTGCCTATTAATAAAGAATATTTACACACAAATCAAACATTCACATCATTTTCTAATATTTAAACACTCTCAGGGTCACTGATTCAGGGAAAAAACTCAGTCAGAAGTGAGGAGAGAAAAAAAAGTAAAAAAAAAAAAAAAAATTTCAAATGAACATTCTCTAGCGGAAACCAAGGATAAGAATAACGTTTGGGACTTTAGAAAAATGGCAGAGTTTTTGACTAAACCAAACAAGTAATCCAAAAATTGGATTACTTTTTGACATTATTTACAATTAAAGCAGTACTGTCACTTTTCAGTACTTCATTAGATACAATCTTTATGAAATACTGGTCCTGACTACTGAAATTTTACTGCAATTCCAACACAATCCAAAAGAACTACTTTGTCTTATGGTAAATCTGGGGATGATAAAAGTTGACAATGGCAGAGCTCCACTGTCAACTTTTGTCAAATCTGAGCAATTGTGACATGTGATGTCTGTGTTCAGACAGGAGGATTTTTTTAAAAACTGCAATAATTACCTTTGAGAGTTAACTCCACCTCTAGTGGCTGTCTACCAGGCAGAGTGACTTCCAGGTCCTTTGGTGACTTTTGGTCACCCCCACCTGAAAAATCAGTATTTCATAAAGACAGAATCTTTATGAAATACTTAGAATGATTGTGTTGAAATTTCACTGAAATTCCAACCCATTCAAGAGATATACCGGAAAATAAGTAGGGACTTTGTCTTTTTCTTTTGTAATTTTCCAACACCTTGATACTTCTTGACACTGGGCGGAGCTACCGCCCTCTAGAATTGTCAATCCATGCAGCAGTCACTAGTGCCACCATCTACTAAACTACAAAAACTGTAGCCAACTGAAATAAAAAAAAAAAAGAAAAAGAAAAAAAAAGAAAGAAAGGAAGAGTCAAGGATAATACCAGCTTGCCTTAAAGAGAAACTATAGTGCCAGGAAAACAAACTTGTTTTCCTGGCACTATACCCCTCTGTCAAGCCCCTTCTACCCCCTACCTCCCATGGTGCAGGAGGGGTTAATAACCCCTTCTGTCACTTACCTGGGTCCAATGCCAATGTCCCTCGGTGCTGGCTCAGCTACGCCCATGCACCTCCCCTGCTGCCAGCGGGGGAGACCTATGGTGCATGCGCAGCAATGGCCGCGCTCGCTTAGGATTTTTCCATAAGAAAGCATTATTCAAAGCTTTCCTTTGGAGATTCCGGCAATGCTGGAAGTCCTCATGCATAGCGTGAGGACGTCCAGCATCGTTTAGATGACCAAAAGTCATCTAAGCACCTGGAAGTCCCTCTATGGCTGTCTCATGGGCTGTCTCCAGCGCCGGGCGAGGAACTCTCCTCCCTTTTCTTCCATCACCGGCTGAATGCGCATGCGTGGCAAGAGCCACGAGTGCATTCAGCCAGTCTCATAGGAAAGCACAGTGAGAAGCGCTGAAGCGCATCTAGTGGCTGTCAATGAGACAGCCACTAGAGGCTGGATTAACCCATAGGTAAACATAGCAGTTTCTCTGAAACTGCTTGTTTACAGCAAAAAGGGTTAATCCTAGATGGACCAGGCACCAAGACCACTTCATTAAGCTGAAGTGGTCTGGGTGCCTAGAGTGGTCCTTTAAGCTGTAGTGACTATGTTGACTATAGTGTCCTTTAAGCTGTAGTGACTATGTTGACTATAGTGTCCTTTAAGCTGTAGTGACTATGGTGACTATAGTGTCCTTTAAGCTGAAGTGACTATAGTGTCCTTTTATGTCAACAACAAAACGCTGAATTGTAACAATTGCACAGTGAATATCACATTTTGGGCCACAATATCGGATCTGGAAACATAGCGGGCTTGATGAATATTCCCAATTCGCCCTAAAATGCATCTTTGAGGTTGATCTACTAAACACTGAATTCTACTGAACAAAATAAATAAATAAATAAATAAATTAGGCAAAAAAAAAAAGCTGATTTGATCAAATTCACCAACTCTACTATAGATCAAAACCAAACATGGTCATTTTAGCCCAAGATCTAACATTCAGATCCCAATTCCCCCCCATTTCGACGTTTAGTAAATAATCCAAAACAGATGTGATTGTTTTTTTCCCCTAGCACTGGCAATGCTGGGGTTAATGGCCGCACCTCGCTTGCCCGTGGCTGTATCCCAGCTTGGCAGTGTACGCTCCATTGTCCAGTACCAGCGTGGTCATCTCTCTGGTTACCCCGAACAGATCCTGCACGGAGGAGCCCGAGCCAGGGAGCTCGATGGTCTGCAGAGTGCCAGAGCGGCGCAGCTCCCTCCGGTGCATTGTGGGATAGGGAAGCGTGGTTCTCTGTAAGGAGGACGGAGAGATATTAGTTATGTGTTTAGCGTTCTATCAGATTCTATGGATAATAGGATACAGAGGGAGATCTCACCACAATGGCTACAATGTAGCGTGACTGCTATCAGTATCAATTAAAAAAAAATGTGATACATATAAAATTAGCATATAACAAAACTTTATATTAAAAAAATTTCACCTGCCCTGGCCCCTTTTATTTCTCTGCTGTAAGCTCTGAGAGATGTTTTTGCAAAATAAAGGTCTTTCGTTGAAGTTTATAGGGTAGCCTACTACTTTATATTGCAATGTGGAGTCGCAAGCATGCTGAAGCGTGTTTAAAGAGTGTATCTGTGCACTTTGTACACATTGTATACGCCAAATCAGTACTTAAAGAGACAGTACACTCTGGTGATTAACCTTATTTAAATGCCTTGCACAAGTAATGCATTAAAAATGGCAAAATAAATAATAATACTAAAAAGATACTTGCCTTATTGAAGTTTCTCTTGTTTGCTGCAAGTCCCCAGGGTTTTCTGCTTCCTGCAGTGTGCTCTCATCAAAACCAGGAAGTAGCTGACATCTGTCAGCCAATCCTAGCTTTCCAATTGTTTCCAGTGGGAGCTAAGTAGATCCAATAAATCCCTGAATAGCACAAGTCCAGGGGGGGTATGTAGGTCAGCACTCAAAAGAAGTTACATTTATTATTTAGTTTTTATAAGCTGACTGAAAAGTATGTGTAAATTCTTAACTCCAGTATGCTTCTAAATGTAGGTTGTTAGTGTCTATTGTTGTTTAGTAAAATTTAAAAATCGAGCTGCGTCCAAAAAATGGATTAACGTCATTCCAATGGTGTTTCAGCACAGTTTAAGGGTTATTATAGGCACCCAGACCATTTGATCTCAATATCTTACCCCGCACTGTAATATTGCGAGTGATGTTACAGTGATATAATGTTGCTGCACTATTTTCAATGTGGCGTCATTGTAGCCAAGTCTATTTTTAGTGTCACCTTTTTATCAAGATGCGTTCTGAAAAAATGTTAAAGGAACACTCTCGTCACCATAATAACAATCTAAATTAAGTTGTTATGGTGCCAGGAGGCTTGCAGTCGCACTCTTACCCATAGGAGTTAAACCATTCTCAAACAGTTCCACCCCAAAGTTTGCCTCCAGTGCCGATCTGCAGATCCCCCAGGAGGCATCCGACTTCTGAATCTCAGTTACAGGAGCGTTGCTGATTGACTTAGAGTGGTAGCTTCCAATCAGTAGTTTCCCACTAATAAAAGAGAAACATAAACACGAAGCATCTACCCTGCAGCATTCCACGCTTCCTGTAAGTGAGATTCAGAAGCCAGATGCCACCTGGGGGATCAGCACACTGATGCTGGAGGCAAACTTTGGGGTTAAACTGTTTGAGAAAGGGTAAGAGTGAGTCTGGGGGCTTCCTTGCACCATAACAACTTCATTTAGATTACGTTGTTATGGTAACCGGAGTGTTCCTTTAAAGGGACATGCTAGAACCCTAAAGCACTTCAGCTTGCTGCATCCTCTTTTCATTTTACAAAAAGTGCAGATTTAAATAGAATTTGCAACTTTTGTAAACTAAAGGAACACTATAGTGTTAGGCATACCAAACACTATTGTGTCCCTCTGCCTCCATGCCCCCCACTCCCAGCCATGAAAGTGTTATTTTTCTCTTACCCGATTCCAGCTCTAAGCTGCTTCGGTCTCCTCCTCTTGTGACTTTACAGCGGAGGGAGCATTCAATACGAGTGTGCGACACGTCCAGCGTCACCTAAAACCTCAAAAGGAAAGCATTATACATGCTTGTCTATGGGGCAAGTTCCAATGCGATCGCCACGCGTGCGCATTAGGGTTCCCCCACCAAAAGGAGGAGCCTAAACCAGCTCTGAGGGATATCATCGCTGGGCTCGGGTAATCGATAGAAGAGGTTGTAAGGCGTTTCCCTGTAATGTAAACATTGCAGTTTCTCTAAAACCCAATGAGATGAAGTGGTCTAGATGCCTATAGTTTCCATTTAACCTTGTTATTTCCCCCTATCTGTCAATCAGCCAACCAGTCCTGTTACATCCTGGTTATTTAGCTTAGTGGAGCTAAACTCAAGAGGTAGACAATCGCCAAAACCACCTGCCTTGCAAAGACTTCTCATTGAGCTACAGTCTGTGATTGGACAGCCACAGAAAGTCTGGGCTGGAGAAGAAGGGGAAGGCTGAAAACAAAAGATCTGCAGCTTTGCAAGCTGTTATTAGAAATGTACCCTTAATGTAAAAATGCCTAACTCAATCAATGCAGGTTTTAATTGGGGTGTCTCTGCTTAATTGTTGGAGTTTGTTTGTATTTGGCCTAGGAGTAACCCTTTAAATAAATGAAAAATAGTTGAAATTATACCAGTTATCTTGCCTGATAATCCAATTTATTGAACCTGCTTTTTATTTTCTTTGTATTTTTTTTGTGTTTTGGATCACTGGCTTGGAAGATTGATGAAAAAAGGTGGGGGTAAAGTCACTCTCTAATTATTAGCAGCAATCCACCTACCAATGAGTTCCAACAGCCTTGTGCAAAAAAAAAGCAAATACACCATTCTATGTATATTTGGAAGATTGGTGACCAGTAGTCAGGACATGAGTACAGTAAAGGGGGTTTATATCGTACATGAGAATCTATATATAACTGCCTCCTTGATGTCTGTAAATATTTTTTTTTTTTTTTTACTGCTTGCATATGCTACACCACTTTTGCGGAACTATGACTTTCTTACGGATTGCTCCATTCACATTATTGTTCTGCCACCACTAGAAGCACTGGAGATCTGGAAGTGGTTATGGTGTTTGGAGTGTTGCTTTAAAGAGGAGGCAACAGTGTGTCTATCCACGAGCACTCACTCCCAAATTGGGAGAAAATATATCGGAGGAGTGCTGCCAATATAAGTATAATTGAACCACATTTGTAGTTAGACAATTGCCAATTCTGTCAAAATATCATTGCATTTTAGCTGGGAGAAGTCAGCTGATGCGCTCAGCCAATTAATTGCGACAGTGGGCTGTAGTGTTATGACACCTGGAGTGACCCTTTTAAATTTAATTTGAAAGCTAAATTACAAAATCCAGACAGACAATGATGAATCTTGAGAATTAAAGGGACACTATAGTAACCAGAACAACAACAGCTTAATATAGTTCTGGTGAGTCTAATATGTCCCTGAGGAGATGCTGATTGGCCAGCGCAGCGTTTTGTTGCGTGTGCACATTAGCCTCCTAATGCTTTCTTATGAGAAAGCATTGGATTGACTGCGATCATCAGTTTAGATGACTTCAGCCAAGTAGGTGGATCGGTGGTGGGGCCAGTGGCAGCGGGATAAAGGAGAGTTTTTATTTTAAAGGGGGCAAGGGGTGACTAAAATGTGTTGTTAACACTATAGGGCAGGGAATACACCTTAGTATTCCTGATCCTACAGTGTTCTTTTATCATACAGATTTTGCTGCTCTTTAGGGGTTAACCCTGATGTACCAGTGTGATGGTTAAAAGGGACACACTAAGCATTATAGCCACTACATCAGAATGTTTTCAAATGGATCGTCACCAATTACAGGCACCCACAGTCTGGCTGCGACTGTAGAGATAAATAATTAGAGATAAAGCTAACGTGGAAGTTACCCATCTGCATTAGCATTACCAATATCGGCTATGTTTTGGGTGGAGTTTATTGGCTGAGCTTCACAGCTGACACTCTGATCCAGACAAACTGGACCCACTATTTGTGTCAAACCCTTTAAAAACACGTATAACGGTGGGACAGCGCAAGGAGACTCCTGCAATTATTTCCATAGTTATGGTACTTCGACTACGCCATTAAAAAGGACAATATAGGCACTATCCATTCACTGTCATTTTAGAGCAAATTATGACTGAAGGTTCCCTGACCTCTATAAGTTACCTGTACTCTACTGGAGATATGGTTGAGGCAGAGATTGGCCGATAATATCTTGGGATACTGCAGAAACAACTGTCTCATTCAATAACACAAGTAGTGACCATAAAAGCACAGGTTTATTGCTCAAAAAATATAGTATATAAAGCAACATATAGCAAACAAAATAATCTCACAGACCCCACATTGTACAGGTAACTCCGTTCTATCTAAAAACATAAAAATGGGATAAAATGCAAAGAAACAGCCACCAGTAACTGTATCTGTGAGAGAGAGAGGGCAAAAGACTTGACAAAATGCGATAAACTGGATGGAAAGAAACCTTAAGAGGATGAACATTTCTATCAATAAGTGTTCAACCGTGCAAGGAGACTCCTGGCATCATTAATGTTACGATACTTCGACTGCTTTTATTAATTAAGCCATTTTAGAGCAATTTATCATGTAAAGGGACACTATAGTCACCCAGATCACTTTATCACATTGGTGTGGTCTGGGTGTGGTGCCCCTGTCCCCTTAAACCTGCAACTGTAATTACTGCAGTTATTGATAAACTGCAATAATTACCTTGCTGAGTTAACTCCACCTCTTGCGGCTGTCCAGCAGACAGCCACGAGAGGCACTTCCGGGTCCTTAGACTTTTGGTCTGCTAAATGACGCTGGATGTCCTCACGCTTTGCATGAGGACATTCACCATCAGCTAAAACTCTGATTTAATGTTTTCCTATGGGGTAATCCTAATGTGATTGTGGCCTTAGGGGCTACCTATCTGCTCTATTATTACTAACCTTTACACTGCCGTCTATGATGTAAGAGATTAAAAGAAACGTGATTTCTCCTGTTTTTCTTTTGCAATTTGGATTTTGTGCTGTAAGAGTGCAGACTCCTGTACTTTCACCTGCAAAAACAGGTTCACTTATTTTGCAAATGTGCCTTCTACTGGAGTGAATCTGCTTAATTTCATGGTTTGCTAAATTTGCAAAACTTTTACTTTCTAAGTGATTCACATCTATGTTTTGTTGGTTTTCTACTGGACATGGGAATCTCCTAAATCAGTTTTGAACCTTTATTGAAAATCACTGGTTTTATGTAAGGAAAATCCAGTTGTTTTGCTAATCCATGAGTGTGTCCTCCAATAATCTACACAAGAGCACAGAGCTAAATAAGAACTTAAAGAAAATAACATGCCAGTAAGCATGACCATTTTTCAGATTTGTAATATCCTCAAAAAGTAGGATACCAGCTTAATAATTCAGGACAGTGCTATGCCAGTCCAACCCAACATATTGGATCTAGGATACCTGGAACATTTTTAACAAACCATGCATTCTGTTGCATTTAAAGGAACATCCCCATAACAACTTCCGCTCAATGTAAGTGTTACGGGGAAGGTGTGACTGGCCAGACGCAACAATTAAACGGCCACCTTTGGAAGCCCCAGTCCGGGGTCGGGGTACAATGTCTAGGTGAGATGCAGCAGTGGGTACACAGAGCTCCTGCTGGTCACTTGTGTAGTGTGACCTTGCAGACCGTGGTATAGGATCTTCTTTATGCTTGGTCTGACATAGAGATGCTCGATGTAACTGGTCGAGGTGAGGAATGAGCAGCAAGCAGCTTATTATTAGACCAGGTAAAGGATAAATTAAACCCCTTCACCATTCTGTGAGCCCTTGCTGTAAAAAGGGGAGGGGGACAAGAAACATAGGTGGGTAAAATACACAAAGGGCGGAATATGATAAACAAGTGGGACAAAAAGAGGAAGATCATCTGAAGAGGTGATAAAAGAAGGGGTAGAAGTGTAAAATTTGGAATACAATCTGCAAAAAGGGCGATATGCAAAAGGGTGGCTAAGAGGGGCAAAAAAAAGGGGTTAAGAGACACAGTCAAAGATGATTATGGGGGTGCGGGAAAATGACCCTCTCACCTGTGTAGCCAAAAAAAATCTTTGCACTAGCCCTGTTTCTGGTCATCTTACCATTTTCCAAGAGTTCAAAATAACACTACAAGCATCATAACCATTAAAGACCACTAGATTGCCAGAAGTGCACAGGCATCCTCCCAGGGTAAGTTCTCAGTCTGCCAACTTACTTGCGGTCCACCTGGTGTGCCTCCTCCCCTGCTGCCAGAACTTGCCCCACCTCCCCTCTCACACAAACACATATAGCCAAACATGTATGAATACCTTGACACACAGATACACGCATAGGCACTTACAATTACACGTCATACTTTGTACATTTGCAGCCACCCCACCCTCCTGTTAGCTTACCTTTGTGTCCAGTAGGGTGGCTTGCTTGGGGTTCTGGTCCAGGCTGATGGGAGTGAGCATGCAGTAGCTCACTCCAGCCTCTCTTCTGCGGCTTGCTCTCTCGGTTTCTCTAGGGCGGCTTTGTGAAGCAGGGAGGAAGTGACAGGCTGTCACTTCCTCCCTGCTGGCTGATCGCACAGGTACACACTCATACTCTTAACCCCTTAGGGACACATTACATGTGTGACATGTCATGATTCCCTTTATTCCAGAAGTTTGGTCCTTAATAGGTTAGAGGGCCGCAGCACACGACCAGGCCCCTGTGTAGCGAGTATTATGGGGGGGTGCAAGTCTTAAACAATATCTTGGAAATCACTCACACACGATCAGACATACATTGTATACAGTGTGTGACTTAAAGAAAAATGATATGATTTGCGGGTGTCAGGGAGCCACATTCAAAATGTGTGAATCTTCCGTAACCTCCTCGATACTTGGGATGACTGATATTATAGTATCATGGTGGAAGGAAGTTAGAGGGCAGTGGGCTCAGGCACAGTGGACCAATTCCAGAGTTAAACTGTTAGAAGACAGTGTAACCCCTAAAAGGTAAGACAGACCTCGATACTCCTGCTCCCACAAACATTTAACGAGCTGTAGTTGCTATGGAGCAGAAGAATTCCTTTAAATCCAGATTTCTAAAAGAAGTACTTAAACCCCTGAAAGTTCTCAGATAGAATGTAAGCTTGTTTACGTACAGTCCTCATTAACCTATTGTTCCGATAACATTTTGTATTGGTCTCATTTATTGTTAAAATTACCCCTTTTATATTATTGTAAAACGCAGCAGAATAAGTTAACGCTATATAATTGCCAAAAATAATAAACCATCCAGTTCTCCAGGAATAAATGCTGCCCTCTAATAACATACAGATGCTGCAGGGACAAAAGCTACAAAGCAAGGCAAATCCTTTGAATTTCTATTTTTTGGTTTGCTTCTTGTCCTCGTACCCTACATAGTGCAACCCAGTCTTTTTCATACGCCACCCACCAGCATGGTGATTATTATTTATAGAGCGCCAACAAATTCTGTAGCGTTATACAATAGGTGGACTAAAATACATGTATCTGCAGGAAGACAAGCTGGACTCACAGGAACAGTGGGTGTTGAGGGACCTGTTCAAAATAGCTTATATTCTAGAGGGAGTGATGTAAAAGGGACACAGGAGGTAAGGGAAGGATGTATTTCATGTACAGCAAAAAGTTAAATTGCTAGACCAGTGAAGGGTTAGTTGTTTTTTTTTGGATGACACAATTGCTGGAGAGCAAGCATGGTGGGTTACCAAGGTGCGGGGAGGGATAGCTATTAACGGTTTCATTGATACGCTTTCCTAAAGAAGTGAGTTTTTAATCTTTTGAAGGAAACAAGACTGGGTGAGAGTCTAACGGAGATGGGAAAGGAGTTCCACAGCAACGGCGCAGCTCTAGAGAAGTCGAAGGCGGGCGTGCGTGGGAGGTGCGAGTACGACGCAGATCTTCGGTATAGCGTAAAACCATACAACCCCAGAGATATACATGAACTTGGTAACCTTGTGATACAAAGCAGCTGTGGATACAAGTGCTATACAAGACCTGCAAAAAAAAAAAAAAAAAAAGCAGCTGTGAAAAACATTGAACTTTGACCCCCTATCCCTCTTACAATTAAACCTTGGCTCATAAAACAGCACAATAAGGAGGGGCAGGGCTAGGTTTAGCGGCTCTGGATGCCACAAGGCGGCAAGACACCCGGCGCGGCCTATGGCGGGTACCTAGACTCTCACTGACAGCCTGAGGCCGTGTTTTATCTGCCAGAGACGTCACGTGGTGCTCTGTTGACAATGCAAAAACCACGCCCCCTTGCTTAAGCGTAATCTGAGTCCCTTTTGGGGCGTGGCTATGTGAGAAACTGGAGTGGGTCCCGCCCCCACCAACATAACGAAGCGAAGGAAGGGGGGGTCACTTCCGTAAACATCTGACGTCAGCAGATGGACCGCACCATTCTGTCTGCCGGGGGTAATTATTGTATTTCTCCGGTGCCTCGATGCTGAAAAATACAAGGAGTCAGTTTCAGTGAGTATTTTGTGTAACAAAACGGATGTGAAAGCGGGAGAAGGAAACGGTGACTTTTACCAAGGCTTATTTTCTGTTGCTGTATATGTTTGAGTTGAGACCTTCCCTCCTCCCCCATGGGTGATCAGCTGTGAAACTGTGCTGTTCCAGAACAAAAACATCAGAGAGAGAGAAGCACTGCAATCCAACACACAGAGAGCAGAGAATAAAATCACCTTTATACAGGTATGGGGGGAGCATTGTAATACAGGTGGTAAATCTGATCACCCCAGGTACATAGATACAACATCAGTACACAGAAATATACAGAGAGCCAGGCTAAATCAGTACACAGAAATATACACAGAAATATACAGAGAGCCAGGCTAAACATCAGTACACAGAAATATACAGAGAGCCAGGCTAAATCATCAGTACACAGCTAAACATCAGTACACAGAAATATACAGAGAGCCAGGCTAAACATCAGTACACAGAAATATACAGAGAGCCAGGCTAAACATCAGTACACAGAAATATACAGAGCCAGGCTAAACATCAGTACACAGAAATATACAGAGAGAAATATACTGAGAGCCAGGCTAAACATCAGTACACAGAAATATACAGAGAGCCAGGCTAAACATCAGTACACAGAAATATACAGAGAGCCAGGCTAAACATCAGTACACAGAAATATACAGAGAGCCAGGCTAAACATCAGTACACAGAAATATACAGAGAGCCAGGCTAAACATCAGTACACAGAAATATACAGAGAGCCAGGCTAAACATCAGTACACAGAAATATACAGACAGCCAGGCTAAACATCAGTACACAGAAATATACTGAGAGCCAGGCTAAACATCAGTACACAGAAATATACAGACAGCCAGACTAAACATCAGTACACAGAAATATACAGAGAGCCAGGCTAAACATCAGTACACAGAAATATACAGACAGCCAGACTAAACTAAACATCAAGACTAAACATCAGTACAGAGAAATATACAGACAGCCAGACTAAACATCAGTACACAGAAATATACAGTGAGGCTAAACATCAGTACACAGAAATATACAGACAGCCAGACTAAACATCAGTACACAGAAATATACAGACAGCCAGACTAAACATCAGTACACAGAAATATACAGACAGCCAGGCTAAACATCAGTACACAGAAATATACAGAGCAAGACTAAACATCAGTACACAGAAATATACAGACAGCCAGGCTAAACATCAGTACACAGAAATATACAGAGAGCAAGACTAAACATCAGTACACAGAAATATACAGAGAGCAAGACTAAACATCAGTACACAGAAATATACAGAGAGCAAGACTAAACATCAGTACACAGAAATATACAGACAGCCAGGGTACAGAAATATACAGACAGCAAGACTAAAAATCAATGCATGAACAGGGAGAGTAGTTACAGAGATAAATGCTAAATATACAGATAACAGGGAAAAACATCAAACAGAAATATGCATAGAGATGGGGTAAATATCACAAAGAAATATGCAGAGAGCTGAGGTAAATATCACACAGAAATATGCAGAGAGCTGGGTAAATAGTGCACAGAAATATACAGAGTGATAAACATCACTACACAGAAATCTACAGAAAGCAGGGGTACATATCACTACACAGAAAATGAAAGAGATGGGGTAAATGTCACTACATAAAAAATAGAGGGAGCTAGGGTAAATATCAGTATACAGACATCTAAAAAAGAAAAGCTAAATATCAACAGGTAAACAAAGAGAAGAGCTAAACAGCAACATGCATACATAAACAAAGAACTGGGCAAAACATCACACAGTTCTACTCCGAGATCACTTGGCTAATACTATTATTATTATTATTGCCATTTATATAGCGCCAACAGATTCCGTAGTGCTTTACAATGTTATGAGAGGGGATTTAACTATAAATAGGACAATTACAAAAAACTTACATACACGATAGGTTGGAAAGGACCCTGCTCAAACGAGCTTACAGTCTATAGGAGGTGGGGTGTAAAATACAATAGGACAGGAAATATCAAATAGGGTGGGAGTAAAGCAGAGCTGGAGGAGAGAATAGAGTGCTGCACTTTAGGAGAGCGCAAGAGACAGGTATGTGAGGTAGAGGTTACTCTGGGAGGCCATAAGCTTTCCTAAAGAGATGGGTTTTAAGGCACTTCTTAAAAGATGCAAGACTAGGGGAGAGTCTGATGGCGGTAGGCAGGTTATTCAATAGGAAGGGAGCCGCCCGCAAGAAGTCCTGCAAGCGTGAGTTGGCCATTTGGGTGCGAACAACGGACAGAAGGTGGTCAGGGGCAGAGCGGAGAGACCGAGAAAGGACATACACTAGTACCCTGTGTTAAATTCAAGGTCACTGTACTTAGTTTAGTTATCACTATGTAATAAAACACTAACCGATTCCAAGTAGAGAGCTAAAACAGATATATAACATAAATGTGTGGTTCAGTATCCTTTGATTTCGGTATCTGTTCATAACTGGAGATAGAACAACATGAGATTTAACCCCTTAAGGACCAAACTTCTGGAATAAAAGGGAATCATGACATGTCACACGTCATGTGTCCTTAAGGGGTTAAAAAAAAACATCTTGGACAGCCCTATACACTGAATCTAAATTCTGTATTGCAGTCGTTATCTGTATTAGATTAACACCAGGATCAGAACTTTTAATTATATGCACACGGTTTGAACTGCAAGCAAAACCGCTGGATCCTGCACTCTAAACCTCTTTCCCAGCGCTTTTCATCTGGTCTGACCAATCGACAGGAAAGGTAAGAGAAAACCTGTTCCTTGTTTCTAAAAACCAAGTTTTTGCATCTCAGAAAGAATAATTTAATCTCTCTGAGAATGTTTGTTTTTTTCCATCCTGCAGCATTTATACTCGGTATGCATTCTAACAGCTAATGCCTTAGAAATAAATGTCAGCATATTTAAAAAGAGAAATATAGAGCATGGCTATGTTTTGATTATGCTCTAGAAAATTATTTAGTGCACCATTCTGCATAATGTCTTAATCCTGTATCCATGTTGCAGATGAGCAGTGTTCCCTGTTTTATTTTAGTTTTCAGACCCGATGTCTGTAAATATCATGTTCTCAATGCAGGGTGACACCTTGCCTTGTATGGTCTGGATTAATTGGCCAGCCCTCATTATTCAATGACCTTGGCTCCCAGCTGGTCTCTATGTCCTATCAACTTACATAGGATAGACAGCACGGAAGCCTCACGCTTTCTGTAAAAGACTTAACCGATATGTTTATCTGGTTTGCAGTGCAGGAATTTGTGAGAATAGTTCGACCCTCTAATTTGTGCATTCTATTAGATTATTAACTAAAAATTACTTTGTTTTTCTGATAAAGTTGGAGACTAGGGGGCAGATGTAGCAAGACATGCATGTGCCATTTTGGGTATAAAGTGCTAAATGTAAAGATGTATGTTATTATTTTCTATGGTGATGTCACCATATTTAGCAAACAGTACCTGCATTGCCATGATAAATCTATTAAGACAAAAACTTGTTAGGCTTAGACAGGTACTCTGATGGAGCAGAGTCCTAAATAAGAAGCAATCACCATGGAAACCAATAGAATATTTATAGACATTTTAACACTTTTCCAGAATAGCATCATTTTGTCTTGATAACACTGCATTTTCAAATCTCTTCATATATACTGACAGATCAGTGCATTTTAACGTTTTCTAAATAAAAGACAAACTTTTCTCCCCCTTAATTTTAACTGATTCTTTCTTCTGCTAGCACTGTCAGATACACTATTTAGAAGACAGTGGGCCTAGATGTTTTCGTAGCTGCTGTAAACCCCACCTTTTTTGAGAGGACTAGGGTTTCACATCATGTCAAACGGATCATGGTGCAGCCAATAGAAACTTTTAGATTTCCATAGCTATTAAAAGCAGCCAGCGCTGGGGAGAACAAAAGATTTCATTTCAGTTGTAGATTTGTAGCACAGCTGCCTTCAGATGTGGAGAAACAGAAGCGCTTTATAAAATAATGCATGAGATCAAGTTATGGAACATTGATCTGAGCATAGTTGCAGTAAGGTATCAGATTGACAGCATCATCAACTAGCTTGAAATTAGTACATTTTTCCATCAACAGTTTTCATTAGATTTGCAATTCTAATATATATATATATATATATATACATTTATGACTCACACATTTGCCAGTTTTATAGTGTACCAAGTAGCATTGTATTCAAATGCATGTCTGTTTGTTCTCCTATTTCGATTTACCATGTACAAATGCCATGAAATGTTAATGAAAAAAGTTGCCATGTACCACGTACAAGTCAAATCCTGCGAGAGGGAAATCAATTAATAAGGAAAGGGTTCCAAAATATCTGCCTTGATTCCCATCCTGCAGCAAATAAACACTACTATATAGGGCATCACTTTGTCATATTAAGAAGCTGGTGTCAATAAAGCACATGCAAAACAAATAGGCACTTGTTCAGTATGTCATTATTTTTTATGTAACGCCAAAATAGTCAACCTGATATAGCCGAGTTGGAGCATTGTTGTTCCAATTTGGCTATTTTGGCCTAATCTTTAATTATCTGTAATTTCAGGTATAGTGAAGAAGTGCCACTTGAGTGTTGTCTGACCTCAAATCAACCAGGTTGCCAAGGAATCTTCTTGGCACACCATTATCATTACATATATGTAATGGTATAATTCATTGATGCATTGTTTTTTTGTTTGTTTTTTTTAAAGCGTATCTGTCACTGTCTGGGCACTCTGCACAATTTGCAAAGACTCCCAATGGTGACATCGACCCTGGGGGTTTGTTGGCCAGAGATAGGGGCAGTCAAAGGGTGAGTTTTCTTACCTGAACCTTTCCCTTGCGCTCGCCGCCATCATCTTCTGTCTGCTCCTGGCACTTCAGCTGCTAGGAGCTGGGATGTCTAAACAGCATTATAAGTCCCTGGGCAAAGCACTGTACTGGGGCCGTGCCTACACAACCACTCACAAGAATGAATATGTAAATTATCAAAAATTTAAGCTTATATTTATTGGTATCTCAAACAAAATCAGTGTTCAATCATGTTAAAAAAACATGCTGTACAGCAGAGATTAATCCACGCAAACATTTAGTAGTTAGCAGGGGGAGACAATTCACGTGGACTTTTAAAAATATTAGAAGAACTTTATTATAGCTTTGCTGTTTCAGCTAATTATATGTATTGATTTTGTCTGGCTTACGTACAATTAGTATGTGTGTATTGTTTTCATCAAGGACAAGATACACAACAGCAAGATCAAAACATTTTAATAAAGAGGGTTTGAAGGTTCTAAATATGTCTACCTGAATAATATACAGAAAAGTTGACATGCTTTTGGGGCCCCTATCATTGTGGGGCCCCCGGGCAATTGCCAAGCTTGCCCTTGCATTAAGCCACAGCGCTGGCCAGGAGCCTTTGTTCCTGCTGTACGCTCGTGCATGCGAGAGAACACAATGTTGACATCTGTGGAAGATCCTACGAGAACAAGGGATCCACCAAAGAAAGAGCTAATTTCCCTGTACCCAAAACTGATGACAGCTGGGGGAAATGACAATCTTGGCGGAGGCTCCTCTCCGCCCAGTGTCAAGCTTTGTCAAGTGGAGGAGAAATACTGAGACAAAGTAATCCGTATTTTCCTCAACCAGAGAATTTCATAAAGATTGTGTCCTTATGAAATACTCCTTTTGGAGTGCGTGTGACAATGCTGCTGTAAATAGAGAATAGCTTGTCTATTTACAGGAATGTGTTCACTAAACAGGCACAAAATAATTATATTTATATTTTATTGTAGGCCAAAATATCCACAGCTGAAAAGTATCTCCAGTTAGGCTAATGCAAAAAGTAGGAGAAAAAAGTGCTAGTTTGAAAAGTTCACAGCTTGTGTATTTTTGGTAGATGGATATTCAACTTACTATAATTTTGTGTTTAATTAAACAAATGGCTGTATTATCTGCATTATTGCAATTTATGGCATTATGTGATTATATGTTAAATGTGAGTATTTTTAATGGAATTGCGCTCAAATTAAAGCTCATGTTTGTTAATTTGCAGAGTTTGGGGAAAAAATGCCATTCGGTAATGATAAAAGCAGCGGTAGCGATGGTCAACTGAGTGATTCTGACTCATCACGCCTGTCGGAAAGCATGAGCGACTCTCCAAGAGATAGCTTTACCAGTGATTCTTCAAGCAAGCATGCGTCCCCAGTCTGTTAGTCTGATTTGGCTTTCATTTCAAATCATGTCTATCTTGATAATTGCGATTCCAGATCGAGTCATATTGTTATGGCATCTTCATATGTGTTCAGTAGTGCTAATTATACACAGCAATGGAATGTGCAGATGCTTAATTAGCATTCCAGTATTATGATTGCACGTGTAGGAAAGTCTTCTGGGATCGCACAAAAGACTGGTCACAAACTTGTAGTAGCTTCAGGAAATGCCTCTTTAATATATATGTTGAAACTCGCAGTATAGTAACATGAATCAAATGTTTTGCAATGCATAGCTATCTAATGATGGGAAGCACTAATTTAAAGGCACCCAATAATCTCACTCCAGTTTTTCTCAAACCATATTTTAGCAGCTTAGCCAAGCGATCATTGCTATCAAAATATGAATGATCTGTGCATCAGCAGCAGAAGGGCTTAGCTTTGGGTTCCAGGAGAGCCCAGTTTTGTTTTGTTTTTTATCATACTGCTTCATACAGTTTGACAGAGACTCAAGGGACAGCACTCTAAAACAATTGCACAATTACCACTGCAGTACACTGTAATGGTTACACTGCTTGAGGTGCCCATTTTAACAATATTTTTCAACTGTACTGGGTTTGGTGGGACAGTCTCAAATTTGTGATCCTGTCCAGCCTTCTCAGGTTTGCTCTCTGGCGTCCTGCATCAGGTGACGCAAGACAGCAAGTCCTCATAAGGTATAGCTATAGTACATCATTGTACATACGTCAATGGGCTCGGTGGGTGTGACCAACTCGTGTCCAGTCATCCTGGCACGCATTCACGTAAGGCTGATATACCTCCTTTTTCAGTTGCATCACTCTCATCATCCCAGTTCCATACTTATTGGGAGGAATGATTTCTAACTAGTAATGCTAGACTAATTGTATTAGACATGTTGAAATTTGAATTACTAGCTTAAAGTAAAATCAAAAATCACTTTGTATATGAAGGATACATTTGAAAACCCACATTAAAAAATGTAAAGTCCTATCATACTAGCCAGACCTTAAATGTTACTCACCACTACAAGCTATATTTTATCCCCCGAGAACGAATTTCCTTTTTTATTTTTGTAATGCAGCGACAAAAGCACAGACACGTATAGACATGTGACCTTGAAACAAAGGAGGGGTATCTGAGAAAAGATAATGTAAATATCAGCATATCTGCACAATTTTGTAAATTATACAAATATTAATAAAGCTTAACCACATAAGAAGGAAAAAAAACACAATAGCTTGTCTCAGATATAGTTCTCCTTTTAGCTGTAAACCACCAAGTTAGACTAGCCTAAAAAGAAGCAAGTGAAACATACACAGTAGTAAGATGGCCAGGCAAGAAAGTTTAATATCATCGGACCCTCCAAGCTTGTAAAGCTGCTGTAATAAAAAATAAAGGTAAGTATCTTAGCAGCAAAGTAAAAGCTGAAATGGCAGAAAGTCTCAGGAGCTGCTCTGTAATGCAACCAGTCAGCATGGCAGTGAGCCCCCGCTCCCAGGAGGAGGAGTGAATTTCTACTTGCTAGTGACAAGTGTAAATTTTGAGCCCTGCCTATAGCGTTTGCAACATACTTGTATATAATTGTGTGTCCTTTTTAATTTGGTTAGTTTTGACCAACCTCTATCCTCTTGTCTACTGCAGCAAGTCCTCCGAAAGCAGTGACCTTTGATGAAGTCATGGCGACCACAAGAAACATGTCTAATTTAATGCTGGCCCATGAAATTGTAACAAATGAAAATTTCCATTTGGATACCATCGATCCTCCAAAAAACAGGTATGTTTTGCAGTTTGGCAATTTTCTCTTTAAATTCTTTATTTTGTTGTGCACGAAAAATACAAAGACGCAAAGCAATGCCACAACAGCTATTGACAGTTTTTAGGTTAACATTTAAAGACAATTGTTTGGCATATGTGAACATTGCACATTTTATGTTATAAAGTAGTTTCAACAATGGTTAAACCAACACGTCAGTTGTAAGGTGAGTTAGACTAGGTACTGATTCAGGTTAACAGACTGACTTATACCATAACATTGCTAACAAATATCAAGAACATGCTAAGTGTTCTATGCTTTTTAGCTAATAAAAGGAAAAATATAACATGCTAGTAAGATATAACTGGCTATTACTGCACAATGTTAAATTAGTGAAACATGCTTATGCAGGGTATGTCAGTGGATTCTCGGCTTAAAACTGGGTACATATCCTGACAATTTAGTTTCGAAAGACATATGAACTTGCTAGGTAGATTCAGTGAAAATTGAAAGCAAATGGATTCAAAGCAAAAGTCCCTGTTGCCAAGAGTGTCGGTGGGAGACCTGCTGGGACCGGAAGGACACCCGCCAGTCCAGGGGGTGGGGATGGAGTTCAGATGTCCGCTCCAAGTGTCAGGATGTGGCGTCTGGAAAGTGTCCATCCCTCCGACACCTGACAGGCTTGAAGGCCGCAGCAAGTGAGGGGAGTGTAGTCCGGTTTAGGAAAGTGCTGAGTCCGGTGCTAACTGAGTCACCAGATTCCCCACTATGCAATGAGTAACTTCTCGGAGCTGAAAACTTTAGTTTGGTAGAAACATAGCTTATTTAGCAGGTGTTACTCAGGAGCTCTGCTTGCCATCTCTTTAATGGACATGTTTTACCTCTGGGCTTATGAGACAAGTGCATGTTTGAAAAATTAATAGTGCAGTCCAGTCTAGCACTTTTCTAACAAAGAACTCTGACTCGTTGATCTCCTATCTTCATAACTGAAGACAAATTAAGTTTAGGTTTAAATCCACAGCATTTCATCCTATAACTCTTATTAGCATCCATTTTATTTCAACATTGATACTTGTCGAAAGTATATAGTGTTCTGTAATTGGAGGGGAGGCAATTTAAATTTTGTAAAAACCCCAAAAAGTTACCTGCGGGTAATTTTTCCTGTCCACATTTAAGTAACTTGAGGTTTTAGTATCACTCCAATGGCCATTAAAGTATAAGCTCACCTGCCACGTCAAGGCAAACCTCCTTGGCGAGTCCTACACAAACAATTCACCTTGCTTCTTTAAACTATAAAGCAAAATCTCTAATGAGACAAGGAGGGGTATTTTTTAGACCCCTACATACTTATTAACCCTTAATAGGGAACACATGGTGTGAGCGGCAGCACTATAACATGGCTGTGTAATACAAAAGCAAATACAAACATGCAGAATTAAAGGACCACTATGGTGCCAGTAAAACCTGGCACTAAAGGGTTTTTAGGTCCCCCCACCCCCCCTCAGAGTCCCACTCCCGCTGACTGAAGGGGTTAAACACTTACCTTTCTCCAGCGCCGGCAAGAGCTGCGCGCGCATTCAAACAGTCCATAGGAAAGCATTTCTCAATGCTTTCCTATGGACGTCCAGCGTCTTCTCACAGTGATTTTCAATGAAACAGCCACTAGAGACTGGATTAACCCTAGTGTAAACATAGCAGTTTCTCTATGTTTACACTAGGGTTAATCCAGCCTCTAGTGGCTGGATTCTCTGAAACTGCTATGTTTACAGCTGCAGGGTTAACACTAGAGGGACCTGGCACCCAGACCACTTCATTGAGCTGATGTGGTCTGGGGGACTATAGTGATCCTTTAAGTCCTGCACTCAAACAAATTTAAGTTTTGAAAGCAAAATCAAGAGAAACAGATATGAGATGGCAAAAATACTGAAACTCAGACTGAGAGAGAGTGTGTTTTTTTATGTGTGTGTGTGTGTGTGTGTGTATATATATATATATATATATATATATATATATATCTCTATTAAAATCTGAAATTCCCTTGTGATTTCTTGGCCAGTCCCAGTGTAGTGAATAACTCTGTAAAAAAAACACACACTCGATTCAAACCAAAATATTACACCGTCTGTAAGAAACCCATTCTATTACACAAAATATTTGTCCAATTATTTAACCCTTAGCTTGGTTTTATCACTGTATGATTACAGGGATGATACATAGCATTTTATTGTGCAACAGTTAAAAACGTGCATTTACTGCACCTCTGACTCCTTACTCATTTGTGAATACCAACCTGAGCTATTTCCTTACATTGAATTTGTCTGACTGGAGATCACATTAACCATTGCTTTGTAACTTGCTAGGCGTTTATAAGGCAGTATGTCATTTTAGCCAGATAAACAGGTAGTACATCAAATCTAGGGGAGTAGAGGGATCAGACTCTGCTGAATGTCAGGCTTTGAAGCCCGCAATTCTTTTTTTCTGGAAAGCATACAAAAACCTTGTTTGATGTAACTCGCAGACAGTCCTGCTATTCTTGATGGCACAATGTTAAAAGTGGCCTTTACAGTTTCTGAACAAAAAAAAGCGACTTCTTTCTTTTTGTTTTATACTGTAAATGCTAAAGATCTAGTTAAATAAGAGAGACTTGCTTAGCCAGTTTTTTTTTTCTTTTTACAATGAATTATCAAACTCTTTGTTGTATGTGTAGAAAATGCTCACATGTTCATGTTTTAAGTTAGCAAGCACTTGACTTTAGTTTTTGATTTTGATTTTGCTTTTGTGTATTGAACATTAAATAATGGTATAATTATTTTCTCTATGTTCGTGTAATTCATAGTTATTCAAAATGTTTTTTTGGTCTTAACTTATTTATTTAAATTGATACTTACTGATTTTCTTTAACTCCAACAGTTTAGAAGGAAAGGTAAAGCAGATTGTTCACAAAGCATTTTGGGATTGCTTGGAGTCAGAATTGAACGAAAATCCCCCCCAGTATGAACACGCAATCAAACTGTTTGATGAAATTAAAGAGGTGAGTTACAGGACTTCATGATATATAATTTTTGTTCCATCAAAAGCCTTTTTTTTTTGTTGTTGTTTTTTTGTGTTTGTTTTTTTCTTTTAAATGAAACATAAGCAGAATTAATTTCTTATTCAAAAATTGCGCAAATGAGCAGACTTTTTTAAAAAAAAATTTTAAATCTAAGAGATTCATGTTTCATATAAATACATCTGAAACCATCGGGCCGCACCTTTGATAAGTTTCCTTGTGACACTTACATTGTGAAAAAACGTTCAGGAAAGGTTTGTGGGAGTTGTAGTCCTCTAACAAGCAAAAGCCTATATCATCACAGAACAATTCAAATAAACTCTAAATCTGTTTGCTGCTGCTCAGTCTTACAAAAGAGGCATATTTAAAATTTCAAAAAACCCATCGCCTACCTGCGAGGCAGGACTCCATGTAACCTACAGCACAATATTATCTGCCGTCTTAGTTGTTGATGATTTTTATCTTTACTGTTGTCACACTATTGATGGTAGTAAGATGATAGTATTTTTTATACTGTTATTAATTTTTATTGACCTGATGTCTTTTGTTTGTGTAACTCTTCTAGATTTTGCTTTCCTTCCTAACACCCGGTACAAACCGGTTGCGAACCCAAATCTGTGAAGTGTTAGATGTGGACCTTATAAGACAGCAAGCCGAACATAACGCAGTGGATATTCCAAAGCTTGGAAGTTATATTATTAATATAATGTCTAAGTTATGTGCTCCGGTCCGAGACGAAGATATTAGAAAGTTGAAAGCAAGCGGTGACGTTGTACAAATGTTAAGGTTGGTATACAGTTTTACTTAGTATAGTAATTGCAGATTATCCTACCTTAGTGCAGTGATAATCCTAATTTTAGTAATGCCAGGAGGCAAATATTTTCCTTTCTTTATTGTCTTTCCATAGCGGCAAAGAAAAACTCAACCAATCAGATCAACAAACACAGGTTTTTAAAAACCTCCCTACAGAAACACAATCCTCTTTCTTTGGTGGAATGTAGAACATAACAATTGACATTGAATTGTAACTTGAAATGTAGGTCTTGCAAAACATCTATCATAGATGGGGCTGTTCCTGGTGATATTACACTGAAACAGAGCAAAAACGATTTTGATAGAAATTGCACTTTAACTGTTTGCAGACATTAACAAAAAAAACGAAGAAAAAAAACGAAAAAAAACAAAACAATACCATATTAAGGCATATAGAATCAATCTGGTAATGATATCACAGATAATACATCATATCAGAAGCATTAGCATAACCTATTAATGTAGCGCTACAAACAGAACACATTCTATCACAGTATACTAGCAGTACAAAATTAAACCAAAGATACTACCAATGAACACCTAGGTGGGAGGGAAAATATTACTAGAATTAGGATTATTACTGCACTAAAGCTAGGACATTCTGCTATTTGTCCACATGACAGGAGGCTTTATATTTTGCTATTTTAATGCTCTAACAACGATAAAGCACCATGAGGTGAAGCACAAACGTAGAATGTCCGTTTTTGTGACCAGTTGGTCATCTGCATAATATCGACCAAGGAAACTCCCGAGTGGAAAGCCTGGACAGAATGAGCTCTGAAAGAGGGACAAAATCCAACATATCCAATGAGAAAGGGTGGCAACTGATACTTGTTTGTGTGGTTGGACATGAGAGAGGTGTGGTTGACCCATTTGAGAAGAACGAGGGGTTCTAGTTACCGCAACATAATATTGAAGTACCCTAACCATGCAGACATTATTATTGTCTAGAAAAAACGGATAAAAAAGCATCAACAAGTCTGACTTAGTATGGTGAAAAATAGAGAACGCGACCCTTGTTAGAGAAAATGGCATCAACATCGAACGCATGGACTTCAGACACACAACGAAATTACAATAGACAAAAGTGTAAATCTGATCAATACTTGCTGTGATCACCCTTTGCATTCAAAATATCAATTCTTCTAGGTACACTCAGAGACTCTAATATTAAAGCACAAATCCTTTATGTAGAAAAATATGATTTCAAATTTTACGTATGCATATACTTCTAGGAAAAAGATACACATCCAACCAATGTCTTGAGGGGGGAATGAGTTTCCACCTTAAACATTTCATATTTACATGTTTAAGAGATACTGATTCAAAGGCAGAGCACAAGCGTAATGGGCTAGAAGAAGCTCACAGAGAAGAATATAAGTTTTTAAACCAAATATTGCTTTAAATTTATACATTTTCTTGGAATTAAGGAAGCACCGTGTGCAAGTAATTATTTATTTTATTACATGCTGAGCTGTTATTGCCTGGTACAATAATAGATATGTTTCTCTGATTCACTGTGATAAGTGTAACATAGAAATGTGAGTCCATTTTGTGTGTGGAGTTAAAAACATCTCTGAAAAGACCCATTAGCTGGCTTGAAGATTTCTTATTCTAAAAACAATTTTAAACTGAGATATATTAACAAAGTTTGTGACAAGTCACATGCTATCAAGGTTTGTATTTACTTTTTTTAAGTATAAGATTGGCAACAGATCCCAAATGTTGTTGTTAGGTTTTTGTTTTTATTTCTCTAATTGAATTGCATTATACTTTCTGCATTTTAAAGAAATAAAACAATTTTCTGCATTATACTCTCATTTTTTTTTTTTAACCTAAATTGTATTTTTATTTGTATTTCCATTCCACCAGTTTTTGTCTATTCTATACCTAATGTCACAGTACCTAATGTCACCTTGTTGTTTTCTTTAAGGGATGTTTTCCATGTTTTGGACCTCATGAAAATGGATATGGTTAACTATACTATCACCAACATAAGACCACAACTTCAGCGGCAGTTGGTAGAATATGAAAGAGTAAAGTTTCAGGAGATACTTGAAAAAACACCAGGTAATCCGATTGTTCCATAACTAATGTGTTATAAGATGTGTTCTAGAGCTTTTCTTTTCAGAGGCAATTCTCTTTCTGAAGTTGTGCTTTTAGTCCAATAATACCAAAGTCAAGTGAAAGGGAACACATTAAGCATATAATGTCTGCAGGCTGGACAAAGGACATATTCTGATCTTTCCATCTGTCCCACGCCTGAATCCCATGCGTTTTCCATCTGTCCCATGTCTCTCAGCCACCTACACAGCTTGCTGGTGATGGAACTATTGTAACTATTGTACAGCCTTTGGTGGTGCGGGAGGGAACACTACTGGATGTGAATTGCTTAGCACTCCCTGCTGCTAGATGGAGGGAGCACTACTGGATGTGAATTGCTCAGCACTCCCTGCTGCTAGATGGAGGGAGCACTACTGGATGTGAATTGCTTAGCACTCCCTGGTGCTAGATGGAGGGAGCACTACTGGATGTGAATTGCTCAGCACTCCCTGCTGCTAGATGGAGGGAGCACTACTGGATGTGAATTGCTCAGCACTCCCTGCTGCTAGATGGAGGGAGCACTACTGGATGTGAATTGCTCAGCACTCCCTGCTGCTAGATGGAGGGAGCACTACTGGATGTGAATTGCTCAGCACTCCCTGCTGCTAGATGGAGGGAGCACTACTGGATGTGAATTGCTCAGCACTCCCTGCTGCTAGATGGAGGGAGCACTACTGGATGTGAATTGCTCAGCACTCCCTGGTGCTAGATGGAGGGAGCACTACTGGATGTGAATTGCTCAGCACTCCCTGCTGCTAGATGGAGGGAGCACTACTGGATGTGAATTGCTCAGCACTCCCTGCTGCTAGATGGAGGGAGCACTACTGGATGTGAATTGCTCAGAACTCCCTGGTGCTAGATGGAGGGAGCACTACTGGATGTGAATTGCTCAGCACTCCTTGCTGCTAGATGGAGGGAGCACTACTGGATGTGAATTGCTCAGCACTCCCTGCTGCTAGATGGAGGGAGCACTACTGGATGTGAATTGCTCAGCACTCCCTGCTGCTAGATGGAGGGAGCACTACTGGATGTGAATTGCTCAGAACTCCCTGGTGCTAGATGGAGGGAGCACTACTGGATGTGAATTGCTCAGCACTCCCTGCTGCTAGATGGAGGGAGCACTACTGGATGTGAATTGCTCAGCACTCCCTGGTGCTAGATGGAGGGAGCACTACTGGATGTGAATTGCTTAGCACTCCCTGGTGCTAGATGGAGGGAGCACTACTGGATGTGAATTGCTCAGCACTCCCTGGTGCTAGATGGAGGGAGCACTACTGGATGTGAATTGCTTAGCACTCCCTGGTGCTAGATGGAGGGAGCACTACTGGATGTGAATTGCTTAGCACTCCCTGGTGCTAGATGGAGGGAGCACTACTGGATGTGAATTGCTCAGCACTCCCTGGTGCTAGATGGAGGGAGCACTACTGGATGTGAATTGCTCAGCACTCCCTGCTGCTAGATGGAGGGAGCACTACTGGATGTGAATTGCTCAGCACTCCCTGGTGCTAGATGTAGGGAGCACTACTGGATGTGAATTGCTTAGCACTCCCTGCTGCTAGATGGAGGGAGCACTACTGGATGTGAATTGCTCAGCACTCCCTGGTGCTAGATGGAGGGAGCACTACTGGATGTGAATTGCTCAGCACTCCCTGGTGCTAGATGGAGGGAGCACTACTGGATGTGAATTGCTTAGCACTCCCTGGTAGTGGAAGGAGTTAGTTCCACTGGTTGAGAGTTGCTTACCACTACCCTGTAATGGAGGTAGAGATCCACACTGTGTGAGAATTGCACAGGACACACTTGTGCCTGGAAGCAGAAGGCAAGAATGGCTTTAATTCTCTTATCCTGTAGGGATAACAGCCAACACACCCCAATGTTAATTTGTTTTCAGATGAAATTCGGATATTATTTTTGTTTCGGAATTTCATTCGGACAAATAAAATTCCGAACCATGCGCCAGCTACATTTTGCGCTGTTAAGCAGATAACTACCTAAATTGGTACACTTGTGGGATTGCTTTATTAAAGGGTACCAAATTAGGGAGCTGTTTAGTAGATGGCTCCCTAATCCTTGTGGAATTGCCATTATACAAAAAAGGAGCTATCTACTAACTGAAATATCAGCATTACCAATTGCTTCTGTATGTAAATGCTTAATTTTGCTTCAATAAAGCGAACAAAATTAAAAAAAATTATTATGTGATGAATTATAATTAAAACCTAACACAACAATAATTCTCTCCCTTTAGATGCTCTCAATCAGACAACAGAGTGGATTAAGGAATCTCTTAAAGATGCTCTAGAAAAAACATCCCAACAAACTGCTTCTGGCGCTAATGGGGTATCAATGGATAATTTAAGTCCAACTTTGGTGCTAAACAGTGGCTACTTGAAACTTCTACAGGCGGAATATCACAGCGCTATACCAGAGGTAATTGAAAAACTGGGTGATGGAGCCAGTGGTTGTGTGGGGTTGTCCCTTTACAAAGATTTTGTAAAACAAACATTTCTGTACTTCAGATGTATACACAGCATTGCCTGGCATGCAAAAATATAATGATTTCACAATATTGAGATTTACTGGCCCGGAGGCGATTCTAAGTAGGCCATAAACTGCAACATGTTAGCCTACTTGGAAAATATTATTTTATCCTGAATTTTGCAGGTTTGAAATCTATGCATTGCAACTAACTAGTGAGGAAGTCTTCAGATTTTACCTATGTGTGTATATATATTTTCATCATATATATTTTGGAAAGTAAAAATTGGTAAACAAAATTTAGTTGAGTATTTTATTTGTATTTATTTTTAATTCACTCAAGGAGCATTCACACAAAATATGTATTCCATTTCCCTAAATGAAACAAAAGTGACAATTCCAAATTTAAAACCAAATTGGGAGCATAGCTGACTTGGAGTATCCACTTTGAATTCCAAACCATTCTCACATTAGTGAATAACTCTGTCAATGTAGTATTAAAAAGAAATGGTCATTTCAGTGGCAACTAAAGTTACAAGATCACATCTCATTCACATTTTTGCTTTCATTTCACATATATATTTTTCTTTCTTCTTTTTCTTTCCAGACGCTTATTACAGATGACTCGCGTATTCAGGAGTTGAAGCTGAAACTCTTGCAGGTTAAGCTTACCGCCTGCATTTGCCTCATTACCCAGAATGCAATGGGGCCTTACTGCACAAACGGATTGACTGACACCATAAAAGAAATTACAAAGGTTCTTCTGCAGGGAATGAACAGCAAGTGAGTTGCATCTTTCAGTTTGGAATGGGGAGGAAGACAGTTCTCTCTTTAATGTTGTAAACATCTCCTTGGGATTCCTCTATAACACTTAGCTTGACATTGGCTCATCCTATCTAATCAGGAAACTGATCTATAATGAGTGTGGTATCTTTCATTTGTTATCTTTGTCAGAAAGTGATCTATAAACTCACAGTGCACCCTTATCACCTTATTATCTGGGTAACATACTGATCTTGGTGGCACATTCAGTGCCTTCTCTTCTACTCCTTGGTGTCTAGGCAGGAAAACCAACCGTCTCACCCTTAGGTTAGGGATCTGGGTTTTATTTTTGTTAGTTTTCTGACATTTTTTTTACTTTAGCAATGCATAGTTTAGCAGACAGGTTGACTCAAACATTTCACAAGAGTATACGCGTCAATACAAAATGTTAGAAAAGTAGGAAATGTTGATGGTACTGCACTAAGGATCTTTTATTTTTTTTCTACTAAGTATACTCTGAGTATGTTCTGTCTATTTCTACTGATGTGTCTGTTATTGGTGAATAACTGTAGGCTAGACTATTAAAATTCATACATAGTACTAGCTTAGCCCATGAGTGTAATGGTGGGAGCACAGTGGAACACAATTTTTTTAATTTTATTTTTACGATACAAGTGCAGCCAAGCAGTGTAAGTCAGTCACTATTTGTGAGTTTCTAGTTAGTTGATTAGTGATTTCTATCTATTGTAGCCAGAGTTGTGCTACACACTTGTGAGCACACTGCCCATTGACTGTCGGTGATAAGATCCTTTAGTTAAAATGTTTATCGTAAGTGCAGAGTTAGAAGAAATGGTCTGTTGTGTATTATTCGTTGTGCTAATGTGTCCATTATCAATTCTGTTTTCAGGACGTTTAATTTGAAGGAGACACTGGATGCATTAAGTATTAAGGTCTGCTCAGAGATGAATAAATCATTGACGGGGAGAGAGTTATCCCCACTCAGTACAGAGGCGCAGTCTTTCTTGGTTGGACAGATCTGCAGCATCACTGAAAAAGATCATCCCATCTGCAACTTAATTGGTAATACATTACATACATTTCTGTCTTTCATAGCATTATTGAGCATTCTTACAATCCTAATGTATATGTAACAAAGACATCCTTCCCAGGGCATATGAAACACACACACACTGCTCATCTTCATTTAAAGTGACACTATTGTGAATATGGATTTAGTTTAAATCAAGATGTTATTTTTGCAGTTTGGTACTTTCTGCAAATCCCTAGAGTTCTGGCAAGACTTTGTAGTAGTTGAAGCTGTCAGACAATCCTAGTCTTTCTCTTGTTTGTCATGGAAGATCTGAGAATATCCTGTAAATTTATAGTAAGTGGGGGTGTTTATATTTCAGTATTTGGGAACAGTTGCACTCATCAGGATTTATACATAGAGCTCATAGCAGCTGTAGAGTAGTTTATCCAGGGTTTCTTCTATAAATAGGTTTAAAGGAACCATGTCACAGATGGATGCATTGTCCTTTTAATTATTCGTCCATGTGTCAGTGTTTTCATTAAGAGAGGCGAGAGCAAAAAATCAAACACTTTAATTTTCATTGTTATTATAATTTGTTTAATGTTAAAGTGATACTACAGTCACTAGAACTATAGTCTGCCTGGAGACGCTGAATTTTCCTCATAGAGATGCATTGATTCAATGTATCTCTATGAGGAGGTCCTGGTTGGCTAAAACGGTGTTTGGCCTGCCCCCCTTGCCGGTTTTAGCCAATGGAAAAGCAGTAGATTGGCTAAAAATCAGCTTTTTTGATGATGTCACCAAGGGGGCGGGGCCAATGCCAGTGGACCCGTGGAGAGCTGGAAATAAGGTACGTTTTAACCCATTCTGAGGGGGCTAAGAGGGAGGCAAGCCACCTGAATGGTGGGTTTTCATTATAGGGTCAGGAATACATGTTTGTGTTCCTGACCCTATAGTGATCCTTTAAGATATATCCAGGACTCTTCACTAAAATGAGAATTCAAAGTGAATTTGGAATTTAACGTCAAAGTAGCTGAACTGAAAGCATAGATGGATTTTCCAGTTTGGCTATTTTAACCTTAAATTTGAAATTCACTTTCAATTCTCACTTTAGTAAATATATTAAAATTTTTAATATCTGCAACAATGTTATTATTATTGTGATTGTTCCTGCTTTAAGATACATTTCATTTCCTACATGCTGTATTACCTAGAAATGATGGAACCATGAATCAAACTTGAGAGGATAAAAACAATCAAAACAAGCAAGAGTCTGTTGGGTAGAGCTATGGACATTGATATGTGGGATATCATAGCTGTGGCATTGAAGACAAGTCTGGGTGTTTTTTTGGTGGAGGCAGGTTTCCCTCAGATATTTACAATAAAGGGAGCCCTACAAAACTGTGAAAATCCCATTTCAATGAGCAAATTGATCTTCCTGTACCAAGTGCTGTGCAGACGAATAGTGAATGTATAGATAAGGAGTTACTGCAATTATTATTATTATTATTTTTTTTTTTTTTACTTATTTCAGCCAATCCATGGCTGGCAGTTATAACCGTAACCATTCTGACCCTTCCAATACTCCCTATGCCTGCCCTCTAATGCCATGCGAGCTTAAATGTTACACAACATAATACAGATGTGACCATTTGCAATGCATGATTGGGAGTGCCCATTAGCAGTCAAAACCACTAGCCAGGAACAACTGCTGTAATTAAAAATAATTAATCATGTTTATATTTTGTAGTTACTTGGCAATGCTATGTATAGATGGAAGAAATAACTAATTTCTGGCACTCTTAATTGGCAGATTCCCTTTAAACTATCTTTCTTGCCCTCAAACTTGCATTCATTGTTTAATGATAGAGCCCAACTAGTCATTGTTTCCTCCTAGACCTTTTCTGAATCAAATGGTCCATGGCGATCAAAAACCCAAGCGCTGTATAGCTTACCACAATGTCCTTTTATCAGTAAGGTGAAATCAAAACCACATACCAGAATGTGTAATGTGGGAAAAACTAGTTGGAGAAATGGTAGCATACCTAGATGAGACTCCACTTGGAAATAATAAAGGTTGTAGCTCAGTAAAGGATGTTTTATACTGCTTGTAAAATGTAGTAAGGCCTACCTTAAGAATAGATCTGGATAGTCAGTCTGCACTGTGATAGCAGGAAAACTAATTACCCGCTGTCACCATTTATGTTCCTATGAATATATGAAGCAAGTCTAATCCCAAAAACACATTTATTACATGGAAATTGGCTCCACTGCCCAAATACAAAATAAATAAAAAATCACTGTTTAGTAACTACACTTAATTCACAATGAAATGCATTTAATTATACTTTTTTTTTATTGGGGTTATATCTAAAACAGCTTGTAAAACCTGCAGTTCTCCTGTCTGCTGCCTTTGCAAATCCTCCCCTTCTAACCCCACCCAGACTTTCTGTGGGTGTCAAATCACAGACTTACCTATGCAGCTCAATGATAAGTATTTGTAAGGCAAATGCCTTAGGGATCTGGAGTGTCCCTTTAATAATTCCTCTGTGTAAACCAGGGTGACTAAAAGGTAAATCCCTAGATGTTATAGAACTACAACTCTCATGATGCTTTGCATGCCTTTCCAATGCCTTTTAGAATGACAAAGCATCATGGAAGCTGTAGTTTGAAAACATCTGGGGATCTACCTTTTGGGCACCCCTGGTGTAAACCATCAATGCATTTCCAAATTTTAAAGCACTGTATTGAGTTTCCATTTATAGAACTTATTTTCATTTACAGAGTAATTTAACTACCTCTTTGCATAGTCGACTGTCTAATTATTATTATTTTCTTTTCTTTTGTAGAAAAGCGGATCAATGAGTATTTAAATATATTCCTTTGTCTTCCTTATCCATACAAGCGTGTCCCTAAGATTCCTGGAGGTCTCACGTCTGTTGGTCAAGAGTTGGAATTTATAGCAGTTCATTACGCCAACGTTGTGAATCTTAACAAACAAGTGTATGGACCATTTTATGCTGGTATCTTCCGGAAGCTGCTTTTTAGTGATGTACCAGAGGCAAAGCCTGAAACCGTGTCATAATAATTTTTCATAAGTTACGATTAATAAATTACTGCACATCATTTTGTAAATATATGTATCTTAACTGATTGCCTATTTGAAAAAGGCAATAAGAGAAATGACCTTTATGAATTAAAAGTTTAGCTCTACCCAGATGAGTAGAGTTGAATTTGTTTAAATTGTGCCCATAGGCACAAAGATATATAGACTGAAAGACGATGTCACTGGGTGATGCCATTTCTGCTTCTGGGTTTTTATAGAATACAGTGACTTGCTCTTGTTTTTCTGTAGAGCATTCAGACTGGGGTAGTCAGTCTGCTGCTCTCCAGACATTCTACAACTTCCATAATTGTTAAGAAGTTAAATATTCACGAGTTGCCAGTTCACTTATCCCAGTTTTAGACTATTTTGTTCTTTTATCCCACGGATAATGAATGAAGACAATTTCACTGTATAGTTTTTTTTAAAGCTTAAAGGGACACTCCAGGCATCAATACAACATTGATGATTTTAATAGGTTTTGACCACATTAAAGGAAAACTATAGCGTTGGGAATACAAAAATGTACTCCTAACACTATAGTGTTCAGCTAATTAATTATGTATCTACGCTGGTCTCTGCACTGTTGTCCTGCGTTCTTGGCTGAGATTATGAGTCTTGATGTTCTGAGCAAATCCAGTCATTCTCCAAGGGAAACATTAGAAGACTAGTACGCATGTGCAATAAATTGCAAGTCTGCGCCAGTCAGCGTTCCATAGAAGCGAATGCATTTCTATGTGGAGCATGCAGCGTCTCCATACAGAGCGTGGAGGTCCTGCATAAAGTATAGGACCACATCAAGAAAGTACCTCTCGTGGCTGTCCAAGTGACAGCCACAAGAGGTGTACTTAGGAAGAAATGTAAACTCTGCCTTTTCTCTGTAAAGGCAGCATTTACACTGCTGACCTTTCAGGGACCGACTATATGCCCCAGAACCTCTACATTAAGTTGAAGTGGTTCTGGTGACTAGTGTCCCTATAATATGCTGTATTGTTTTTGCATGTTCAATATTTTTTGGTGAATACACAAAAGGATGAATGTTTTGCAGCATGGTGCTCCTGGAAGCCTACACACAACTCTACCCTAAACAGCACCGAGTGAGTTGACTTTAATTTCAATTGGCTGCCCACAGACGGAGAAACTACAGATAATGATATCCTTACTATATGTCTCCCTGGGTGTCCTCTCCTAATGCAGGTTGCTTGTAGATCAGATCATTCAGTACTGTCAGTGACTGATCTGTCTGCATACATTCGATCAGGAAGTATTTTTCTGTAGTAAAGGTGGTGTGGCTAAAGAGGCAGGCTTCTTGCGCTGCATTTATTTTTTTGTGCAAAAACTATAAATATTTGGGCATGTAAAAAATAAATACAGCATATTAATGATCCAAAACCTATGAATACTTTCAAGTTTTATCGGTGGCCATAAAGTCCTTTTTAATGAAGAAGTGTTTGTTTAGCATTTTGAAATGAGCTCACTTGAGCTCATTCCTATTATATAAAATATCAAAACACTTGATTTTTTTGGCATTATATGGACTTTAAAGAATAATGTAAAATTATTTTATTGTATTTTTTTTTTTTTTTTACATTGTAACTATAGTAGTAGATGGTTATATCTAACTGGGCATTTCCTAGTTTAACGTTACAAAAAGCGACATTGTATTCATCTTCCATGCAAAAAAGCAAACTGTCTGAACTTCTGCCATCTTTCCTTTTGATATTATTAGAAGACAATATCCACATATTAACGGTTTTTTGTTTTGTTATTTTTAGCATTGAACATATATTCACATTTCTGCAGGTTCATGATCTATCCATACTCAATAATCCGCTTTCTGAAACTAAATCAGTTTTGTTTGTGTTAACTTGCATGTGTAGCAGTTACGTGGGCTCTTTCTGTGTATTCTTTGGGTCCATTTTGTGTTACAGCTTTACTGATATTTGTGCAACACCATAGCTAAATAAAGTTTTTATATATGGGTTCTGCTTTTTTCCCCTTAACTTTTGAGCTTTTTATATGTTTAAATTTACTTTGTACCTTGCCCGCCAATGCAATAGCTTGTAATTAAATTTAAATCAAAGAGGCCGTACATGCAGGATTAATCACATTTAAAACTTGCCTACATTTGTGCAGCATTTCTCTGCAGAAGCCTCAACTCACTTAAATGTGCTCGGAAAACCATAGGGTGATGAAGTCGCCCTGGCGGTAGAGGTTCTCTAGAGGTACCGTATATGTGCTTTATACTTACCCATTCTGCAATGCTAGCCCCAGTAAGAGTTTTGATAATTCTTTAACCAGCCTGCTCTGAAGTCCTCATGTTTTGGTGACAATGCAGTTTTCTCAGGATCTTGTTAGCAAAGGTAGCTGATATGGTTCTGAATTACCAACGCACCAAGTCATCATTTGTTTTTGCTTATGACAGAAGATCCTTTTATAGACATGTCTTAAGACCTCTTGATGTTCAGTGATATCTATATTTACCATCAGGAAATATCTGCAGGCCATACCTTAGCTTTGTAGGATTCTGTATTTTAATCAGTATTTTATGTTCTGCACATCACTCACCTTTTCTAGACAATTCCCACTGCTTCCTCATTTTCTGTATTGATGGATTTGTTTTGCTGGTGGTCTTTCATATGTAACGTTATTGTTTTTTTTTATATTGTATTTTAAATCCTAAATAGCACACAGAAAAAGTAAGTGTTAATACTTTGTTACATGCTTTTTAATTCTTCTTTATATTTTAGGTTGAATTCTTATTATCAAACTTTCATTGCATGTTTAAAAAAAATTTGTGGTGCATCCTTTATATGCCAGTCTTTATTTTTTATGGGTTTAAATAATTTTAACTAACCTGCACAAGTTATTTGTTGTCATCTACATATATTTTAGCAGCATGCGTGTGATCTTATCTTGTTACATATGTGATGTTATTCAGCAGAACCTTTGAAATCCTCGTGTTTCCTTTGTGGTAAAGTCCAAGCGAGTGTAGATTGTAATTGCAAGCTGCCTTGGTATCTTGAACAATATAGGTCACGGTCATCTGCTATGTCCGAGGCAGTCACTGCGATCTTATATTGATTATAAAAAAAGTCCAGATTGTAAGTGAGACTCGTGAGTCCATTGACCAATCAGGCTGGTCATTGCTGCAAGACTGTAGTATTAGGTCAATGTATATTTTTACATTTTAACAGCATTTTTATAGCTTATCGTGTATAACCATCACACGGCTGTGTTTATGATTTGTCAGACATACAAATCTATGTACTACAAAGGGTGTCCTTGAAGAATTTCAAAATACTTCTGGTGCTGTTGAACTTTTTTGACTGAAAAAAAAGATGTCTGCTCTGGTACAAACCATGTTGAAGAGAGGCACATTTTTGTTTTTTAATTAAAAAAAGTTTTTCAAAGAAAGGCTATACATTTGCTAGTTTTTGTATGTCAACCATCTTTACTAATGCAATAAAAAATATATATGTATATTCAAGCTTATGGGCTACGTGTCTTTTTTTTTTTTTTTTTTTCAGATAATTTTTCCTCATTTTTTTTTTTTTTTGTACTTTGTTTTTTTGTTTTTGTTTTTATTGGTGAGCATGACAAAATTAAACACAGTAAATCATATGCATTGAGATTATTGCTACCAGAAATACACCAATTGTTTTAACAGAGTATTACACAATATTTGAATGTTCTCATAACTCCCGGAATTCAGTACATTAATCCAGCATTGTAGTAATACATTCCCCCACCCTCAGGGTCCCACTTCCGCTGGGCTGGATGGAGAGGAAGGGGTTAAACACTTACCTTTCTCCCTAGGCACTGGAAACTCTCCTCCTTCTTTCCCCGTCATCGGCTGAATGCGCATGCACGGCAAGAGCCGCGCGCGCATTCAGCCAGTCTCATAGGAAAGCATTCTCAATGCTTTCCTATGGACGCTGGCGTCTTCTCACTGTGAAAATCACGGTGAGAAGCGCGGAAGCGGCTGTCAGAGACAGCCACTAGAGGCTGGATTAACCCTAAAGTAAACATAGCAGTTTCTCTGAAACTGCTATGTTTACAGCAGAAAGGGTTAATCCTAGGTGGACCTGGCACCCAGACCACTTCATTAACCTGAAGTGGTCTTGGTGCCTATAGTGGTCCTTTAACACTTGCTGTAACTCCTCCTCCTTAGGCCCCTTCAAGTGGTGGGATCCCTTGTGTAGAATATCTGCAAGCCAATTATACGCTTACACAATGTAATATGTCATGTGTTCATCTGAGGTTGTATTTACCTAATTTTAAGGCCTGCGAAGGAACAGATGATTGTTATTATGTCCTTATATGTAACACCATAGAATTCAAAGAGGGTGTGCTTTCTTTTTCCCATGACAGTATACTGGAACACACATATATATAAAATTATTTTTTTATTTCTGTGGTTTAAATTTAAATTTCCTGGCCATATCCATGGCAGCACAACAATGGGTAGCTCCTCTCATCCCTAACCAGACAGGAACCTAATTAAAACAGAAGGTATAAGTAACCCCTCCTACCCCTCCCACCCTCAGTCTTTTTGTTCCTGTCCTATCCCTAGGACAGATTTAGTCATTCTAAGACTAGATAATTTTTTCTTTTTGGCTTACCTGAGGGTTGTTACCTTCTCCCTCAAGGGAGTTCAGCCTCTCTCCCTTGGGCAGTCTCCAGTATACGGCCCTGTGCAAAGGTGACCCCCTTGAGAGACCCCTTTAGTGACCGGGGGTTCTAACTTGCTGTGGCCATCACCATGATTCCTGCAGTGACCAAGAGGTAGCAGGCTGGGCATGCACATACAGAGCATATGGATTTACTTGCGGTGACCCTAGGGGTAGCAAGATTATGCCATCACCATGATTCCTGCAGTGACCAAGAGGTAGCAGGCCGGACATGCACATACAGAGCACATGGATTGCAAGGATTAATATGACATTGACTAACATTCCATTGCTGAAGGAGTTAATGTGAGACAGACTAGCATTCCATCGCTGAAAGGGTTAAAGTACAACTTACTATCTTTTTCTTTGCCATGGATTTACTTGCTGTGAACTTAGGCTGATGGCATAATCTTGCTACCCCTATTTCCTGCAGTGACCAACGAGTAGTGTGGTGGAATCTCGGTAAAAATAAATTTAGTAGGCCGAGATTACCACGTGGCATGTGTACGTGCATATGCTGACGTATCGATCAGTTGGTTGCACGAGGCAAGATACGATCAGTAGTGTACGGAGCATGTGCAAGAATACAGGATGTAGTATTCCCCTCCTCCATTGTGCTGGACAAGCCATGCGGTCAAGCAGGAAGTTAATTCTTATTTGTAATGATTGGTCAAGAGAATGTGCGGGTGGAGCTTAATATGGGAGGAGTTATGTGCCTATATAGGGAGCCTGCACTATTGTTCAGGGCTCAGAACTTGCTGTATTTTTGGTGACATTAGTCCCTCTGAGTCCCGATCGGTGATCCAATAAAGAATCTCTTCCTTCCTGAAGAAACCTGTGTCCATCCCTCTGTGCTTTGCTTCCGTCAGTTTCTCCGGTATCATTTGGTGCATTGGCCGGGAAGCTCATCGTTCAACGGTAGCTGAGAGGCAGAGGCGTGAGACGGTCTATCTTTGCCCACGTTCTCTACGGCTGCACCCCTGAACTTCTGCGTGGACCTCCCTTCGTCTCGGCGCCACTGGTCTGTTGTCCAGGAGATCATCGGCCTCTACGTAAGAAGTGCTGGGGTGTCCCCGTCGATGAGTGTGAACTCAGGTTCAGGAACGAGGAGGTAAGACAACTGCTGTTTTAGACGGCAGACCCACTAGGGGTATACCGATTGTGCGGTAGGCCCAAAAGGGGTTTAAATCTGTGTATGGAATCTGCCCCCTCTGTCGGAGGGAAGGAGCGAAGGCGCACCGCTCGATCGAACGCTCTTTAGTAAGACCGTTTGATCTGGTTAGTCAGGCGGGGTCCTGTGTAAATAGCCCTAGCCGGACACCGGTGTCTTGTCTAGACTAGCGTTCTAGGGTGTATATTACGTTCGCTAGGTCGGAGGGACCGGGAGACTAAGCGGCGCCTGTGTAAATTCGGTTCGCTAGCTCTCAACCTATCTTGGCTAAGTGGGAAGGCGTGTAAATTTGGAACCCACTAGACTTTTGATAGAGTAAATAGACTAGAAGGGCAATTTTGTAAATTTCGCCCTCTAGTTCGCTATATGTGGTGTTTGGGCAGTGTGGCTAACCAAAACGGGTGTATATAGTTTTAGGTAGTCCATTCAAGGTACTGGCCAATAGTTTAGTTGGGATTGTAAATGTGTTAAAGATTGTTAGTAAAGTGTATATCTTGTTAGATAGCGCGAGCTCAGCCGTCTAGCGAGAGTGTTAATAGTGTGTTGCTGTATCATAGTGCACGGTACCATAACCCTGTATATTTACTGACACTGTATATAAGTACTAATCATTGTCGTCTATTGCATGTTTAACACCGTAACCACTAATAATTGTATTGTGACCTTAAATTGTGCTTTGACCTATGCTAACCGTACTGTAACCGATACTAGTAAAAGACGATGTTACTGGGGTGTGTTATAGACGGGTAATTCATATATAGAGAATTATAGCGTGGGTGACTGTATAGTTTCGCCAAAGGGCATAATATTGATTATTTAGTGACTGGTGTAACAGCTGTGTGTGTACGGGAATTCCCTGAGTGATTATTGTGTTATTGTGTACGTTTCACTCGGTAACTGTACCACGTGGTGCTGTTGCCAGAGGAAACGGGTGTGACTGTTGAATAAGAACGCGTGCATAGTATTCGTTGTCAACGACGTTCCATTGATAAGTATGGGCGCGTCAGAGTCAACGATTTCGGATCCCTTAGGTTGTATGGTAAAGAATTTTAAAAAGGGATTCAAAACATGTGATTTTGGGGTTAAAATGTCTCCTGTACGTTTGGTCACTTTGTGCACTAGGGAGTGGCCTATTTTGGTTGCGGCATGGCCGCCGCGTGGCAGTTTGGATCCAACCCTGGTACAGCGTGTACACGTGGCTGTGTCAGGTAGGCCTGAACTTTACGGACAGTTTCCATACATTGATTGTTGGGGGCAGGCCGTAAACGACTCGCCAAAATGGATCCGGATATGCCACGAGGAGCAATGTCGCCTCATGGTGGCCAGGACTTGTTTGTCCACTAGGACTGGTGTTAGGCCCATTTTGGACACGCCCCCTGAGTCCGAGATCCCTTTGCCGCCTCCTTACTTTCCTTTAAGAGGAAGTGACGCGAATGCAGGAAGCTCTGCACCCCTTCCCCTATTGCCCCCATCCACTTCCGCTTCCTCCTCCAGTACAGAATCCACCCCCCCTCGTATTAAAACTCCCCTTCCGGAACCAGGACCAACCCCCATTAGATTTGAATATCCTGATTTGGCGCCACTTCAAACTTCCGGTCAAGCTTCTTCTAGCTCGGCTCGGAGTATACTATTCACTAACTTTTCCCAAAATCAAGTTCCCACATCCTCATGCCCTATTACCTCTCGACCGGAACCTTTAACTGACGCCCCTCCACGTAGCCCCATACTAACCCGACAACTGACCGGTACCCAACAATTAAAACATTATCAGATGCCTCTTCGTCTGAATCCTGGGTCAGCCTATATCGATGCCGCAGGTCAAATGGCACATGCTGACCCAGTCTTCGTATATGTCCCGTTCACGACTACCGATCTCTTGAATTGGAAGACCCACAATTCCTCGTACACTGAGAAACCACAAGCTATGACCGATCTGTTCACCTCGATAGTTCAGACACATAACCCGACATGGGCTGATTGCCAGCAGTTATTAATGACATTGTTCAATAATGAGGAAAGGACAAGGATTAACCAAGCGGCCATTAAGGCGCTAGAGGAGAGAGCCCGTGCTTTAAATCAAGCCAATCCGGCAGCATGGGCCGCAACACATTACCCTAACACCGATCCTGACTGGAATGTAAATGGCGCAGATATGGCTCAACTTAAAGCCTATAGAGATGCTATAATTGCTGGCATGAAAGCCGGAGGGAAGAAAGCTATTAACATGTCGAAGACAGTTGAGGTGATTCAGAAAAGTGATGAAGCGCCCAGTGTCTTTTATGACCGATTATTGGAGGCATACCGCTTGTATACCCCCTTTAATCCGGAAGACGCTGATAATTCCCGAATGGTAAACTCCGCCTTTGTCAGCCAAGCTTACGGAGATATTAAGCGCAAGCTACAGAAATTAGAAGGGTTTGCAGGTATGTCTATCACCCAACTAATGGAGGTAGCGAACAAAGTATATATGAATAGGGAAACAGAAAGTAAGAAAGAGGAAGAGCGCAAGATGCGTAGAAAGGCAGATATGCTAGCGGTAGCGATCGCAGGCGTAGATAGACGGGCCCAGATAGAGGCGATGGTAGATGGAATAGGGAGCCTTTGAGTAGGAATCAGTGCGCGTACTGTAAGGAAGAAGGGCATTGG